AAGAAGTCTTATAGTCTCAATTCGTGCTACTGGAGCAAAGACTTCTTCAAAATCCACACCATATTTTTGTACATACCCTTTAGCGACAAGACAGGCTTTGTACTTATTAATACTCCCATCTGAATTTCTTTCCAATTTGAACACCCATTTCACGCCAATTGGCTTTGCTCCTGTTGGTAAATCCACAAGATCCCACGTTTTGAATCTTTCTATAGAGCTAAGTTCGTCTTCACACGCATTTGTCCACTCTTTGAACTGCTTTGCTTCGTGAAAATCTCTTGGTTCATTGTTTAGACACATAAGTAATATTTCACCTTCCTCTTCTGCAAGTAGAACATAATCTTGAAGATATTTGGGTTTGTTGACCTGTTTCTGTGACCTTCTCAAAGCAGGTGAACCTGAATGTGAATCACTAGTTCCTATGTGATCATGCTCTTCTTCATGATCATATTCAGGTTCTGAGCTCTGTTCTTCTTCAAGATCAACAATATTTCCTGAGTTATGCCATGTTTCATTACTCTGTCTTGCTTCAGAATTATGTCCTGTTTCAACATGTTCTTCTCCTTGTAATCCGTGATTTCCAAATACTTCAAAAGTTATTTTAAAACTTCCACTACCATCTTGCTCTGTGTCACAATGTTTCTAGTTCCATCCGTTTGTCTCATCAAATATTACGTCCCGGCTGACTACAACTTTTCTTGCTTGGGGATCAAGAAGACGATAGGCCTTAGAACCGGGTTCTGTGCCTAGATGAATGAGTACCTGTGACCTGTCATCTAACTTTCTCAACTGTTGCTTATCTATTTTCGCATATGCAGTGCATCCAAAGACTCTAATGTGACTGATTGCTGGCTTCTTATCCTTGAAACATTCATACGGATTCTTATCTTTAAGGGCTCGTGTTGTAACTCTATTCAAAATATATGTTGAGTGTCTTATAGCTTCTCCCCATAGGTAATTAGGCATATGCATGTGCTTTAGTATGCTTCTTATCATCTCCAGTAGGGTCCTGTGGAGAATACGGGGCAGTGAGATGTCTTTTAATCCCTGATTCTTCACAAAACTTATTGAACTCATAAGACACAAATTCTCCTCCTCTGTCCGTTCTAAACGTTTGAATTCTTGCTTCTGATTCTTTTTCGACTAATGTTTTGAAGTTTTTAAACTTCTAAAAGGCATCACTCTTTTCTATAAGCAGAGCAGTCCACATGTAACGTGAATAGTCATCAATGATCACAAAAATGTACTTGTTTCCAGCACTAGTACTTGGTGTTATCGGTCCACAGAGGTCACCATGTAAGAGTTCAAGCTTTTTAGTAGCTCGGTAAGTTGTTGCTTGTGGAAACACTGCTCTGGTTTGCTTTCCAAGTAAGCATAAACCACAAATTTCTTTTTCAAGAGTAAAGCTTGAGACTCCTAGTACCAACTCCTTATCTATCATAGACTTAATAGTTTCAAGACTCACATGACCCATTCTTGCATGCCACAGACTTGATGTACTCTTGCTTTTCAGATACAAACATGTATTTTCTTGCAAGCCCATGTGAACTTTATATAGTCGATTCTTGGATCTCTCTGCCTTTACCAACAATTTTCCATCACGATCGTCCATTGTCAAGTATCCATCTTTTAGTCTTATGTCACAACCTGATTCAGTGGCCTGTCCAAGGCTTATGATGTTGCTTTTTAAATCGGGTATAAAGTAAACATCACTCATCACTCGTGGTTCTCCGTTTAAGTCTATGAAAGCAATTGTTCCCTTGCCTTTAATATTGATACGTGAGTCATCTCCAAACCTCACTTTCCCTGTGACTGAGTGATCAATTGTATCAAAATATCTCTTGTCTCCTGTCATGTGATTACTAGCGCCATTATCAAGGTACCAAACGTTTTCTCCATTAGAACTTGTCTCAAATTTGCTAGGCACACAAGTTTTCTCATTGAGATAAACAATCTCGTGCATCATAAGCTCATTCGCAGTTTGTGTGTCTTTAGTTTCAGCTTCTTGTGCTTCTTGCAACTTAAGTAACCTATCAGGACAATTTGAGGCGTAATGGCCAACTTTGTCACATCTATAACATGTGATTTGTGATGAGTCTCTGCCACCATTATGTCCTCTTCCTCTGCCTCTGTAAAAGTTTCTACCTCCACGTCCTCTGCCCCTGTATTCATTGTTATATTCTCTGTTTGAATAGTTACTCTGAGAGTATTGTGAGTCTGATTGGCATACATTAGTTTACTCTGGTCGTCATGAGGTTCTTCTTCATCTGTGACACGTTCTTCGTAAACTTTTAAACGTCCAACTATATCTTCAAAAGTTATAGTGTTTAGGTCCAATACTTGTTCCAAAGAGGCTACTATATGAATATATCTTCTCCGAGGAATACTCTTTAGAAACTTCTTAACCAATCTTGATTCTTAGATTTTTACACCTAGGGCAGATGATTTTGATGCTATCTCAGACAACTTGCCTGCAAAGTCATCTATTTTCTCAGAATCTTTCATCTTGAGGCGATCAAATTCAGCCATTAGGGTTTGTAGCCTAGCATCCTTAACTCTTTCCGCACCAACATGTCGTGCTTTGATCGCATCCCAAACCTTCCTGGCTGTGTTAAGTTCTCCGATCTGTAGTACTAAGGATTCGGGAATGGATTGGAAGAGTAGAGCAGTGGCTACATCATTCTTTTCAACATCGATCGGGTCTGTTATAGTCTCTATAACATCCCAAGCTTTATGAACCCTAAGTGCCATCCTCATTCTAATCGCCCATACCGTGTAGTTAGTTGCGTTTAGCATAGGACACTGAATAGAGGAAGAGCTTCCTCCTTCTTTGGTGTTTGCTGGTGCGGAAATGATATCTCCCATCTTTCCCTACGATCGCACAAGGCTCTGATACCAAATCTAGTTTGTATACGTGATCAAGAACACAATCAAAAGAATTACTCTCTTTTATTACTTAGGAAAACTCTCTCAAAAACCTAAGCCTCTCTCTCAATCTCTTTTACAAACTCTAAACCATACAAGTCATATCACAACACAATATGTCCTTATATAACAAAACCCTATGACCTAATCATATCTCAATTAGGATAACACAAAGATCCTTCTAGATAACTCCTAAAGGATTCACAATAATATCTCTTTACACCAATGACTTGTTGTTTAAGTAACCCACCGGTTAAGCTCCTCTCAAGCTTAAACCAACAATTAATTGTTTGGGTAATATTAAAAAAATAGCTATTGTTGATGGGAAAAGAATGCTATGTGATGATGATAATAGTGGGAAATTAAATTAAGCTTCCATTATTGATGGAGAAAGAAAGAGAGAGAAAAAGGAGGAAACAGAACAAATCGTTATGGTGACTGAGAGAGAAAGAAATAAAAAAAGAAAAAAGGGTTTGAGATAATTTTACTTGTTCTTCTTACACACACTCTATTTTCTTATGATTAGTTTTTTTTTTTTTTTTTTTTGTGGTTAGTTTGTATATATTCTCTAATTCTTGGATAATATTACAAAATAGCCAAATTTTGAGTCAAAATTAAGTAACTAATCATTATTAATTTTTCTATGGGTAAATAACCATATGATGACACAGTAAAAGACAAAAATGTCCCCGCAAGTTAAACCAAGAACAAGCTTATGCGGAGAAAAATAATAGATTTGAGAAATTTCAACAAATAGCATGAAACGTGTTAAAATAGCACGATATTTATCAAAAAGTGACATTTTATAACGTATATTTTGCAAAAATAGCATGCTATATAAACAAATATCATTTCATTTGAAAAGTTGAACTAGGAGCAAGTTTATGTAGAGAAAAAGTAATAGATTTGAGAAATTTCAATAAATCCGGTGAAAAATGTTAAAATAGTACGATATTTATCAAATAGTGAAATTATAAACGTACATTTTGCAAAAATAGCATGTTATATAAACAAATATCATTTCATTTGAAAAGAAACCGTGCGAAACAGAATAATAACACGATATATATTATAATAGCGTGTCAAACAAAAAATATCGATTAATATTTAAAAAATAACATGAAAGTTGACAAAATCTATTCATTCTCAACCGTCGATTACCACTACAACCACGACCAAAATATAGAAAATAAAAGATCTTCGACAGATATGATGTATAAAGTGATAGTTGTCGCCGTGAGGAAAGTGGTTACGGCGGAGATGATGATGGTTTTAGAAAATCATGTTGGTTATATAAGGAGGAGTTCGGCACATTATTGAGGAGGGAGCTTGTGCATAAAAAAAATCAGAGAGTTATATCAGTGAGATCTTGAGATCGAGTGTGCTTGTCTGATAAAGCGTTGGAGTCTTGGTGAGATCGAGTGTGCTTGTGTGATAAAGCGTTGGAATCTTGGTGTCATTGATGCATTTGTGTTAACGTACGTGTGTGACATGTTCGGGAGATTTTGGATACAAGTCTAAACTCAGGAAGAGTTTTAGTTTAGAATTAGTTTATCATAAAGAGATCATGCAATATAAAAGAGGGGTGTGCTTGATATACGTTTTTGAAATTTGGTTGTTGCTTTCTTGTTCTATTGAATTTAAATTTTGGATGTGGTCAATAGGAGTAGGAAAAACCGAACTTCCTTAACAAATTTTGTGTTTTGTTTATTTTCTACATTTTTTTGCCTCACTCGCACTAAGAACATCGTCAAAATATATTTTTAATATAGTAAAGTATCTAAAATAAACTTCAACAATAATTAATGCAAATTGAAAAAAACAACCATTTAATTGTATTTCATTTAATTTTCTTACATAATTGCTAAGTTTATACAATAATTAATTTCAAAAATATCAATGAAAATATCCATTTAAACATGGTTATCAAAAAATCATTATTTGTAATGGTGTTTTGAATGGTCTCAAATGTTAAACTAGTCCGATTCAAAACAGAAAAAAATTATTATTTTATATTGATTATCGATTATTAATATATATAGAGGTTTAATGGTATAAGTTTATGAATTAATAAGTGGGTGAACGACCTGTGTCCCCCCAGTAAGTTTCATATAGTACCATAACAACACAGATTTCGGGTCTCGTCTCCAGTCCACACAAAACGAAAGTTAAACTCCAGTTTCCCCCTAAATTGAAAGTTCGAGACTTCAGTCTCCATAATTTCAAATTTCGTGGTTTATCTTCGGTTTACTGTGCCGAACCCGATTAACCGCTTAACATCGAAATTAAACCGGATTTACCCAGAAACCAACCCGATTATTAGACCCATTAAACCCGATAATCCCAAAATCGTAAAATCACCAAACTTCACAAACACACACACACAAAATTCAATTACAAAGTGATCAAGAAAAGATATCAGTGAGCTCTACTAGTAAATTATACCTGAGGATAACAAATCTGAATCCCTCCACGCATTGATTTAGGAGGTTTGAATATAGCCTAGCAAATTTACAACCAAATTTAAAAATCAGATTTTGGATTTTCAGCTTCTTCACAATGTATTTGTAGTGTCTGCATACCTTGTTGCTAGTGAAAAGAAGCTCTTCGCCTTGTTCATTCCTCCATGAAATCACTTGTCCTCCATGTAAACTAATCTGGAAAACCAAAAAATCAAAAACCCAAATTGGTTTTAAAAAAAAAACTCGAATTATTTAGAGAAGAAGGTTGGAGAAAATAGAGAAGACCTTGGCAGAAGCACCATGTGGGTTCCTGAGAAGGACTTGGTCAACGCCATTCCAATCTTTGATTATCTCACTTGCTTCTTTTTGATCCCACACTGTTGCGTAATGACCCATTTTCAATTTCTTCTTCTTCTTCTTCTTCTTCTTCTTCTTTGAATTTTCAGAATCTCAAGAACTTATTACACTGACAAAAAAATTCTGATTTTTGACAGCCAAAAAAAGAGCAAAAGATAAGAAAAACAACAAAAGAGCTTTTTCTTTCTCACAAAAATCTCATGAACATGGCGATAGAATTATACTATAAGATCGAAATTAGGGTTCTAAGATTTCTCAATTTGGGGATAACTCGAATCGGGTTCAAAATCGGTTTATTATTCTGGGTTTTGGTTTGACATCGGGTTCGGCACATTAAACCAAAGATAAACCACGAAATTTAAAATTATGGAGACTGAGGTCTCGAACTTTCAATTTAGGGGGAAACTGGAGTTTAACTTTCGTTTTGTGTGGACTGGAGACGAGACCCGAAATATGTGTTGTTATGGTACTATATGAAACTTACTGGGGGGACACAGGTCGTTCACCCATAATAAGTTAACATATAAGTCTCTTAGGAAATGTTGATACATTAAATGGAAAAGTCACATTTTTAACCCTCAAAGTATCATCGGCTAATACTTTAAACCTCGAAAGAATTTTACTAACATTATAAATCACCAAAATAATTTTACTAGCTAACACTTTAAACCTGCAAACTAGCTTTCCTGTTTGCACCGCCATAAAAGATAACTGAACATTAACTTTCGTCAACCAAACAATTAATTTATATTTGTTTAATATAAATTTATTTAATTTAAATTAAATTTAAAATAATTTTATTATTTATTACGAATTTACGATTAATAAAAAAGACTAACATTTTCAACTACTCAATGTCCGACTACTAAATTTTTCAGATTTTTCATTTAGTTCATTGTCTTTGTTCACCATCTTGTTGTTGTAATTGGTATTATGAGATCCCAATTTATCCACTTGATAGAGTGAAAACGCTTTTGGATCAATCTTTCCTAATAGATTTCTCCGATACGGATAATTCTTCATTTTCCAGCTAAACTTCAATATTCGTTGGTTTTTATTCTTCTATTTAAAGTTTTATTGTACCTCAGATTCTAAATTTTGTTGTTTCTATTTTTTTACTTTAAGCTTCTCTTGTATTTCAGTCTCTAGTTTTTGAGGTTTATCTAGAAATTTTATGGTCGGATATTTGAGTTGACGAAGAAGATAATGTTTTTATTTTTGTTTTTAGATTTTTATTAATTTTAATAAATAATAAATTAATTAAAATTTAAATTAATTTATAAATTTATTAAACAAACATAAATTAATTGTTCTGTTGACGGAACATTCATGTTTATGGCGGTGCAAACATAAAAGCTAGTTTGGAAGATTAAAGTATGGCGTTGCAAACATCCGAAATATTTGACCCGAAGCCGATCTGAACCCAAAATCTATACATTTCTGAATGGATCCTATACTTCTAAAACCGAATACCCGAAAACTCGAAATATCCGACTCGAACCCAAATGGTACCCGAACGTGTTAGTAAAATTTTTATGAAGTTTAAAGTGGTACCCGATTACACTTTACAAGTTCAAAATATATTATATGTTTATTTGTTGACCGTTGAATCCATTTTATTAAATGCCATTGAATAATATATCAGCATATAAGTCTTTCCAAAAAAGCATTTTGGTCAAAGGCCTTGAATTTAGGAGAACAAATTATTTTGTTCCTTTCTCAGCCTCCACGACCCTTATATATTAAACCTTTTTCGTCCATGCTGCCAAATCAATAAACTCTCTCTTTCTCTCTATTGTTGATAAAAATGGAAGTGAGAGGCCCAGTGATATGGATGTTCTTAATGTGTATTGGTCACATAATTGTAAGTCATAACAATGACTTCGTGGAAGCCAAGAGCTTTTCTAAATCTGAAGATTTAGAAATCGAGAAGAGACTAAAGTCTATCAACAAACCCGCTGTCAAGATCATCAAGGTTTTTATATATCTTCACAATCGTGTTATTGTTCTCTATATACAATTAAGTAATATATGTTAACTTCTATAGAAATGGCTGAAAATGATAGACTATAGATGGAGAAAGATACAGATGTGTGGATTTCTTCAAGCAACCAGCATTTGATCATCCTTCTATGAAGAATCATACATACCATTACAAGGTATAATAACTTCGGATCAGCTTTATTTACGTATATTCTTGTATAAACATAAAAAGAAAAGGACAGTAATATGTTTGTGGTCTGACATGTCTTAGATGCGTCCAATATGGAAAGGAATCAGAGAAAGAAAGACAAACAATACCGGTTTTGGTTACTTATGGGAGAATGGTGTGGGTTGTCCCATTGGTACGGTCCCTATTCAAAGAGTCACCAAAGACGATCTTTTGAGATTAGACTCATTTGTTGATAATCATAAACCCCGTGGTTCTTGGAACACTACCACTTTTAATCTTAATAATCCTTTTCATCCCGACCAACATCATGTAAGTCGCTTCTTTTCATTAAAAGTTAAAAAAATATCATCAATTAATATTTTGATATATTTATAATGATAATATTCTTGGTCATTCAATAAAAATGAATGGGATAAGTATGCGGTAGCTCGAACGAAGGACATAGGAAGGAGGTTCCATGGAGCAACGATGGGACTTTGTATAACGGCTCCTAAGGTTAAGCCAACCCAATTCAGTAATTCTAGACTTCACATTCAGATGGGAAGGGATTTCCTCCAAGCCGGTTTGACTGTAAGTCGCTTAGTTTATTTATTTTGCACTTAGCTACGAGTTCTATTTACTTAATAACTTTTAAAAACATGTATTAATTATACTTTTTAATAAATAATTTCAATAACACAAATATTATTTACTAATTCAGGTAAATCCAGTATTGTACAAGGACAAGCAACCTCGGACTTTTGTTTATACATCTGTGAGTCAGTCACATTATGCTAGTAAATTCTTTTTCAATTTTTTTTAGACTAAATAAATAAATATATATATATATATATATATATATATATATATATATATATATATATATATATATATATATATATATATGAAATAATTTACATGGACAGGCAAATGGAAAATCATGTTACAATAGCAACTGCAACGTTGGAATGATAGCCATCCGTCATGACTTAACACTTGGTCTGGCATTGCAGCCAGTGTCTACTCGTGGTTCTAGGCCAAGTTACTATACAAAGATCGGTCTAGTCAAAGTTTTCTCTTTCTTAATACTACTTAGTGACAAATAATATATTATTTACTATATAAGAAGAAGAAACTTCGGGTTTGAACCGGGCCTTGTGGCCTAGTGGTAAAGGGGTCACAACTGTGACTTCCGCCACCAGGGTTAGGAGTGCGACTAACCATTCAAAAGTTCGACAAACATAAATGCAGTGTCTTAATTTACCTATTATTTTCTGGTAACAGGACAGAAAATCTGGAAATTGGTTGTTGCGAATGGGTGGTAATTATGAGCCAATAAATATTGGACTTTGGCCAGGGCATAGGTTTCAACAAGGCTTTGGAGATTTTGTCGAGTGGGGTGGAGAAGTGTACAGCGCATATCTGCCGAGTCCTCAAATGGGATATGGATATTTCCCAATTCAGGATAAAAGTTATGATGCATATATCCAACACATATCCATACTCGACCGTAATTATAACATAGACCGCAATGTGGACTATCTCGAAGACTTTTCGGACAACAATCGAGGCTATCAAGTGATAGACACCCGAGATCCTAGACATAGCGGCGGTCACATAATCTTTTATGGTGGTCCGGGAAATATCTGAAAACGATTAGATCTTTATAATTTAAAAATTAAAACATTACATCGACTTGATTTTACTATATACATATATACACAAGAGATAGAAAATGGAATCTACATAAGCTAAATTAAATAAGTAACGTGTAATCAAATGAAAAAGTCATATGCTTATAGCTTCCAAGTCGGTTATCTTTGGGCTAACCGTTTTATGGTGAAGTCCCTTTGTTTGTGGATCATATTAAAGGTTGGGGATGGAAGATATTGCTTCTTCTATAGCCTGTAGACTAAGACGAACCATAGCCTTCACCTTAACAACTTCAAATCATCAGAATCTCATCGTCACCACAATAGATTGCTTGATTCAAAATCGAGCATTTAGCCTCCGTTAGAAGAAACCTTGCTTTCCATTTGTACTGCTCCAACTCAAGTTCAATCGATTTCAGTTAACTAGCTAGCTGAGCATCTCTATTGTCACTTCGCCTATATTGTTGAATATACGGTTATCCTAAAAAATGCTAGATCAAGTGAGCTAAAATTCAGCCATCAGTAGAGAGATTGCTAGAATCTATGATACATCTGCTGAGACAGATTTAAACATTGTGTCAGAATCTTTACGGATGCGGTGACAACTCAGCTTGAGATCCTGAGAGAGGATTGAAGCTTGAAGATCACCAAATTACAAATTACAAGTTGACCTTGATTATTAAAACTTAGTAACAAAGGTGGAGATGGAAAGTACATTGTTACAAGTTTTGAGACTCAAGATTTGATCAAGAGATGAGTTCGTTACAAGGTGGTACAGAAAGTGTCTCAAGAAATTTGTGCGTGACACAAGGTTTGCTTCAGAGAGCAACAACATAGATGAATTCAATGTTGACTTACGCTTGAAGATAACTTGAGTCACAAGTTATTTACAAAAGAGATTAGGATTGGAATCTTTAGGAGTTATCTAAAGATATATAAATTTAGGAGTTAGCTAAATATATCCCAATGAGACTAGGATTTGGTTAAGTGTTTTCTTATAGAAGAAGAAACTCAAGAAGACCTAAGCAAGCTGATGTATGCGAACATGGAATTTTGGTCATTTTTAAAATAGTAGAAGATAGAGAACTATTTACAAAATAAAGAAGGTTACATATTTGGTTTTTCATTCAACTGGGGTTTTACATTAATATTAACCATCTACAAAAGAAAGTACACATTAGTATGGTAAATTGTTAAGGCTTTGATTGGTGCCATTTGACACAGTACAATATTTTTAAGTAGTATAAACAGATGTAGTACACAACACCTTTTTTTCTGGGCTTTACATTGTACCATCACTTTTATCTTGTAACACTATTTTAATTGTGTTTTATAATACTATTTTTGAACCAGTATTTTTGTACTATTATTTTTGTACAATTTGATTGATTGATTTCATAAGAAGTGTTACGTTTTGTACTATCATCTGAATATGCTACCAATCAAAGTTAAATTAGCACTTTGAAATTATCATAACAATGGCTCTATCGAAGCTAAGAAGATTTCTGAATTCAAAGATCTAAAAATTGAAAATAAACTTCGAAACTATCAATAAACCCGTTGTCAAGATCATCAATGTTCATAACAATGAAAGTTGAATCCTACATTATATTGTGTACATAAACTACCGATTCTCAATCAAATACCGATTCTCATGCTGTTGATGCTCGAAAAGAAAACATAAACTCCTCGTACAACCCACGCTTATCCTCCATCCCTGGCGTAGACTTAAACAAGATTGTCCCGGTTTGTAAGCAACAAGCATTTCCCAAGATTTTTTAACAAAACCTATCTCTTTTTGCAATCCAAATATCCATGTCCACTTGAACCTTTCGAGACTCGACAAAAAACATTTAGGAACATAATTTAGTTGATTCTTAAAGCAAGCTAGATTAAAACAATCGTTATGATCCTGAGGTAAAATATGAGAATTAGGCTTGAACGTTAATTATTGTAAAATATGAGAACAAAAGGGATTTATCGAAAAACTTACCTCATTCAAGTCCATCTCGAGTAACCGGGAAAGAAACTTTTCCCAATTTGAATCACATGGACATAGCTTTGTCTTTTGAAATACTCTAATGCCCAATGTCTTTAAATCTTGAAAGTTGAATCGTTTAATTTATTTGCATTTTTATTTTCAAATCTGAAAAACCCAACAAACAACCTCTTTAGTTTTAGCTAAGGACGAGTCTCAGAAATTCTTAGAGTATATTTGGTCCTTATGGATCGACCTCGAATATACTACCTAACGGTTAAGTATGTTGAGTTAATTACTCGAGCAATCAAACCATACTTTATATAATAAGATATAAAGAGGCACCTAATTTTGTATTCCATCTTCACTTAGGCATGTCAATCGGGCTAGCTTGCCGGCCTTGCTAAGTCCGAAACCCGCAAAACATGTTTTAGCCTGGCCCTGCCTTAACAGGCTTTTTTGAGCTTTTTTCGAGAAAACAAGAAACAACTTATAATTTGTAATATCTTTTAAAAAAAAAATCTATGTATAGAACGAGACAATCGAAATTTAAATAACCACCAACCCAGTTTAGTTTAAAAGAAAAAGTTTAAAATCTAATAAATTGTTTAAACTCACACCAAATAAAAAATAAAATCAGAAGACTTGAAACTAGGTAGTATAACCAAGATTTGGTTTTTAAATTTATAGTAAGGTACAATTAGAAAACTAGGTTTAGAGTTTTCAAATCTATTAAAAAGAAATCTTAAAAATGAATTTATTAACACAAAAAGTCAAAAGTTTTCTTTAGGGATTTTTTGGACCAGCCCAAGCCCGGCCGGGATAAGCCCAAAAAATCTTTTAGCCTAAAAGATCCGATTTTTTCTGGACATATATTTTTAAATCCAAACTCGATATTTTCAGGGCTGGGCCGGGCTAGCTTTCGCCTTAACTGATATGCCTATCTGCACTTACCAAAATTATTTACTTTTATATTGCACTTTTACTTCTTTTTTATTTGGCAGGTATTGTTTTTGTGGTAAATATTTGAAAAGAAAGAAAACATTGATTTTTATATATTCTTTTCCAATTTTTGGATAGAAAGGGAAAATAAAGTCAAATTTCTTTTTGGTAAAGAACTAAAGTCAAATTGTCCTTAGGAAGAAAAAGAGAGCTAAATTTTAATTTAGACAATAAAACCTAAATATTTTGATTTGTCTTTAAATAATCTTTTGTGTCTCCTCGTAATTAACTACATCAAGCATATATAGATAAAGATCCATTTCTCTTCTTGCTTTACTCATACATGTGAAGCATCTTAAGTCTAAAAGCATTCTCTCTTTTTCGTGTTTCTCTTCTTCACAAAAGAATCCATCTCCTTCTTTAGTGATCTAATCCATGGAGATATCATTATCATCTTCAGATGCACGAGGTAAGGGTGTCCTTGTTGATGAGGTCAATACGGATGATCGAATCAGCAGACTCTCCAGAGATCTATTGCTTAAGATCTTATCGAGCATGTCTACTTAAGAAGCTGTTACGACGAGCGTTCTATCAAACCGATGGGGGGGGATGTGTGGAAGGAATCGTCTGAGATTTTTATGGACATGCAATATATAACGAAAGCCAGAAATACTGTGATGGATGTTAGTATATGCAGCTGGATGGATGACAAAGGTGCATTTCTTTGCTCAAAATTTTCTCTTTACAACTTTTTGGATAAAAGTATTTCACAAATAAACAAATAGATCTGGGTATAAGCTGATGACCTAGGTTGATGTTATATTACAAAACTCTAAGATTACCCATGAATTAATAGATGATTTCATTTGTTCATTGTTGTAGCCTTGTAGGGGAAAAATAAAAGTAAATAACCAATGAATACGTTTTATTTTAAAATTCCCGTGTTTATGAAAGAAAAAGGTTACCATCTTAACAGTATTTGGCGCGAGTAGGCTATATTTTCTAAACTTATACAAATCTTTGTATAAGTTTGTGATCTATTATACATGACATGCACATTTTTCGGATGACATGTTATATATATTTTCAGATCCAAGGCTTTTTTTTTTTCCATAAACACACTTTTGATTTCTAAAACACATTACTTATACAAAGAAAATGCTATTCATTTCAATATGACAAGTTATTTTTATATTTGACAAGTTATTCCTTAAAAATACTTAGACATTTGTTCTATATGTTTGCACATTACATGTGGTTGACTTGAAGATGACATCATTAATGTTCTACTCAAAATAACGTCGTCCTTTTGACGAAATTAAAGGAGCATTTAAGTACACCTAGCTAGGGTTAGAAGAGAAAATAAGGAACCTTGGTTGCGAGAGAGAAAAAGGAAGCAGTTTCAATAGAAAAAAGAGAGTGAACACTATTTCTGCAAAATTCACAATTAAGAAGCAAGCGAGATCAAATCCGATTCTAAATCAGGAATTTCTGTAGTCCGGTATTACTTTTTGTCGAGAAAATGAGGTAAATTAACGTAGTTAATTAGTCGTTTTACAAAATCGGAGAAATTGAGTGGGACATTAATTCGATTCACATGAAAAAATTTGTTGATTTTGAGTAGGATTATAAAATAAATGGAATATAGAGGCTTGTGGAGATATTTTAATTCAAGATTTACATTAATATTGTTCAAGTATCAACTGTTGGATATTTAAGTGTACGTGATATTTAAGTGTACGTACATCGTCGGTTATTCACGAATGTTGGATATTTAAGTGTACGTACATCGATGGTTAGTGTACGTACATCGACGGTTATTCACCAACCATCGCACCTTTTGGTACAAACGGTTATTATATTAAACGTACGGTTGCAAACGTATGTGAAGACCGTTGATCACTATAAAACTCTGTTTCTCTTGTATCAAACAGAGAGAGAAGTACAGAGCACGAGAGTTTCACAAAATCAAAGATTGAAAGAATCTTTGGTGATAAACACATAAACAAAACACATAATCTCTATTTGTTTCTCTTGTATCTTAGCCTAGAACAAGAGAGAACTTTGATTGTCTTATCCTACAAGGGATTTTGTGTAACCCAAGGCTTGATAAGGGTCGAAATACTCTTTAAGGAAAGTGCTCACGTGCGCGATTCAATCATTATCCAAGTTCACATTCGTTACTTCCCGGAGTTACAAAGCCTATTTCTACAACAATCTTAAAGAGTATTTACGGTGAACAATGGCTAATGTTTCTGTGCGTGAGATGACATCAAAGTTTGGCAAATTGGATAAGTTTGAAGTAGTTGATTTTAGAAGATGACAAAAGAAGATGCACTTTCTCCTCACAACGCTAAATGTGGTGCACGTTCTAAGTGTGCCAATGCCCACCGTGTCGGAGAATGCTGAGAACGAGTGTGTGGAGGAGACAAGGAAGCAACTTAAGTGGGTGTAAAGCCGTGGTAATGTGTCGGAGATTACGATCTCCGGACGTGCGGATGATCTAAGGGCTAGAATATTGCGGGGTGTTTGATTAGCTCGTTGATCGGCTTAGTCATTCATGAGCATATTCATATCGTGGATGCTTTTTATGGAGTAACGGTTTGGTTGAGACGGGGATGCGGCTCGGCAAGGAATTGGCGGATCCGCAAGGATCTACCGATTCTAGGCCGAACTGATGTGCTTACTTCCAATCTCTGATCCGCTTTCCGGACTAAAGGACTATAAGGACATATAGGTTTTATGTCATAGAACCTAATGATTCTATAGCGGCTCATACCGTAATTGAGTCAAGAGATGCAATATTTGATGAGAATCGTTTCTCGATGATTTCTAGGCCAATTCCCTTAATACAACATGTAGATGGATGAATCCATCTCGGTGTCGTGCATCATCGACAAGTTGCCGCCTTTGTGGAAAGCTTGGACATAGGGCCAAGGACTGCCGTCATAAGAAGGAAGGAACATCGATTGGAGATGCAAGTAATGCGAACCTTGTCGAAGATCAGTTTGTTGCGGTCGTTTCCGAAGCAAACATGATGACAAACTCCAATGATTGTTGGGTTGACACTGGTGCTACAAAGCATGTGTGTTCTGATGCGAGTATGTTCTCAATGTACGTACATGGCTCTGGTGGAGAAAAGTTGTACATGGGAAACGCAAGTACCACAAAGATAAAAGGGAAAGGCAAAGTGGTTTTAAAACTCACGAGTAATTGGTTGCTTAATGTATGCCATGACTAGCACTAGACCGGATATAGCTTTTGCGGTAGGAAAGTTGAGTAGATACACTAGTAATCCTAGTACTCATCATTGGCAAGCTGTAAGGCGGGTGCTCAAGTACTTGAAAGGAACCATAAATTATGGTTTGTCATATTTTGGATTTCCTTCGGTCTTAGAAGGATATTCGGATGCAAGTTGGAACACCAACGAGGAAAATCATTCTTCTACAAGTGGTTGGGTGTTTCTACTTGGGGGAGGTGCCATTTCATGGGCATCAAATAAACAAACTTGTATTACAAATTCTACTATGGAATCGGAATTTGTAGCGTTAACGGCTGCAGGGAGAGAGGTGGAATGGTTAAGACACCTAGTCTCCGAGATTCCATTGTGGCCGAAACCAGTGCCACCCATTTCTATCCATTGCGATAGTCAAGCTACTTTGGCTAAGGCCTATAGCCAAGTGTATAATGGTAAGTCGCGACACCTAGGCTTGAGACATAGCGGGATACGTGAGTTGATCACTCATGGGGTGATTACTTTAGAATTTATTCGGTCTGAACATAATCTAGCGGATCACTTGACAAAAGGATTAGCTAGAGACTTGGTGATCAAGTCGGCTAAAGGGATGGGATTAAAGTCCATTTGAAATCTCTAATGGTGGGATACCCAATTCCCCTCTAATACAACGTTAGAGGCTGAATTCAATGTGGAAAGCCCACACTTAGAGATTGAAGCACTGATTTATATCATCCCAAAGTAAGTGCTTGGATCTGCAAGAAAAGATTAGGTTGAAGTTTTATTCTTAATAGATCTTTTGAAAAATTGCATTTTGCAGGTGCAAGATTAAACGATCTACCTATATGGGTGTGAAGTGTAGCCGCTTCAAGAAGCTTGGACTTGGCTTTGTATACGCTCATGAATGGATAAGGACACATGGCTTATAATAGTGTCAAGGATAAACACTTAGAGTAGTGAGTGAATTCGTGTGTGTATTATCTTTATGTGCTCAAAATGAGTTGAAGGATTCAATCCGTAGGACATCCTGATTCTCGAGCATTTGGAATGTGTAATATCACTAAGATGTAAATTCAATCGTTACGATATTTACATTTATGCATGAGTTTGGTTTACGTGTTGTTAATTTTGTGAATCAAAGATTACACTTAAATGGGGGAGGAATGTTGGATATTTAAGTGTACGTACATCGTCGGTTATTCACGAATGTTGGATATTTAAGTGTACGTACATCGACGGTTAGTGTACGTACATCGACGGTTATTCACCAACCATCGCACCTTTTGGTACAAACGGTTATTATATTAAACGTACGGTTGCAAACGTACGTGAAGACCGTTGATCACTATAAAACTCTGTTTCTCTTGTGTCAAACAGAGAGAGAAGTACAGAGCACGAGAGTTTCACAAGATCAAAGATTGAAAGAATCTTTGGTGATAAACACATAAACAAAACACATAATCTCTATTTGTTTCTCTTGTATCTTAGCCTAGAACAAGAGAGAACTTTGATTGTCTTATCCTACAAGGGATTTCGTGTAACCCAAGGCTTGATAAGGGTCGAAATACTCTTTAAGGAAAGTGCTCACGTGCGCGATTCAATCATTATCCAAGTTCACATTCGTTATTTTCCGGAGTTACAAAGCCTATTTCTACAACATCAACTATGAGCATTTTCAAATAATTTTCCGGAACTCATGTTCAATAAGGCCCACAGTTTTTAAAAATTTCCTTTAACCAGAAATAAATTTAATTAAAGGGATAACCATGTTTGTTGGCCCGCCTAGCCTTAACGAAGCATATGACTCGCTTATCTATATAAGATTTGATCATTTAAGATTTTCTTTCGTTCCTCTGTATAAGATTTTATTTCTTGTTTGTTTTGTGGCATTTCTTCTTGGTTACTTGAACAAAACCCAGAATTTGTATTCTTAATTAAAGTCGGTGTTTATGTCAATGATAAAAGAATCATAAAGATTGTAAGATATAGACAAGATCAGTGAGTTGCCTGATGAATTGCTAGTGAAGGTACTAATGTATCTCCCTACAAGATCAGTGAGTTGTAAACACGAATATTTTATGGAAACGATGAAAGTTTATTTGGATTTGGTTGGCTTATATCAAGCTTAGTCACGAACATCGAAAGAAACTTCCATCCCTTCGATACAATACTCGTGCTTACATCAACTTTTGTTGGGAGAAACAAAAGTTGATGTATCTCAACGAGCAATTCATCATGGGAATTATCTGATCTTATCCATATCTTACAATCTCCATGATTATTTTATCATTGACATACACACTGAGTTGAAAATTACAAATTTTGGGTTCTGTTCAAGTAAGTAACCTAGAAGAAAAGTCACAAAACAAGCAAGAAATAAGACAAGGTATAATAATACATAGGAAAGAAAGAAAATATTGATATATGAAATCTTATATAGAGAGAATCGAGTTATACGCTTTCACTAAGGCTTAGAAACATGTTTATCCTCTTAATTTATTTTCTTTACGGTTAATAGTAAAGGAAATTTTTACAAAAAATGTGGGTCTTACTGAACATCATCTCCAAAAATTTAATCGAAAATGCGCATAATTAATACCATATTTATGTTAATCATGAATAAACATATCTCCACAAATCCTTTATATTTCATATATTCTATAAGTCTACTCAAAGTTAATTAAAGTTTTCATGTGAATCAAATTAATGTTTCACTCCATTTCTCCGTTTAAGTAAAACCCATAAGTACATCAACTTACCTCAATTTTTCGACGAAAAAGTAGTACCTAACAACAAAAATTCCCAATTTAGAGTCGGATTTGATCTCGTTTGCTTCCTACTTGTGAATTTTGCAGCCTACTCTATTTTATCCATTGAAATTGCCTCTTTTTTCTCTCTGGAAAACAATGTAACCTATTTTCTCTTCTAACCCTAGGTGTACTTAAATACCCCATAAATTTTTTCAAAACGACGTCGTTTTTTTGAGAAGATCGTAAATGATGTCGTGTTCAATGCGTGTTCGGAAGCATCAGAAGAGAATTAAATTACATAAATAGTTTGGGCCCTATCTTACGTGATGTACGTACCCACAAACCGGAATATTTCTTTGTTCATTGGCTCAAAGAAATTGTCCGTTTTAAATCTTGTTACTCTTATAAATGATTTAATTCCTTTTGTTTGAAGTGTACCAAATTAAATAAATTACTTCATTTAAAAGATTGTCAATTTTATACGTATGTTTGAATTCATAAAAGTAAAAACTAAAACCCAATAATTTTTGTGGAAGTCCCCTTGGTCTAAAGCAGTGGTTGACCAAGAGTTCATTAATATTACTACACAAGGTCTGGATTTCAACTCCTAAAGAACGCAGTTTCTTGTAGAGTAATAGTGCAAAGTTTACCGGACATCCAAAGTGCCGCGTGTAGAACCATTCGTAGTGGTCAGAATATTACAGGAAGATCATGTCGCGGAGATGTCGTACATGAAGAACCGACAGCTGAAGATCCGAGTGCGACGAGGAGAACTGCGCTGTAGAATCGTTGTTCGTGAGAACTGTTCATATATGATGGAGCTAGTTAATTATTATCATAATAGGATTAGCTTAAAATGATGTAATAAGACGAGAAAAAAAACACAATATTTTTGAAATCTTTTAAACCAAATTTTGTGTACGTATCATGGTTAATCTAAAAATAAAGTACCATATGATTGGTGCCATATGACGTATTAGCACATGAGAATGAGGCTTGAACGTTAATTATTGTAAAATAAACAAAACCAAAAGGATTATATCAAAAAACTTACCTCATTCAAGTCGATCTCGAGTAACCGTGAAAGAAACTTTGACCAATTTGAATCACATGGACATAGCTTCAAATGTTCAAGTTGTTTGAAGACAATACCCTCACGATATAAAGCCTGGACCGATGACGAAAATTTCAACCTCACGAATGAATGGTTTAGTCAGTGTTATAAAATGAGATTGATAGATGGATTGAAATAAACTACCTCTTCGATGTTGACCCTTACGCATAATGAAAGCTGCTTGACTTATGTGGTAGAGCTAACTAACTTTTCGATATCAGGGTATGTCGAGTCAATATCCGTCTCCTCTAACTTAGGTATATCTTTAAAGTAGTAGGAGTAGCTATCATCATCAAGATAATCTCTAATTTTGAAATATTTCAGATAAGGAGTATTTATCACCAGCTCATTTAAATATTCACCAAGATATCTTTAGGGTTAGTCTCTGCAAAGACGGGACCATTACACTTAACGTTCCAAAATAGTTATATTCATCCAGTTCCACGACTAGATTCTTGAGAACAGGGCAATTAGAAAGAAGTTGGTGAAGAGAATTTGAATCTTTGTAAGTCACCTTTTCAAGGAGCAAATATTTTAAGAAGGGCAGATAAGCCATAGGAGGAACATCCACAAGAATCTCGTCTATAAGATTCAAAATCACTAGCGATTTGCAGATATACAAACTACTCGGTAGTTTAGTAGGATTCTCCATACATTAAAAAGGAAAAAGGTTGATGGTTTACTGACCGAAGCAGCGAGAAACAGCAAATACAGTCCACAATTTGATATCTTCAGGCTGAATTGATCTCACCTGGCTAAACTTGAGACATAAGCTTTTTATGGCGGGAGCTCTATGTAATTGCATATCAAAATTGATAAAACTCTGTAACCTCTGTTCTTCAGAGGCTGAATAATCGGTATTATCGTATTCAAGTTTAGGCAACCACATCCAAAGAACTCCGATCGGTTCGATAAAATACTTGTGCTTACAACAATTTTACTTGGAAGAAATAATAGTACCTTCACGAGTAAATCATAGGCAACTTACTAATCTTGTACATATCTTCATAATCTCCAAGTTTCGTTAGTTTATTTTTATTGGTTTTAACCAATATTCTCTAATTGTTGACATAAACACTGACTCTTAATTCTTAAAATAGAAAACAATGACTCCAAGAAGAACAAATAAAACAAGAGGAACCGAAAAAAAAAACCTAATAAGATCTTCAATTACCTATATATAAACAAAGTCGAGTATGCTTAACTAGGGCCATGAAAATTATCCATTGCACTAGTTCCACCGATGAGAAACTTCGAGCACTATCTCACGATCTCGTCCTCGTTCAGCTTCCTCTTTTCGTGTTACTCTCTCTTGGAGTGGACGATCTTCCTTTGAGCACGAATGAATGGAGGCAAAACGTCTCGCTGCTCTCTCAGCATCTGGAAAACATCTTCCTATCTCTTTCGCATAATCAATTTAGTAAACTTAGGACAGTAGTTAAGGATCTTGAATCTAGAAATAGCTCAAAGTCGTGTAAGAGTTTCAGACTGCAAAAACACCTTGACAAAAGAACTTATATACAGTTTATTGTCCTTGGTTTATACAATGAAGCATAAATTTCATACACTTATTGTTGCCAACTATTCTTGATGTGTTACATCTTTGATCACATAACTATAAGTCCTAACATATAAATGAAAACATTATAGTAGTATGAGTTGTTGAACCTCGAAAAGAAAGTAACAAACTCCTGGATCTGTCTCTAGAGCAGACTGAAATAAGATTGTCGCAGTCTTTAAGCAACGAGCATTTCTCAAAATATATTTTGCCAAATCCATCACTTTTGGCGATCCATGTATTTGAAAGTTTCGAGACTCGACAACAAACATTTAGGAACACAATTCAGTTGATTCTCCCAGCAAACTGTTGGATCCACACAAGTTTTTGTATGATCCTGAGATCAATCATAGAAGCATGGCCTAAATACTAAAGCAAATCAAATCAAAAGAATAGGTCGATATCGAAGAAACTTCCATCATACAGAGAGACTTCGAGCCCTCGTATTTAAATTAGGAGAATCTTTAAGTAACCGGACAAGTAGCTTTGACCAATTTGAATCACGTGGACATAGCTTCAGATTTTTAAGCTGGTTGAAGAAAATACCCTCAGGATATAAAGCCTGCACACAATGACGAAGGATTCAACCTCAAGAAAACGTATTGTTCTAAAATGAGATTGATAGATGGATGGAAACAAATTACCTCTTCTGCATTGACTCTTACGCATAATGAAAGCCGCTTGACGGATGTGATGATCTAACAAACTTAACCATATCAGCGTATGTCGAACTAATATCCGCCTCCTCTAAGTTAGGCATAACCATCAGTTTCATATTTACCCTTATAATCCATAATTTTGAAATGCTTCAAAGGAGTGTGTAACACAAGCACATAAAACTGAGAACCTCTTAATATTTTTAGGGTTAGTCTCTGGAAAGACCAGACACTTACCCTAAATCTCTAAACGTTCTAGAAATAGATCCTCAAGAACAGTGCAACTGGAAAGAAGGCGCTGAAGCAAAGTTTTTAAAGAAAGGCGAGTTTTCTTTACTAAGGCCTTGCTTAGGGCAGTTATTTCAAAAATTTAGAATTTTTTTTCTATTAACCTTCTTAATTAAAAAATTGTGGGTCTTCTTCGTGATCACGTGACTTGTATCATTTAACTCACGCAATAAATCCCTTGATGCATGTATCAGAAAGAAAGGAAATTATTTCTCGATAATTTTCATTAAAAAAGCTAATCATTTACTGACACACAAAGTTAGGTACCATAATTAGTTTTATACAGTATCTGTTTGTATTGAACTTTTAAAAGTAACTGTTGAGATAAAAATATTTTAGTTATAAGAAAACAAAATTTGTTGGAATATTTTTGTTTTATAGTGGAAGTTGGGAAAATTGTTTTCTAAATTGTTATTTTAATTAAAACATCTCTTTATGCCTTTCTTATAATGTAACTATCTAATTTTGTAATTCCAAATTTCCACTTACCGAAATTATTTGCAGTTTTGCTTTTGTATTTTGCAGATTTACTTCTTCTCTTTATTTATTTGGCGGATCTGTTTTATGTGGTAAATGTTGTGTAAAGAAGGAAAATATTGATTTTTTTCTCCAGTTTTTTTAATTTTAAAGGAAAATAAAGTCAAAATTTTTATTGGTAAAAACGTCAAATTGTCCTTGTGAAAATTTAAAAAATAAGGGTTAAATTTCATTTTGACAACAACCCCAAATATTTTCTGTCTCTATATAATCTTTTGTTTCGTCTCCTCGTAATTAACTACATCAAGCATCAACCTCCATTTCTCTTCTTGCTTTACTCATACATGTGAAGCATCTCAAGTCTAAAAGCATTCTCTCTTTTTCGTGTTTCTCTTCTTCACAAAAGAATCCATCTCCTTCTTTAGTGATCTAATCCATGGAGATATCATCATTATCATCTTCTGATACACGAGGTAAAGATGACCTTGTTGATGCGGTCAATACCGATGATCGAATCAGCACACTCTCCAAAGATCTATTGCTTAAGATCTTATCGAGCCTGTCTACAAAAGAAGTTGTTAGAACAAGTGTTCTATCAAAGAGATGGGGGGATGTGTGGAAGGAGACGTCTGAGATCTTTATGGACATGCGATATATAACGATATCCAGATATCTTTCCATCGATTTTAGTCCTTATGCCGCTGGATGGCTCACAAAGGTCCATTTCTTTACTCAAAATTTTCTCTTTACAACTTTTTGGATAAATGTTTTTCACAAATATACAAATAGATCTGGGAATACAAATATACATATATCAGTAATAAAGGATCTCGTTTGTTCATTGTTGAAGTGGAAAATCAAATTTTAGATAACCAATGAATACATGTTATTTTAAATTTCGCGCGTTTATGAAAGAGAAAGGTTAACGCCTTAACGGTATTTGGCGCGAATAGGCTATACTTTCAAATTTTATGATCAATACATACATTAGTAATTGAGTATATACAGTAAATTTGCCATCATAGTAGTGAGTTGGAAATCTAATTGATCTCTTGCCTTATTCCATCTAGAATAAATACATGCATACACAAAAGATACACCTGTAATTTGCAATTGACTTGTATACAGACTAATTAAATGTGTTGTAAATTACAATTTTCTACATAATTATTTGCAATTCAATTTTAAGAAAAGTGGTCCAAGATTCCAACGGATTTATACATATATAATAAAGTGATATCTTTATGTTTATCATTTTCAAATATCCTAAATCACTCTTTGCCCTTGTAGGTTATAAACGATCACAGTGGCAATTTTGAACGATTTACAATCTACCATTTCGCATACCAATGTGGATATGGGATGGTCGAGGCGTGGATTCGATCGTTGATTCATGTGAAACATGTCAAGGATCTCACGCTTGTAAACTGTTTTCGTCCTTTCTTAGTAACCTCCATTTTGACACTTGACTTGCCTCCAAAGTCATTTTCCCATCCAAACCTCAAATCACTCCATCTTGGTAGGTATACCTTAAAAGATCCACATGGTTTCGACAACTGCTGGAATATAAAGCAGCTAAAACTCATTGCCGTTTTCGCCGAGATTGAAGTCTTTAATGTGGTCCTCATGTCTTGCCCTTCTCTGGAAGTGCTCGTTGTAGACCTTCACTGCCACAAACAAAGTGGTCCTCTGAAAATTGAGAATCGCAACTTAAAGTTCTTGTTCTTATCATGTTCTCAAATTGATGGAATTGAAGTGGCTACACCCAGTCTTGAGATCCTGACCGTCAAATCTCTCTCGTGTGAGATAGAGAAATTTGTCATTGCAAACCCTAACTTCCAGTTTAATCGAAACTATTGGGCAACTGGACAATTATATCCTCACACCAGCTATTACATAGCATGCCCTCCTGATCAGGTATATATTTCTTTTGCTTGCAATTTTATTTTGATAGAAAATATATTTATGATATTAACACTTAGTTTGATATTTTGACATATATATGAATCTAAGGACAAAACAAGCATTGGGCATGAAGTCATGATGAGTGAACCCAGTGAATATATGAAGTTCTACGCATCAATGTCAGTGAGTATAGACTTAACGAATACCAAAGAGGTAGATATGCTCAAAGAAGTTTTAGCTGCATGGCCCGACGAAATGCAAGAACTCGAGATTTTATTTAAGGTACGTTAAAATTTCATGTGTTATGATTGAAATAGACATTATGGTTATCAACGTTGGTCTGTAAGTGATATTGTATATTCCTTTTTTTTTTGTATATATATAGAATAGCAATGTCCCCAGGAAAGAAGGTGAGACTCCCATGGGAAGAACAAAGAGGAAGTTTTGGGAAGAGACAAAACCGTTTCCCAACGGTCACTTCCGTGTACATACTGTATGGCTGTTTAACTTTAGCGGTTCTAAAGAAGAGTTTGCTTTAGCTTCACGATTGATAACGCAAGGAACAGTGGTCATGACTATGAAAATCCAACCAGCGTCGATTTCTCTAAGTAACAAGTTAGAGATAGAAGCGGCAGTGACCAAGCTAAAAGAACTTCCAAAAGGTCACACAGAACTTAGTATCGTAATGTTCTGATGGAATTTGGTTTAATCTAGCTCTTGGTGACATAAAGAGAAAACCCTTTGTTATTTGCTTTCTTTTTTTTTTGTTGGAAATTCTGTTGTTTCAACTTACAAGTACTGCTTTTGGCATTTGTTTAATTAATTGTTTCAGATATTTGGGACCTAATTTGTATTTTATCTGATTTTCTTGATGGATTATTTTCATTTGTACTGCATTTGATGATCTTGTGGGTTCTCATAAGAGACTTCAATCAGATTGGGTCTTTGACATAGTCCTCATGTTTTGCCCCTTTCTCGAAGTGCGTGTATATCCTAGCAACATATAATCCTACGATATATATATATATATATATATATATATATAATATTTTGAGGAACAAATTTAGAACGGAGTACAAAAGATGTTATGAGCAAAGATGTAACACATCAAAAACATCCATATATACCACTGGGATTATCGGTTCCATTTTTATCAACATGAGAGTGCAAAGATAAGAAAGAGAAAGGTAGAGAGAATTGAGTGATATCGAAGGACGAAATATGAAAGTTTATTAGATAGGATCGAGGAGGCTGAATAAGTAAGGCGCAAAAGATAGAAAGCAAATTTCATGTGTAGAAGACATTGTTGATGCAGTCGTTTGAGTGTTTTGTATTAGTCGCGACGTAGTACATGTTAATACAGAAAGTAGTACAACAAGTGATACATGAAGCTGAGATGCATAATTGCTGATGAAGCTTAAATACTGAGATATACGAGCATCTGTTAAGTAAAAAAAAAGTAATACTTTATAATTTGAAGACAAATAAAACGTATTAGTAAAGAGGAAATTTACTTGACGAGATGAAGAAAATGGCAAAAAGTAAAACTTTTTATTATGAAATTTAGAAACTCTTTTTCCAAGTGATTAGAAAATCATGTATGTTATATAAGGAGGAGTTCGGCACGTTGTAGAGGAGGGAGCTTGTGCATGCATAAAGAAAAACAGAAAATTCTATTGGTGAGATCTCGAGAGATCGAATGTGCTTGTGTGATATATAAAGCGTTGGAGTCTTGGTGTCATTGATGTGTTTGTGTTGAGGTACGTGTGTGACATATATGTTTTGGAGATTTTGGCTTCAAGTCTAAACTCAGGGAGAGTGTTAGCTTATGATTAGTTTATCATAAAGAGATCATGTAATAGAAAATAGAGGTGTGCTTGATTTACGTGTTTGAAAATTGGTTGTTGCTTTCTCATTCTAGTGAATTCGAATACTGGACATGATCCATGTGAGTAGAAAAAACTAAACTTCGTTAACAAATTGTGTGTCTCGTTTATTTTCTACACTTTTTTTGCCTCACTCGCACTAAGACATCGTCAAGATAGTTTTTAATATAATAAATATTTAAATTAAACTTTAACAATAATTAATGCAAATAGAAAAAACAACAATTTAATCGTAGTCCATTGAATTTTCTTACATCATTTCTAAGTTTATACACTTATTAATTTCAAAAATATTAATGAAACTATACATTTAAACATGGCTATCAAAAAATTATTATTTTACTATTTTGTGAATTATCTCAAATGTTATTTATACTAGTCCGACTCGAAACAGAAAAAAAATATTAATTTATATTAATTATTAATTTATCAATTATTAAGTTAAAGAGGTTTAATGATAGAATTTTTTTTTTTTGTCAACAGCTTAAATTAAAATTCAAAAGAGTCATTCCAGAAGAATGTTGTTTACATAAGTGATATAAAACGGTTTCGTATAAGTTTATTGATTAATATGTTAACATATAAGTCTCTCAGGAAATGTTGAGATATTAAAATCAATTGTATTAATATGTTTATTTGTTGACAGTTGAATCCATTTTATTAAATGTCATTGATTAATTTATGTTTATTAATAAGTCTTTCCAAAAAGCATTTTGGTCAACGCTCTTGAATTAAGGAGAGCTAACTACTTTTGTTCCTTTCTCAGCCTGAACGATATTTAGGTTTACCCTTGTGATGGACCTCTAAATTCACCAAACAGATAATAACCAATAGATTTGCCATGTCATTACTAATACAAAAGATTTTAAAAAAAAAAATTAAAAGAATATTAAAAAAAAAAAGATAGACTAATTGATTAACGCCGTCTAGTTCTTCTGCTTCATCTTCTTCGTTAGCCAAAATCAATTTCCATCGATTTTAACTCCGATTCCAAGTTTCGCCTCTTCTTCGACGATTTTAAATCAAGTAATATTCTTAACGTCATTTACGGGTTCGAGTTACGTTTTGCATCGGTACGTTGCCATACTTTTTTTTTATTCTCTTTGAAGTTTGAATGGATGTTTTTGGATCACGTTCTTGTCACAAATTAGAAATTCCAACTGGAATTTCTTAATTCCGATCAGCCAATCTCAAGTTATGAAGAAAACACTGACGGCATATCCCGAGATAACACCAGTTTTCACACTGATTACGGGCCACTTTTGAAAACCTTTCCGATATTCAAATTTAACTAGTTTGGTGTCTATGGAAAGCTCAAAGAGTCTAGTTTCACCTCCAACTGGAATTTCTTAATTCCGATCACCCAATCTCAAGTTATGAAGAAAACATTGAAGGCATATCCCGCAGATGCGAGATAACTAGTATTACTAAGTTTCTTAATTCCGATCATACGCTCTGTGGTTTTAATGGTGACCCACGTATTGATGATGTTTCATGTCTCCTATTTATCTGTATGTCTCCTATTGATGATGTTTCATGTCTCCTATTGCTATGATATTGTTGTTATTGTTGCTTAATTTTGATGATGTTGCTATATCTATATGTTAAAAATTTGACTGGTGCTTGTATTTTGCTAGATAGTTCCAATGGAGAGCAGACATTTAAGTGGTGAAGAAACTGTTCCCGCTAGTCAGGATGGATCTAGTTTGCAAGTCTCAGGTGAACCCTTTTTCTTAAGTCAGAATTCAGATGATTTTTTAGCAAAGGAAAAAGATGCTTCACTCAGTGATGAAGATACTTTGTTCAGTGATTTCGATGAAGAAGAGAAACTAGGCAACAACGAGGATTCTGTTCAGACTGAAGATGTTGATGTTGTAGAGGCAAACAATGAAAATGACAAGAAATATGAACTCTATCTTGGAATGGAGTTTAGTTCTGATGAGTCTGCATATAAAGCTTACAGAAAGTATGGAGCCAATCATGGTTTTGACGTAAGGAAACAAAGAGGAAAAGACAAAAAGCTAAAAAGGGTGGCTTATATATGCTCAAAAGAGGGGTTTAAACAGGTAAACAACACAAATATTATTTATTAATTCAGGTAAATCCAGTATTGTACAAGGACATGCAACCTCGGACTTTCGTCTTTACATCTGTGAGTCAGTCACATTATGCTAGTAAATATTTTTTAAAATATACTTCCTCCGTCCCACAAAGATAGATTTTTTTAGAAATTTCACATTTATAAGAAATAATGTATAATGACATTAAATCATTTAATACAATTTAAAGAATATATTATTTATTGTTGTTTAATGAAGGTAAAATAGGTAAACTGTATTAAATTTGACATTGGAAACCCAAAATTTCTATCTTTGTGGGACAAATTTTTTTCTAAAACATTCATCCTTGTAAGACGGAGGGAGTATATATGAACTAATTAACATTAATGGAACAGTCAGGTGGAAAATCATGTTACAATAACAACTGCGACGATGGAATAATAGTCATTCGTCATGACTTTCCACTTGGTATGGCGCTGCCACCGTCTATTCGTGGTGCTAATTAAGACAAGTAACTATGGAAAGTTCAGTATAGTCAAGGTTTTTCTCTTTCTTAATACTACTATTTGCTGACAAATACTACACTATTTATTATATAAGAATAAGAAAATTCGGTTGTGAATAATTAGGAGTGCGACTAACCATTCAAAAGTTCGACAAATATAAACGTGATGTCTTAATTTACCTATTATTTTCTGGTAACAGGACACAAAATATGGTTGGTGGTATCAATATGGTGTCAAGCCAGTAGAAATTGGACTTTGGCCGGAACGTAGGTTTCAACAAAGCTTTGGAGATTTTGTCGAGTGGGGTGGAGAAGTATACACCGCATCACTGCCGAGTCCTCAAATGGGATATGGATATTTCCCAATTCAAAATATCAGGTATGATGCATATATCGAACAGATAGCCATATTCGACGATAATTATAACATAGACCGCAATTTGGACTATCTTGAAGTCTTTTCTGACAGCAATCGGGATATCGAGTGATAGACACGCGAGATCCTAGTGGTGGCGGGCATGTAATCTTTTATGGTGGTCCAAGAAATATCTAAAACTGATTAGATCTTTATAATAGAAATCAAATTAAAACATTACATTGACTTGATTTTACAATAAATATTGCCTTTATTATGTTACTTTAAAACAAGGTCTTAATAAATGGAATAGAGAATTGGTCCAATAATTATATATGTGCACAAGAGATAGCAAATGGCATCTACATAGGATATATTAATCAAGTAACCATTTGTGTAATCGAATGAAAAAAATGTCTCCATAAAGGGCATTCTTATTTCTCACAAATGGACGTTTATAGCTTCTAACTCGGTTATATCTGGGCTAACCATTTTATGGTGTATTACTTTTGTTTATCCAAAGAAATGTATATCTTTTCTACATTCTCTATGAAGCTCCTTCCTCTGTCAAGCTCAGTAAAAGGGTCATCACTCAGCAAGAGTTACCTGGTACACTGTCACATTCTCGAAAGAAGAAGGTGGTTTGGGCCTAAGAGATTTTAACTACTCTAATAAAGCATGTGTATTCAAACCCATTTCGTTACTCTTATTAAAAAAATTAATCAAGTTCTGGATACTAAAACATTAATACCAATGAATTCTTCGCATGAAAACAAAATTTTGAAAGTTAGAGATTCCTTGTTTTTTGTATCATATTAAAGGTTGGATATGGAAGAGATTGCTTATTTTATAGCCTACGGACTAAGACGAACCATTGCATGCCTTCTCCTAAACAATTTCAAACATAAGACTCGACCGTCACCATAATAGATCGCATGATTCGAAATCGCGCATCTAGCCTCCGTTACAAGAAACTTTGCATTTTCTGACCATCTCTATTGTCTCTTCGCCTATATTGTTGAATCTATGGCTGTCCTGAAAATGCTAGATCAAGTGAGCTAAAATTCAACCATCAATAGAGACATTTTTAGTATATTTTGATGATGTTGACTTTTGTAGCTGCTAAAATATGCTATGATAAATTTGCTGAGACAGATTTAGACACTGATTCAGAATCTTTAGGAATGCAGTGACAACTCAGGATTGAAGCTTGAAGATAACCGAAATACAAATTACAAGGTGAGCTTGATTTCTAAAACTTAGTAACAAAGGGGAAAATTGAAAGTACATTGTTAAGTGAGCAACATAGATGAATTCAAGTGAAATGTGAAGTCATCGAACACTACAAAAAAAAGGTTACATTGATAGCACTTAAACATAGCACGATTTTCGATTTTGCTATGAAAAAGACTACGTCGGATTGGAATACTCTATTATAGCATTTTATAAATGCTATGCCGAAATTTAACTAAGCGGGAACTATTAGAGCCAATTTTTTCATCGATCCTAACACTTAAGAAAAACAGACGGTGACTTTTCCTTTTCAATTGGATAGAGAGAGAGAAAAAAAAAACAAAACTTTGAACAAAAAAAAAAAACTCTCTCACTCTCACCATCTTCGATCCTCTTCTCCTCCAATCTTCTTCTCCATTATGTTCTTTCATTCGATCTCCCTTGCCTCTCTCTCTCTCTCTCTCTCTGCAACTTTTCTCATCTCTTTAGATTTCTCCGACATATCATCCCTCTCTCTGCAAAGACGACGACCACTGCCTCATCCTTCGCCGGCGATAATCTCGATCTCCGACGGCCTCTACCTTTCCGTCGATAGTTTTAAGCTTCGGCAGCTGAATTTTTATCTATGTCGTTCAAATTAGGATTCAATCTTCAGTTTAAGGTACGAAATCACCAATATATACCTTGATTAGGTTTTCCTTTACCGTTAGTTGTCCTTATTTGGTCTTATCGAAATTGAAACTGGTTTCAAACAAGGGATAACGATAATTTTGATATTTGACGGATTCAAATTAGGGTTCACTTTTCAACAAAACGAAATTTCATATACAAATTAGTGTTGTGCTTTGTGTTTTTTGTTTCTCAGATCTTCCAAAGATAAAACTCAGGTGTTGGTGCTAAATTCAGGAGCTTGAAGAAGAAGTTAAGCTTCTCAAAAATCTCTCCCATCCAAATATAGTTGTAAGTAATAGTTTCGGCTCTGATTATACTATTGTCGAATCTGAGTTTTGGAAAGATTGAATTCACAAAACTATTGTGCGTCTCTACCTGATTCCTTAGAATGGTTTTTGTTGTGTAAACTGATGATGATTTCATGCCCTCCAGGTGTTCGACGAATTGCCTCATTATTGGTTTGCTTGTTTCTTGACATTGTTTGGCGTTATGTACAGCTTATTACATTTAGTTCATTATTGAACTTAGTTATGGATCATTATTGAATCTGGTGTGACTAATTTGATTGTTGTTTTCTTTCGTGTGTTTTATATTGTGAAGTTACGAATGTAAAATCTGTCTAAAGGTGCATAACAACGAAAGAGACTACTTGTCGCATCTTCACGGTAAGAGGCATCACACCAATTTGTATGATATAGTCAACTTAGCATATCAATTGAATATTATGGATATTTGCTTTTTTCATATTCAGCTCATTTTCAAGAGAAAAAATTCAGAGATGAAATGAAAACAGAGGTAAGCAAATGTTTTATTACTTGGTGTCCTTATGTAGCTTTTAAATTTGGGTACTTTTGTGCAGAACACTTCAGATAATGATCTTTATGATTCAGAATTTTCTGGTAAGTACTCTTTTCTCTTATGCTCTTGCTAAATCTGTACATGTTAATCATTTGTATCAAACCTAATATGTTTTGTTTCAATTGATTATCAGAACCTCCTCATTTAAGTAAATGGTTTCCGGACTATGTATATGAATCACCGATGTTGGATACATGTTATGGTTTTGAATTCTCTGACCTTAAAGAAAGTGAAAGTATAAAGGATTTGGTAATTAAGAAAGAGACACCAACAAAAATCGATGACTTAGTCTCTTCTAAGATTGATGATATGACTGACTCGCAAGCTGCATATTCAGGTGAACAAATATATGTTATTGTTTTGGCTTTATTATTATGTGATGCGATTAAAATGATTCAATTCTGTAGTCAATATATGAATGTTTGTTTTGTGCATATTTCTGATTTGAAATGTTTGTTTTGTTATTTCTAACAGAGTTGGTAGTTGAGGATAGTGTCATAGACGATGCCGTAATAGACAAAAACCGTAGAAGTCTTTTTCGAAGAGTGGCTAAGCGAAAACCTACAATACCAACCGTTGAAGAAGAGTTAACTTACTTGAAGAACCGAGTCAGTGATCTAGAAGACAAAGTAAGCTATTTGTATGATGTTATTAGTCGTCTTATTATCTCTAATGGCAACAATGGTAATTAGACGTAAGGATATTAGTTTAGGTATTGGATTCATATTTGATTTATGTATGAATTGATGTTTGGTTTATGATATGATGTATATGTATGTTTTGGATGTTTATCACATATAAGACAGACCAAACAATAGCACAGACCAAACAGTAGCACGTAATAATAACGCTATCATAAAACTTATGAGCGTCAAGAAAATATGCTATTAAAGGTAGTAATGGCATTCGATTATTGCTATGAAACAATAAATAAAGACATTAAAAAAGTGCTATTGTAGATGAACATACTATAGCAGACAAAATTAATGCTATTGTAGGTGGGGTATCTACCATAGCTGCCACAATCATAGCAGTTGTTATTTCGCTATGTATTACCTATGATAGCACTTTTTCCGCGCTAAGAATGTAAGTTTTTCTTGTAGTGGAATGAAGTGACAATTTGGCATTGAGGTCTCAATGATAAGATCCAAGAAGGGAGAAAAACTAAATGTGGGCTATGACTTCATTAAAATAACTACATCGGACGTTTCAAAGGACTAAGTCTTCCGTGAAACAGGAAGCAGTTATGTAACACAACAAAGGTGGGAAAGAGTCAAATTGTAACAAACAGTGGGTGGATGTGTCAGACATGAGTAATAACCCGTTAGAATAAGAAAACAAGGACACCGTGAATTTGCGGTAGTATATACGGGGTCGAATCGCAAAAGACAGAATGGTTACACTAGAAATTTCTGAGAGTAGTTTAAAACTTAAATCTCATTGTGACCTCTCAATGTTTCCACATCAAGTCATCAAAATCTCTCTCAATCTGCCATGTCAACACACTTATACTTAATCAAGAAATTAAAGCCACGTGGCATACTTAAATCAGAGAGTCGTCTCCAAATCTAGCCTAATTCAGGCTTAATTGATCTCACCTCGCTAAACTTGAGACGCAAGCTTTTTATGATGGGAGCTCTATGTAATTGCATATCCAAATTGATAAAACTATGTAACCTCTGTTCTTCAGAGGCTGAATAATCGGTATTATCGTACTCAAGTTTAGGCAACCACATCCAAAGAAACTCTGATCGGTTCGATAAAATACTTGTGCTTACAACAATTTTAGTTGGAAGAAATAATAGTACCTTCACGAGTAAATCATAGGCAACTTCGTAATCTTGTACATATCTTCATAATCTCCAAGTTTCGTTAGTTTATTTTTATGGGTTTTAACCAATATTCTCTAATTATTGACATAAACACTGACTCTTAAAATAGAAAACAATGACTCCAAGAAGAACAGAGGCGAGGAATAATAAAACAAGAGGAACCGAAAAAAAACCTAATAAAATCTTCAATTACCTATATATAAACAAAGTCGAGTATGCTTAACTAGGGCCATGAAATTATCCATTGCACTAGCTCCACCGATGAGAAACTTCGAGCACTAGCTCACGATCTCGTCCTCGTTCAGCTTTTTCCTCTTCTCGTGTTCTTCTCTCTTGGACGATCTTCCTTTGAGCATGAATGAATGGAAGCAAAACGTCTCGCTGCTCTCTGAGCATCTGGAAAAAATCTTCCCATCTCTATCGCAGAATCAATTTAGTAAACTTAGGACAGTAGTTAAGGATCTTGAATCTAGAAATAGCTCAAAGTCGTGTAAGAGTTTCAGACTGCAAAAACACCTTGACCAAAGAACATATATACAGTTTATTTTCCTTAGTTTATACAATGAAGCATAAATTTCATACACTTATTGTTGCCAACTATTCTTGATGTGTTACATCTTTGATCACATAACTATAAGTCCTAACATATAAATTAAAACATTATAGTACTATGAGTTATTGAACCTCGAAAAGAAAGTAACAACTCCTGGATTATTATCTCAAGCTCATTCTCTGTCTCTAGGGCAGACTGAAATAAGATTGTCACAGTCTTTAAGCAACGAGTATTTCTCAAGATATATTTTGCCAAATCCATCACCTTTGGCGATCCATGTATCCCTTTCCACTTGAAAGTTTCGAGACTCGAAAACAAACATTAAGGAATACAATTCAGTTGATTCTCCCAGCAAACTGGTGGATCCACACAAGTTTTTGTATGATCCTGAGATCAATCATAGAAGCTTGGCCTAAGTACTACACTAAATCAAATCAAAAGAATAGGTCGATATCGAAGAAACTTAATTACATCATTCAGAGAGACTTCGAGCTCTCGTAAATTAGGAGAATCTTTAAGTAACCGGAAAAGTAGCTTTGATCAATTTGAATCACGTGGACATAGCTTCAGATGTTTAATCTGTTTGAAGAAAATACCCTCAGGATATAAAGTCTGCACACAATGACGGAAGGATTCAACCTCAAGAACCGCTTGACGGATGGAAACAGATTACCTCTTCGGCATTGACTCTTACGCATAATGACAGCCGCTTGACGGATGTGATCGATCTTACAAACTTAACGATATCAGGGTATGTCGAAATAATATCCGCCCCCTCTAAGTTAGGCATATCTTTAAAATCGAAGAATTTGCTATCATCATATTCACCCTTATAATCCGTAATTTTGAAATACTTCAAACAAGGAGTGTGTAACACAAGCTAATCAAACTGAGAACCTCTTAATATCTTTAGGGTTAGTCTCTGCAAAGACCGGACAGTTACCCTAAATTTAGAATTTTTTTCTATTAACCTTCTTAATTAAAAAACTGTGGGTCTTCTTCGTGAACACATGACGTGTATCATTTGACTATGTGTATATGTAAATGTTTTTCTAACTCACGGAATAAATCTCTTGATGCATGTATCATAAAGAAAGGAAAATATTTCTCGATAATTTTCATTGGAAAAAACTAATCATTAACTTACTCACAAAGTTAGGTACCATTAGTTTTATATCCGTTTGTATTGAACTTTTAAAAGTAACTGTTGAGATAAAATTATTTTAGTTATAAGAAAACAAAATTTGTTGGAATATTTTTGGTTTATAGTGCAAGTTGGGATAATTGTTTTCTAAATTGTTATTTTAATTAAAAATCTCTTTATGCCTTTCTTATAATGTAACCATCTAATTTTGTAATTCCAATTTGCACTTACCGAAATTATTTGCAGTTTTGCTTTTGTATTTTGCAGATTTACTTCTTCTTTTACTTTATTTGGCGGATCTGTTTTATGTGGTAAAATGTTGTGTAAAGAAGGAAAACATTGATTTTTATTTTTATTTATTGGCCAGTTTTTTGAATTTTAAAGGAAAATAAAGTCAAATTTATTTTTGGTAAAAACGTCAAATTTTCCTTGTGAAAATTTAAAAAATAAGGGTTAAATTTAATTTTGACAACAACCCCATATATTTTCTGTCTATAAATAATCTTTTTTTGTCTCCTCGTAATTAACTACATCAAGCATAAACCTCCATTTCTCTTCTTGCTTTACTCAAACATGTGAAGCATCTCAAGTCTAAAAGCATTCTCTCTTTTTTCTTGTTTCTCTTCTTCACAAAAGAATCTATCTCCTTCTTTAGTAATCTAATCCATGGAGATATCGTTATCATATTCTGATGCACGAGGTAAAGGTGACCTTGTTGATGCGGTCAATATTGATGATCGAATCAACACACTCTCCAAAGATCTATTGCTTAAGATCTTATCGAGCCTGTCTACAAAAGAAGTTGTTAGAACAAGTGTTCTATCAAAGAGATGGGGGGATGTGTGGAAGGAGACGTCTGAGATCTTTATGGACATGCGATATATAAAGATATCCAGATATCTTTTCATCGATTTTAGTCCTTATGCCGCTGGATGGATGACAAAGGTCCATTTCTTTACTCAAAATTTTCTCTTTACAACTTTTTGGATAAAACATTTTCACAAATAAATAAATAGATCTGGAAATAAACTGATGTTCTAGGTTGAGATATTACAAAACCCTAAGATTACCCATGAATCATTAATAAAGGATCTCGGTTTTTCATTGTTTTAGATAAACAATGAATATATGTTTTATTTTAAAATTCGCGCGTTTATGAGGTTAACGCCTTAACGGTATTTGGTGCGAATAGGCTATATTTTCAAATTTTATGGGAAATACATACATTAGAAATTGAGTATATATATACAGTAAATTTGCCATCATTGTAGTGAATAGGAAATCTAATTGATCTCTTGGCTTATTAAATCTAGAATAAATACTTGCATACACAAAAGATACGCCTGTAATTTGCAGTTGACTTGTATACAGACTAATTAAATGTGTTGTAAATTACAATTTTCTACATAATTATTTGCAATTCAATTGTAAGAAAACTGCTCCAGCTTGTGTCCTAAAAGATTCCAACGGATTTATACATATATAATAAAGTGATATCTTTATGTTTATCATTTTCAAATATCCGAAATCACTCTTTGCCCTTGTAGGTTATAAACGATCACAGTGGCAATTTCGAACGATTTACAATCTACCATTTCGCACACCAATGTGTAGATGGGATGGTCGAGGCGTGGATTCGATCATTGATTCATGTGAAACATGTCAAGCATCTCACACTTATAAACTGTTTTGGCCCTTTCGTACCAAACTCAATTTTGACACTTGACTTGCCTCCAAAGTCATTTTCCCATCCAAACCTCAAATCACTCCATCTTGGTAGGTATACCTTAAAAGATCCACATGGTTTCGACAACTGCTGGAATCTAAAGAAGCTAAAACTCATTGCCGTTTTCGCCGAGATTGAAGTCTTTAATGTGGTCCTCATGTCTTGCCCTTCTCTGGAAGTGCTCGTTGTAGACCTTCACTGCCACAAACAAAGTGGTCCTCTGAAAATTGAGAACCGCAACTTAAAGTTCTTGTGCTTATCATGTTGTTCTCAAATTGATGGAATTGAAGTGGCTACACCCAGTCTTGAGATCCTGACCGTCAAATCTCTCTCGTGTGAGATAGAGAAATTTGTCATTGCAAACCCTAACCTCCAGTTTAATCGAAACTATTGGGCAACTGGACAATTATATCCTCACACCAGCTATTACATATCATGCCCTCCTGATCAGGTATATATTTCTTTTGCTTGCAATTTTATTTTGATAGAGAATATATTTATGATATTAACACTTAGTTTGATATTTTGACATATATATGAATCTAAGGACAAAACAAGCATTGGGCATGAAGTCATGATGAGTGAACCCAGTGAATATATGAAGTTCTACGCATCAATGTCAGTGAGTATAGACTTAACGAATACCAAAGAGGTAGATATGCTCAAAGAAGTTTTAGCTGCATGGCCCGACGAAATGCAAGAACTCGAGATTTTATTTAAGGTACGTTAAAATTTCATGTGTTATGATTGAAATAGACATTATGGTTATCAACGTTGGTCTGTAAGTGATATTGTATATTCCTTTTTTTTTTGTATATATATAGAATAGCAATGTCCCCAGGAAAGAAGGTGAGACTCCCATGGGAAGAACAAAGAGGAAGTTTTGGGAAGAGACAAAACCGTTTCCCAACGGTCACTTCCGTGTACATACTGTATGGCTGTTTAACTTTAGCGGTTCTAAAGAAGAGTTTGCTTTAGCTTCACGATTGATAACGCAAGGAACAGTGGTCATGACTATGAAAATCCAACCAGCGTCGATTTCTCTAAGTAACAAGTTAGAGATAGAAGCGGCAGTGACCAAGCTAAAAGAACTTCCAAAAGGTCACACAGAACTTAGTATCGTAATGTTCTGATGGAATTTGGTTAATCTAGTTATTGGTGATATAAAGAGAAAACCCTTTGTTATTTGCTTTTTTTTTTTTTTTTTAATTTGGAAATTATGTTGTTTCAACTTTCAAGTACTGCTTTTGGCATTAGTTTAATTAATTGTTTCAGATATTTGGGATCTTATTTGTATTTTTTTTTTCTGATTTTCTTGATGGATTATTTTAATTTCATAAGAGACTTCAATCAGATAATTGGGTCTTTGACATAGTCTTCATGTTGTCTATAACAAAAACCACTTAAAGTTTGAGTATTTTCTATAAATCCAATAGGAAAGAGATCTAGTTCGACTGGGCTCGTCATCCAGTTAATGAGCTGCAATGACCTCGTCAGTCCATTGCAAATCAGGTTCCGCCATTCCTCATCGAAGGGTAGTACACGCATCATCCTCAGAGTACAATAATATCATTTCATCACCCCTTGGGCGGTATTCCTCTATTTAACATTTTTAACTTCATAACTCATCATTATCGTAATCATGTATCAACAACCTAGCACAATATCTATCATTAAAAACATCAAATAATAAATAATCTTAACATCAACCAATCACAAACATCAAATATATGTATATATTTTGAAGAACAAATTTAGAACGTAGTACAAAAGATGTTATGAGCAAAGATGTAACACATCAAAAACATCCATACCACTGGGATTATATCGGTTCCATTTTTATCTAACATGAGAGTGCAAAGATAAGAAAGAGAAAGGTAGAGAGAATTGAGTGATATCGAAGGACGAAATATGAAAGTTTATTATATAGGATCGAGGAGGCTGATTAAGTAAGGCGCAAAAGTTAGAAAGCAAATTTCATATGTAGAAGACATTGTTGATGCAGTCGTTTGAGTGTTTTGTATTAGTCGCGACATAGTACATGGTAATACAAAAAGTAGTACAAGAAGTAATACATGAAATGCATAATTGCTGATGAGAAGCTTAAATACTAAGATATACGAGCATTTGTTAAGTCAAAAAAAAAAAAGTATACTTATTTGAAGACAAATAAAACGTATTAGTAAATTTACTTGACGAGATCAAGAAAATGGCAAAAAGTAAAACTTTTTCCTTATGAAATTTAGAAACTCTTTTTCCAAGTGGTTAGAAAATCATGTATGTTATATAAGGAGGAGTTTGGCACGTTGTAGAGGAGGGAGCTTATGCATAAAGAAAAACAGAGAGTTCTATTGGTGAGATCTCGAGAGATCGAATGTGCTTATGTGATAAAGCGTTGGAGTCTTGGTGTCATTGATGTGTTTGTGTTGAGGTACGTGTGTGACATATGTTCTGGAGATTTTGAATTCAAGTCTAAAGCCAGGGAGAGGTTAGCTTAGGATTAGTTTATCATAAGGAGATCATGTAATAGAAAATAGGGGTATGCTTGATTTACGTGTTTGAAATTAGTTGTTGCTTTCTTATTCTAGTGAATTCGAATACTGGAAGTGATATATGTGAGTAGGAAAAACCGAACCTCGTCCACCAATTGTGTGTGTCGCTTATTTTCTACACTTTTTTTTTTCTCACTCGCAGTAAGACATTGCCAAAATATTTTTTAATATAATAAATATTTAAAAAAAAACTTTGACAATAGCAAATTGAAAAAACAACAATTTAATCGTAGTTCATTGAATTTTCTTACATAATTTCTAAGTTTATACACTTATAAATTTCAAAAATATCAATGAAACTATACATTTAAACATGCCTATCAAAAAATTATTATTTTACTATTTTTTGAATTATCTCAAATATTATACAAGTCCGACTCGAAACAGAAAAAAATATTAATTTATATTGATTATTAATTTGTCAATTATTAAGTTAAAGAGGTTTAATGGTAAAGTTTATTGATTAATAGGTTAACATATAAGTCTCTCGGAAAATGTTGAGATATTAAAATCAATTGTATTCAGTGGCGGACCCAGGAAATATTTTTATCCGGGTCAAAATATATATTTAAAATAAATATATATTAAATAAAAAATATACAAATATTTCGATGACAAAAAAAATATACAAATATTTCAGAAACATAAAAGATAATAAATATTGAAATAAACGATGAAGTACAAAATTAAAAAAAAAAGGTAGAAAAATAGATGAAAGAAAAGTAAAATTTATAGAAGTTCTATTCTTCTTTTTCATTTTTATTAATACTTTTTGCAGCAAAAGAAAAGTTAGCTAAAAATTCTTTTCACTTCATGTTAATCAGCATTGTTTTCTCTAAGTAAAACAATAATTGCATCATATATCCACTTTTGCCAAAGCTACTGTATTTTCAATAGACAACAATATCCTAAACTATCAAAAAGGTAAAACCAAATATATTTATGAATGATATTTTTGGTGAAAATATTTATGAATGATATGAATAAATGATTCTTCATATTTAAAATAGATAGTTGTTAATTGGTTATTTGTTATACTATTTAATTGAGATTTTTTTGTCATTAGTCTTAACAAAAGTTATCTCGTAATTACTCTCGGATATAAATGAAATTTTCTCATATGAGCATTTCTCTCTCATAGCATTAAGTAATTGCCATTAAAAAAAGGAAACCAAAAGTGAGACAAATTTTAAAGGGTGCAAACAAAAACTTTTAGGGGGTGCATTCAATAATTTTGTTAAGGATCATTAAAGAATTTCAAAATTTAACCGGTGCAGCTGACCCCCCTAATTACCATGTGGGTCCGCCCCTGATTGTATTATTATGTTTATTTGTTGACAGTTGAATCCATTTTATTAAATGTCATTGATTAATTTATGTTTATTAATAAGTCTTTCCAAAAAGCATTTTGGTCAACGCTCTTGAATTAAGGAGAGCTAACTACTTTTGTTCCTTTCTCAGCCTCCACGACCTTTATATATTAAACCTTTTTCGTCCATGCTGCCAAATCAATAAACTCTCTCTTTCTCTCTATTGTTGATAAAAATGGAAGTGAGAGGCCCAGTGATATGGATGTTCTTAATGTGTTGCATCTTTGGTAACATAATTGTAAGTCATCACAATGACTTCGTGGAAGCCAAGAGCTTTTCTAAATCTGAAGATTTAGAAATCGAGAAGAGACTAAAGACTATCAACAAACCCGCCGTCAAGATCATCAAGGTTTTTATCTATCTTAACAATCTTGTTGTTATTCTTTATATATTATACAGTTTAATATCTTAACCTCTATATATATATATGGCATTAAATGATAGACTATAGATGGAGAAAGATACGGATGTGTGGATTTCTTCAAGCAACCAGCATTTGATCATCCTTCTATGAAGAATCATACATACCATTACAAGGTATAATAACTTCGGATCATCTTTATTTACGTATATTATTGTATAAACATAAAAAGATAAGGACAGTAATATGTTTGTGTTCGACGACATATCTTAGATGCGTCCAATCTGGAAAGGAATGAGAGAAAGAAAGAGAAACAATACTGCTTTTGGTTACTTATGGGAGAATGGTGTGGGTTGTCCCATCGGTACGGTCCCTATAAAAAGAGTCACCAAAGACGATCTTTTGAGATTAGACTCATTTGTTGATAATTATAAACCTCGTGGTTCTTGGAACACTACCACTTATGATCCTAATAGTCCTTTTCATCCAAACCACCATCATGTAAGTCGCTTCTTTTAATTTAAAAATAAAAAAATCATCAATTAACATTTTGATATATTTATAATGATAATATTCTTGGTCATTCAATAAAAATGAATTGGATAAGTTTGCGGTAGCTCGAACGAAGAACATAGGAAAGAGGTTCAATGGAGCAACGACGGCACTTTGTATAACCGCTCCTAAGGTTAAGCCAACCCAATTCAGTAATTCTAGACTTCACATGCAGATGGGAAGGGATTTCGTCCAAGCCGGTTTGACTGTAAGTCTCTAAGTTTATTTAATTTGCACCGAGCTACGAGTTCTATTTACTCAATAACTTTTGAAAACATGTATTAATTATACTTTTTAGTAAATAATTTCAATAACACAAATATTATTTACTAATTCAGGTAAATCCAGTATTGTACAAGGATAGGCAACCTCGGACTTTCGTCTTTACATCTGTGAGTCAGTCACATTATGCTAGTAAATGTTTTTTAAAATATATATATGAACTAATTAACATTGATGGATCAGTCAGGTGGGAGATCATGTTACAATAACAACTGCGACTCTGGAATAATAGTCATTCGTCATGACTTTCCACTTGGTATGGCGCTGCCACCGTCTATTCGTGGTGCTAAGACAAGTAACTATGGAAAGTTCAGTATAGTCAAGGTTTTTCTCTTTCTTAATAATATACTATTTATTATATGAGAATAAGAAAATTCGGGTGTGAATAATTAGGAGTGCGACTAACCATTCAAAAGTTCGACAAACATAAACGTGATGTCTTAATTTACCTATTATTTTCTGGTACCAGGACACAAAATATGGTTGGTGGTATCAATATGGTGTTAAGCCAGTAGAAATTGGACTTTGGCCGGAGCGTAGGTTTCGACAAAGCTATGGAGATTTTGTCGAGTGGGGTGGAGAAGTGTACACCGCATCACTGCCGAGTCCTCAAATGGGATATGGATATTTCCCAATTCAAGATATTAGTTATGATGCATATATCGAACAGATAGCCATATTCGACAATAATTATAACATAGACCGCAATTTGGACTATCTTGAAGTTTTTTCTGACAACAATCGAGGATATCGAGTGATAGACACGCGAGATCCTAGTGGTGGCGGTCATGTAATCTTTTATGGTGGTCCAGGAAATATCTTAAAATATTGAAGATCTTTATAATATAAATAAAATTAAAACATTACATTGACTTGATTTTACAATAAATATTGCCTTCATTATGTTTCTTTAAAACAAGGTATCTTATTTCTCATGAAAAAGTGTAATCGAATGAAAAAAGTGTCTCCATAAAGTGCATTCTTATTTCTCACAAATGGACGTTTATAGCATTTAACTCGCTTCTAACTCGGTTATATCTGGGCTAACCATTTTATGGTGTAGTACTTTTGTTTATCCAAAGAAATGTATATCTTTTCTACATTCTCTATGAAGCTCCTTCCTCTGTCAAGCTCAGTAAAAGGGTCATCACTCAGCAAGAGTTACCTGGTACACTGTCACATTCTCGAAAGACGAAGGTGGTTTGGGCCTAAGAGATTTTAACTACTCTATAAAGCATGTGTATTCAAACTCATTTCGTTACTCTTATTAAAAAAATTAATCAAGTTCTGGGTACTAAAACATTAATACCAAATGAATTCTTCGCATGAAAACAAAATTTTGAAAGTTAGAGATTCCTTGTTTTTTGGATCATATTAAAGGTTGGATATGGAAGAGATTGCTTATTTTATAGCCTACGGACTAAGCCGAACCATTGCATGCCTTCTCCTTAACAACTTCAAACATCAGACTCAATCGTCACCATAATAGATTGCATGATTTGAAATCGCGCATCTAGCCTCCGTTACAAGAAACTTTGCATTTGCTGACCATCTCTATTGTCTCTTCGCCTATATTGTTGAATCTATGGTTGTCCTGAAAATGCTAGATCAAGTGAGCTAAAATTCAACCATCAATAGAGATATTGTTAGTATATTGTGATGATGTTGACTTTTGTAGCTGCTAAAATATGCTATGATACATTTGCTGAGACAATTTTAGAAACTGATTCATGAATCTTTCGGAATGCGGTGACAACTCAGCCTGAGATTCTAAGACAGGATTGAAGCTTGAAGATAACCGAAGTACAAATTACAAGGTGAGCTTGATTTCTAAAACTTAGTAACAAAGGGGAAATTGAAAGTACATTGTTATAGGCTTTGAGACTCAAGATTTGATCAAGATATGAGTTTCAAGCTGGTACAGAAAGTGTCTCAAGAAAGTTGTGTGTGGCACAAGAATTCATTCAAAGAGCAACATAGATGAATTCAAGTGAAATGTGAAGTCATCGAATGAAGCGACAATTTGGCATTGAGGTCTCAATGATAAGATCCAAGAAGGGAGAAAAAATAAATGTGGGCTATGACTTCATTAAAGTAACCACATCGGACTTTTCAAAGGACTAAGTCTTCCGTGAAACAGGAAGCAGTTATGTAACATAACACAGGTTGTAACAAACAGTGGGTGGATGTGTCATGTGTCAGACGGGAGTAATAACCCGTTAGAATTAAAAAAACAAGGACACCGTGAATTCGCGGTAGTATATACGGGTCAAATCGCAAAGGACAGAATGGTTACACTAGACCAAGAGAAGAAAAAAGAAGAATAGGATACGGTGAAGGTGAAAAGACTTCTAAAAGGTTTTATTTCTAGGGTTCCTTGAAGCTATCCCACTTATTATTGTTCTATGATGTACCATTAATTAGTTATAGGAGATCTCTCATATATAGTGAATAAGATTTTGTAAAACGTTATTCTAAACTAAGCAATTGTGTGAAATTGAGTTAATAACTAACATTTTTTGATCTAATTTCCTTAGATAGAATCCATCTCCATTGATGATCTTTTGAAATTAATCAAACAGTATCAATGAATTCGCGAGAATCTGCTCTTTTCTTACTGATTTTGTATAATTTTAGGGGAGAAGATGTGAGCATTGAGAATCTGCATCAAGGTTTCACATGCACACATATCTTTGAATCCACATTTGATAGCAAAGAAGCTGTTGCAGAGTATATTGCTCATCTTGCTCATCCTGCTCCCGTTGAATTAGCCACCATCTTCCTTGGCAGCTTGGATAAAGTCTTGGATATAGACTACAAGCCTACCTTTGTCTCTCTCTAATTATGTTGCAGCAGCATTTTCATTTTTGATCTTCCTTTTTATTTTTTATCTCGGGTATGTATGTCTTTTGTGATCATGTTGAATAAAGTAATTTCCTTTTGAGTTATGATGGCCTTTGGTTTTCCTGCATTGTTCTCATGTTTCTGTGCGAATTTCTTCTATCTTTCTTTTTATTTTTTGGTTTTTGTAACGCCCCGACCGTCCCTACCAGTGGGCCCCACGTCCTCTCTCGGGCCTATGGGCCCACCCCTGTCCGACGACCGGTCCACTACGTTCGGAAGGCTTTAAATACTTGTTTACCGACCCTACAAATCACCACATGATCTTTCCCTGTGTTTTGTCCTCACTCACACAGCTCCGACAATCACTTCCCGGAAGGTCACCCATCCTTAAATTGCTCCAGTTCAAACACGCTTAACTGTGGAGTTCTCTTAGAGCATGATTAACCATGGTTGCTTAACAATGGTTCTTAAGAGTATTAAAATAATAAATTTGTAAAAGTGATAGTTAAGAGATTGTATTTTTGGGTTAAGATTTTTGTATGATTAATGGTAGGCTCTTAACAAGTGGTTCTTAGAAAAAAAAATATTAATATAAAAATAAAATTTATAATTATAGAATATTTAATAATTGTTGCAAATTAAAAAAATTAAAACATATATGAGATACAATTTATAACATAAATAACATAAATATTTTTGTTTTAAACTTAATTTCTGGAATATTTTGTCCATATATGCTCGACCAAATCCTTCTTCAATTGTTGATGCATATCTCGATCACGAATCCGAGATCTAGTGGCCATCATATCGACGAGATTTGAAGGCAAATCTGTAGAATAAGTGAAATCCACCCGTGAACTTCCTGCAGATTCCGCTTGTTCGAATTCGGTAGTATCATACAGAGTATACCCATCTCGTTCGTCTTCTACTATCATATTGTGTAGTATTAAACATGCTCGCATAATATTTCCTATTTTGACCTTATCCCAACTAAGTGCCGGATTTTTCACAATGGCAAATCGAGCTTGCAAAACTCCAAAAGCACGCTCGACATCTTTACGGCAAGCTTCTTGATGGGTTGCAAATAAAGATGCTTTCTCAGTTTGTGGAAGTGAAATAGATTGGATAAACGTAGCCCATTTAGGATAAATGCCATCAGTGAAATAGTAACCCAAATGATAGTCGTTCCCGTTGACTGTATAATTCACTTTTGGTGCTCGCCCTTTTAAGATGTCATCAAAAACCGGAGAGCGATCAAGAATATTTAGATCATTTAAAGTACCTGGAGGTCCAAAAAACGCATGCCATATCCAAAGATCTTGGGAAGCTACAGCCTCTAAAACGATTGTTGGTTTTCCAGAGGCACGTGTATATTGTCCTTTCCAAGAGGTAGGACAATTCTTCCACTCCCAATGCATACAATCGATGCTTCCCATCATACCGGGAAATCCTCGAATCTCTCCAATAACGAGTAGCCGTTGAAGATCTTCTGCATTGGGTTTTCGTAGGTACTCATCTCCAAAGCAATCAATAATTCCCTCAACAAAATGTTCCATGCATTTTAGCGAAGTGGTGTCACCAATCCGGAGGTATTCGTCAACCGCGTCAGCCGCCAAACCGTATGCAAGCATACGAATTGCTGCCGTACACTTTTGTAGTGCAGAGAAACCGTACCTTCCTGTAGCATCTCTTTTTTGTTGAAAGAATGGAATTGTGGAGAGGCGATCAACAACACGCATGAATAATGGCTTATTCATTCTAAAACGGCGTCGAAACAGATTAGGAGGAAAAGTTGGATTTTCTGCGAAATAATCGTTCCATAACTGGATGTGGCCTTCTTCACGATGCCTTTCAATATGGACTCTTTTTTTCCTCGGTTTTCTGGATTGTTGAGGATCACCGTATGAGTACAAAGAATTATCCAATTCTAGCTGGAAAATATTATTAATTTCTTCGTCTAACGATTCGTCGAAATTATCATTGGACGACGAAGCCATTTTCTATGTAGAAAATATTAGATTTTTTTGGTATGTAGAAAATATGGTTTTTTAGAAGTAGAAAATGGGCTACGTTTATGAGATGTTGGTATTGAGTTGTTGGTTTGAGAAGTAGAAAATATGGTTTTTTAGAAGTAATAATGAGATGTTGGTATTGAGTTGAGAAGTGAGAACAAAAAACACTAATGAGATGTGGTATTGGTTTGAGAAGTGAGAACAAAAAGCAATAATGACTTATGGTATTGGTAGAAAATGTTTTACAAGAGAGAATGAGAATGTGAGATGGTGAGAACAATAAGCAATACATGTTTGATTATATAGCAAATGAATCGCAGGTGTACAAAAGAATATGTGGTGTCTTTAGCTTCTCAGCTAAACAAGCAATCAAAAAAATATGTGGTCTCGGAGAGATTGCCTTTATGTTATGTGGTTCACAATGCGATCCCAAATATGTGGTCCTCTTCAACATGTCCTCTTCTTGTTAGCTTCAACATGTCCTCTTCTTGTCACCTTGTCTTTTTGCTTCACGTGTTGGTAGTAGTCTTTTTTGGTTCTATCCTGCACAAAAACACAAACAAAGACATTGTCTGTCAACAAAGATATCATACACTTGAACACAAACAGAAACACTTAAAGATATCAATGTATCATTAATTATAAACTTCAACAAAGTCTGTTAACAAAGACATCAGACACTTGAACACAAACAGAAACACTTAAAGAGATTTTGATACATAAACAGAAAAAAGATCCACAAAGTCTAACAGAAACTTAAACACAAACACAAAACAAATGCAAGCAAAAAATTCAAAGCATTATCTCTCTAATCAGCTTGTTCTTAAGGTCTTCCTCTATTTCAGTAAGAGGAGTAGATTTTGATAGAAGACTATCAAGCAACCGCCTATTGGTTAGCTCCTTCTTCATTGCATGCTCTTGCTGCTTCATTGCAAAATCCTGTTGCTTTATGTCCCAAATAGTATGTATCCTTTTCAATGCTGCTTGCCCTTTTTCTTCAACAGTAGGTAGATTGTTGGCTGGCTTTTTTCCTTTGGCCTTGGCAGCCTTGGCTGCCTTGACACCAGGAGGACGGGCTTGAGGAGAGTCAGACTCTCCATTGCCTTGGGAAGCTTGGGAAGCTTCTGGACCGTCCTCAGTCATTCTTTTTTTGGTGTTTCCAGTCTCTTTCATTCTCTGTGATGCACACCATTTCTGGTCATGCTTTAATTCTCTCCATGCATGCTCTAGCATGAACTTCTTCTTGTAATCAGTCTCGTAAATCTGATGAGCTAGCTTCATCAAGTCATCATCGTTCTGACCACTTGTCATTTGATTTGTTGCAGCTTGGTACGATCCAACAAACTTGCATACAATCTTGTTAATCTTTGCCCACCTTTGCTTGAAATGGCTTGGCAGCCTCTGTTTCAAAGTAGAAACATTGGGACTAGCTGCATAGTAGGTTGCAATGCGATCCCAGAAAGCAACTCCTCTTTGCTCATTACCTACAATTGGATCTTTGCTTGTGTTTAACCAAGCAGAAATGAGCACCACATCCTCTTTAGAAGTCCACTTGTTCCTCTTTCTTGGCATGCGTGTAGCAGGAACGTTTTCAGCTTCACTTGGTGACCATTGAGAGCTGAAAACAGGGACTTGAGATTCACCAAGATCAATACTTGGTGAATCTCTATCAATGCCATTGGGCTGCAGGAATGGGGTATCTTGTTGACTGGTTAGGAGCTCCATGAAGCCAGCAGATTGATTTAAAGGATTCATGAAATATAGGATGAGCTTCTGAGTGTTTTAGTAGGGAAATGAAAGAGGTGTGGTTTGGGTTAGGTTATGGTCTGCGATTTTACAAGGGATGTGTTTTCTAGTGTGTTTTAGAAATCATAAGTTTTTGTTAGGTGAAAGAGTCAGTTGTGTAGTTAGCAATCAATGCAATAACTCAAGTCTTAATACAAACTTAAACATCAAAGCATTAAACACGCAGCATTCATTAAGTTTGATAGACACATTTCTAGTCAGACTCTATTATCCACTAACAAAACAGAGAAGTGCTTGTCAAAATATATACCCTAATCTATATCATCAATAAAGATGAGACAGTTATCTACATGCATTTATTGAATAATAGACAGTACCAATGACACAACTCAATTCTCAACTAATCTATATCATCACTAATTCAGATGACTAAATGTAAACATAGTTAAGGAAGAAAGGACATGCTCTAACAGATTCCAGCTCCCCAAGTATCTCCATATACTCCTTGCAGTAAAACAGAGAACATTATATTAAATTGAGAAGCATAAAACAGAAGTAAGCATAAAACAGCATGTAAACAGAGAACATTATAATTCCCACGATAATATCACATATGGTGATAGACTGATAGTTGTGCAAAGAACTGATAGACCTCCACTTATATAGATACCTCAAATCACATAAAGATAGATGCACTTGCCTTCAGTACATGAAAAAAAAACAGCATCATCGCCATTGACTGGAGAAACCACATTGTGAGCAGTAGAAGCTGGAACTGGTTGTGATGAAACCACTGGAAGATCAACAGTTGAGTTAAGTTTGAAAAATCTTCTGTCACCGACACCACCAGCTTTTCTTTCTTAGCAGATTTCTTTGTACATATGACCAACATTACAGTTAGAATAATCCTCATTTATTTTAAGGATGAGTTACGGAATCCCAAACTCTTACCAGTTTCTGGCTTCAGTGTTCCGAATTCGACTTGGGAGACTTCTTCCCGAGAAGCAATGTCTTGATCCATTCACCAGGAGTCTTTCCCATTCTGAAGAGAGCAAGATGGAGTCTGAAAATAATAAGTTGCTAAACGTAGAAACCTGCAGAAGAACAAGCCAAGTCTGTCAATTTTCACAAGCAAAAACACAAGCCAATTCTGTGAGTTTCACAAAGCAAAAGAAAAAAGCTAAATTTTATGAAATTTCACGTTTAACACAGAAAATTTATACAAAGAAAACGAATTACCCTTTTTCCCCAATTCGACGAACCCTAATTTCCCAAATCCGAGTAACCCTAATTTTAAAAACAGATAATCACATCAATTCACACAATCAGAGAGACTTTCCTACCTTTACAAACCGATTGTCACCGATTTTGAATCGAAACTCGAAGATCTGTTGAATTTATCCCCGATATCGTAAGCCACCATTCGCCGATTTGGTGAGCTATTGACGCCCTCGACAACCAGCGTTGGTGGGTATGATAACCGGAGGTAAATAACGTCGGCTGTTCCTCCGATTTGCTTGAAATCGACTGCAGTTTCTTTTCCTTCTTTGAAATCGCGAAAGATTGAGATAGAGAAGAGAGAAAGAGAGAGAGAAGAGAGAGAGAAGGGAGAAAATAAATTAAATTTTCTCTGAAACACAGACACGTGTATGGCTCTTAACTATTTCCTTGTGTCTTACCTAAGAAACGATCTTAGCATTAAAGCTTGTTTGAGATTTATTATAATCATTTAATAGCTAAGATTTCCTTAAGAAAACATTAAGCAACTTCCGTTAATGATGGTCTTAGGACAATTGACCGAAAAGATAAGTGCACTTTGGTGACATAGGTGGCCAAATCAATCTTTTTAAACCTCTCCGTATGAACCACCATATTCCTGAAACCGAGTGTGTTACAGTTTCCTTCTGTTGGATTAGACTTGATGTGTAAAAGATCATGAGTTTACTTGATAATGAAGAGTGTTTGTTGCACAACTAAATATGCACGTATAATTGTTTAATGTAATTGTCTAACGAGTATGAAGGGATATTGAATCAAGCCTACTCTCACATCATATTTTGAGAAATGCAGCAAATATTCTGAAAATCACCACTGTTCTTCAAAGCTGAAGGATCAACTTTGTAATTCGCCATGTCATTTGGTTAAGATAAAATAATACATAGTCGCCATCATGTCGTCTAAATGAACGAAAACAAAATGTTGACTAATTTTGTTTAAGTTATTGTAGTTTTACGTTCAAATCTAATAGTTTGGATAGTTTTTTTTTAATGTTTTAAGAGTTGAGGTTGAAAAAAATACTGCATTTTTGTTAAAGTATAAAAACGCACTTTCCAATTTGTTCGGGTTTAAATACGCCCTTTTTCCGTGGACAGACTTTGTAGATTAGTTCCGATCTGGTCGGGTTGGGGCAGAATAAAAAAGACTTATGCCGTTTAGACCAATACAATGATACGGAATTAATCAGAAGTGGAAAAGTGGACATAATTTGTAGCCTATTATAATTAAAGTCACAAAATTAACTTAAATCAAAGGTATAATATGTTAATTCATAACATTAACATATTAGTGATCTCTCAGGAATTGTTGACCAAACATGCCTTTCTTAAATGTTATTAAATGTTAATTGATTAATTTATCAACATAAAAGTATTTCCCAAAAATTTTGGTCAACGGTCGTGAATTAATTGAACTAAATGTTTTGTTCCTCCTCGACCCCTATATATATATTAGGTTTATCTTCCATGCTTCAAAATCAATAAACTCTCTCTTTCTCTCTATTGTTGATAAAAATGGAAGTGAAGGGCCCAATGATATGGATGTTCTTAATGTGTTGCATATTTGGTAACAGAATTATTAATCATAACAATGACTTTGTCGAAGCCAAGAGCCTTTCTAAAGTTGAAAATTTAGAAATCGAGAAGAGATTAAGGACTATCAACAAACCTGCAGTCAAGATCATCAAGGTTTGAATTTATCTTCATAATCCTGTTATTGTTCTCTATACATTCAAGTAATATATGTTAACCTCTATATATGTGTGTTGGGGTCGGATTTCATGCATTCCTTGAGACCGAGCCAAACTTCAACACCTCGGGTTATCCATCTAATCAGCTCGGGTTATCCCGCTAATCAGCTTAGGGTACCCTGTCAGTCAGCTCGGGTACCCGAGCCCATCACCTCGGGGGTACCCGAGCCCATCACCTCGGAGGTACCCGAGCCCAGTCGTCCCGGGGTACCCGAGCCCATCACCTCGGGGGTATCCGAGCCAGTCCTTCCTGGGTGCCCGAGCCGATTACACAAGTTCCCCGAGGCGAAGTCTTCATCATCACCCGAAGCAAAGACTTGGTAAAATATTAACCCTCGAAGTACCATTTCCAAGCAAGGCACCATTTCCGAAAAAGAAGGATCATTTCCGATATACCCGGAAATGATAAGGGAGAATCTCGAAGGATTAATTCAAATCAGGAAAACTTCCGATAACCCCGAAAAATAAGGAAACTATCCTAATCCGCGATATTCTAAGCCGACTTCAAGATAAATGGAAATCTTCTGAGAATATCGCTGGAGAGGCGGTTTATCACCCCTATATAAAGCGACTCGAGGTCTTCACCAAAAGGAAGAAGCAAGAGCTCTCAAAACTCTAGACTACACAAAGCTCTAAAGCACAAACATTTTTCTTTTACGATCTAGTTCTTTGTACGATCAAAGTTACTATTTTCATCAATAATATTAAGAACACCATCTTTGGTTACAAGTCTTCTGTTGTTCTTTGAGAATTTCCACATACTGTATCCCTAAAATAAAACCCTAGACAAATCTTGATTGTGTTAAGTTTCGACTTCCACAATGTGGCTGTAAGTGATAGAGTATAGATGGAGAAAGATATGGATGTGTGGATTTCTTCAAGCAACCATGATTTGATCATCCTTCTATGAAAAATCACAAGTACCATTACAGGGTATAATTTTGGATATATCGGTTCTATATACTTATATTCTTTTAGAAACATAAAAAGAAAAGACAGTAATATGTTTATGGCTATACTACATTTCTTAGATGCGTCCAATATGGAAAGGAATGAGAGAAAGAAAGACAAACAATACCGGTTTTGGTTACTTATGGGAGAATGGTGTGGGTTGTCCCATTGGTACCGTCCCCATACAAAGAGTCACTAAAGACGATCTTTTGAGATTCGACTCATTTGGCGATAATCATAAACCCCGTGGCTCTTGGAACACTACCACTTATGATCCTAATAGTCCTCTTCATCCCGACCAACATCATGTACGTTGCTTCTTTTAATTAAAAAAACAAGATTATCAAATAACATTTTGATATATTTTATAATTATAATAACGTTTGGTTATTGAATGAAAATGAACGCTATTAGTATGCGGTGGCTCGGACGTTTGCGCCAGACAAAAGGTTCAATGGAGCAACAATGGAACTTTGTATAACCGCTCCTGCGGTTAAACCAACCCAATTCAGTGCTTCTCGACTTCACATTCAGCTTGGAAGTGATTTCATCCAAACCGGTTTTACTGTAAGTTACTTGATTTATTTATTTTGCCGTCTACAACTTGCACTCGATAAAAGAACCGGACAACATAACGAGCTCTAATTACTTAATTTATTTATTAACTAACTAAATATGTATTATATTGTTGAATAAATCCTTTCAATAATTACAAATTATATTTACTAATTCAGGTAAATCCAGAATTGTACAAGGACAGCCAACCTCGGACTTACGTCTATGCAAATGTAAGTGAGTCACATCATGCTAGTAAATTTTCTTTTAATTTTTTTATTTAGTATATATGCTAGTAAATTTATATATTGATGGAACAGTCAGGTGGTAAATCATGTTACAATAGCAACTGCGACGTTGGAATGATACTCGTTCGTCAAGATTTTCCACTTGGTTTGGCATTAAAGCCAGTCTCTGTTCGTGGTGCTAAGAAAAGTGAATATGGAATCTTCGGTCTAATCAAGGTTTAAATAATTAGGAGAACGACTATGCATTCAAATATTTTTGCTTGAATACTTTGTGTTTCTTAAACTGATGAAAATATTCACCTATTATTTTCGGGTTACAGGACGAAAAAAATGGAAATTGGTGGTTGCAATTTGGTGATGCGGCAGAGGAAATTGGATTTTGGCCGTCGAGTAGGTTTCATCAAAGCTCTGGAAATCTCGTCGAGTGGGGTGGAGAAGTGTACAGCGCCTCACTGCCGAGTCCTGAAATGGGATATGGATATTTTCTTGCTCACGATATGGTTTACGATGCATATATCAAACGGATATCCGTACTTGACGGTTTTAATAACATTGACCGCAGAGTGGAATATACAGAAAAATATGTGGACAACACTCATGGCTACCAAGTTATGGACGACTACAAAAATTCCAAATACCCTAAGGCCGGTCATATAATATTTTTTGGTGGTCCGGGAAATATCTGAATATGATTAAATCTTTGTGGAATGAAAATTAAAACATTACTTTGACTTGATTATACAATAAATATCGCCTTTATGGGTTTCTTTAAAACAAAGTCTTAATAAACTGAACATAGAATTGGTCTAATAACTATACATATGCATAAGACATAGAAAATGGCATTGACATATCAAGTAACCATTTTTGTAATCGAATTTAAACAAAAATATCCCCCTGAATGGCACGCTTATCTCGTGAATGGAAGTTTACAGCTTCCGGTTTATGACCCCTGTCTTTCCAAAGAAATGTATATCTTATATACAGTCTTTCTGCAGCTCTTCTTCTGTCAAGCTTAGTAGAGGGGTTATCACTCAACAAAAGTCACTTGGTTCACTATCATATTGTAGAAAGAGGAAGTTGGTTTAGAGATTTTAACTACTCGAATAACGCATGCATATTCGAGCTCATTTAGTTACTATTCCTTAGAGCTTGCTCCATCTAGATGGCGTTATATACTAATCAGATCTTATGGATCAATTAAGTCAACTTTAGGATACTAAAACAAAAACAGATGCGTTTTTGGAAGGGAAATTTTCTGAAAGTAAGACATCTCTTGCAAGAGAAACAGATGCACTGGTGCGTTTCTATTATTCACTTTACTTTACTTTACTTTACTTCTGCATTTACCAAATCTCATTTTGATTTTGTTTGGTTTAACCTGACTCTTCTTTTATTTTGGTGTTTGCAGTATCTTCCACAAGATTTCACTAGCTCAAATGGTCTTAACAGAAAAGGTAGCAAGAGTCCAAGACAGATTATATCATCATATTCGCCAAGCGAGAAACAATTCGTAACATTTACACTTGCACCTGTTGATGTAGACTGGTGACTGGTGAGATCATCATAGAACTTGCACTTGTTAGTGTCTTTTATTCTACTTTTATTGGTTTTGACTTGTGTTCGATTCTCTACAGCGTCTTCCGATGCAATTCACAAGGGAGAATGGAATTAACAAGCCTGGGTTATCCGACAGTCCAGAATGAGACGATGAACACGAAGACGACTCCAGAGTAGATCGATTAGGATTTGAATCTTTATATTAGAATGGCTTGTACAATGAATTTTAATTTGTATGGATTTTAATTTTAAATTTAATTTTAAGTTTCTTTTGCATTCTAAATTTAATTTTTTCAAAAAACCAAAATTTGCAACAAATAAATATAAATAATTTTAATAAAATTTGTCTCTGAAATTTCGAAGGATAATGGTAGGAATTTTGTATGAGAGGTATCGTATGAAACTGGTAAGATAATTTTGGTAGGTAATTGGTGAGAAATATTTCGTAGGAAAATTGAAGGACTAAATTTCCTACGAAAATTTGGAAGGATAATGGTGAAAAAGGCCCTACCAATTTCCTACGCGATTTCCTACGAACAAGTTTCGTAGAAAATTTCCAACGAATTTCCTACGAAATTCTATTTTCTATTTCCTAGGGGCGATTTCCTTCAAATATTTTTCGTAGAAAATTGGTAGGAAAGGTCTATTTTCTACCAATCTCCTACGATTTTGGCCGTAGGAAAACGCAGCATTAATTGTCCCGGGGATCAGCTTAAAGGTTGGAGATGGAAGGGATTGCTTGTTCTGATCAAATAATTGGTCGCTTATGAGAATTTGAAATGCTACTTGAACCAGTAAGATATCCTTCTATGATAAATCACACATACCATGACAAGGTAAAGTTTTTATATCGGTTTTATATACGTATATATATTCTTTTAGAAACATAATAGGAAAAGGGCAGTAATAGGTGTATTGTGTTCGACATGTCTTAGATGCATCCAATATGGAAAGGAATGAGAGAAAGAAAGAAAAACAATACTGGTTTTGGTTACTTATGGGAGAATGGTGTGGGTTGTCCAATTGGTACGGTCCCTATACGAAGAGTCACCAAAAAGGATCTTTTGAGATAATCATAAATCCTGTGGCTCTTGGAACACTACCACTTATGATACTAATAGTGTTTTTCATTTCAACAAACATCATGTAAGTTGCTTCTTTTATTTTATTTTTTAAAAACATTTTTGGATCGACAAGATCTGAGTCATAGTCAATCCCTAATATGCAGGATAACACGTCTTAGTGGAGTCGAACTCCGCTAGGAAAGGTGGAATCATACTTTGTAAGTTACTTGATTTAATTAAAGGTGGACCTACTTTGGAGCCATATTGTAAGTCTCTACCAAATTAATTTAGATCAATTGTATTATATGTTAATTCATTAATATTGTTATTGGTTTGTGATTTAAATAGAGTTTTAGTGACTTTCAATATTATGTAGAATCTGTTGTTATTCAATCAGGATTTTTTAAAGTTTGTTAGTTTGGTGTTATTAATTTAAGATTTATAAAAAATAATCTAAAATCTAAATAAATCTGGAGTTATTGGATTCATACTTTTATAAAGTCATTAAAATTTTTGTGCTATTCAATTAAAACAAAAAAAATCTATGATTGTTAATGAATTAAATTATTATATTATTTGTTTATGACTTTCTATCTTTTTCTTCACAAAATAAAGTCATGAAAAGTATCATCAAAATAGAGAGATTGTTTGGAAAACTTTACAAGATTATAAAAAAAAACTAATCAACAAGATTATAGAAAACTCTCTAGGAATAGTTTAGCATCTTTCATTTATTTACTTTCTATAATTTTATTAAAGTCATCAAAATTTCTTGTAAATTAGAAACCAATAACACCTTTTTAGTCTCTTAGGAATTGTTGACCAAACACTAAGTCTCTCACGAATTAGTAAGAATCTGTTGAATAAATTTTATTAAATTTTAATTGATTAAATTTTATCAGCAAATTAGTCTTTTCAAAATAAATTTGGTCAACAGTCTTGAATTAATAAGAACCAAATGTTTGGTTCCTTTCTCGGCCTGCCTGACCTTTATATATTAACCTTTATCTTAAATGCTTCAAAATCAATAAACTCTCTCTCTTCTCTCTATTGTTGATAAAAATGGAAGTGAGAGGTCCAGTGATGTGGATGTTCTTAATGAGTTGCATCTTTGGTCACATAATTACAAGTCATAACAATGTCTTCGTAGAAGCCAAGAGCTTTTCTAAATTTGAAGATTTAGAAATCGAGAAGAGACTAAAGTCTATCAACAAACCCGCTGTCAAGATCATCAAGGTTTTTATATATCTTCACAATCTTGTTAATGTTCTCTATATACAATTAAGTAATATATGTTAACTTCTATAGAAATGGCTGAAAATGATAGACTATAGATGGAGAAAGATACGGATGTGTGGACTTCTTCAAGCAACCAGCATTTGATCATCCTTCTATGCAAAATCACACATACCATTACAAGGTATAATTTGGGATATATCGGTTCTATATACTTATATACTTTTAGAAACATTAAAAAAAAAAAAGATAGTAATATGTTTATGGTGTTCGGCATGTCTTAGATGCGTCCGATATGGAAAGGAATGAGAGAAAGAAGGACAAACAATACCGGTTTTGGTTACTTATGGGAGAATGGTGTGGGTTGTCCCATTGGTACCGTCCCCATACAAAGAGTCACTAAAGACGATCTTCTGAGATTGGACTCATTTGGCGATAATCATAAACCCCGAGGCTCTTGGAACACTACCACTGATAATTCTAATAGTGTCCTCCATAACGACAAACATCATGTCAGTTGCTTCTTGTAATTAAAAAAACAAGATTATCAAAACACAGTTTGATATATTTATATACTGATAATAACGTTTGGTCATTGAATGAACGGGATTAGTATGCGGTGGCTCGGTCATTAGACCCAACCCAGAGGTTCAATGGAGCAACAATGGAACTTTGTATAACCGCTCCTAAGGTTAAGCCAGCCCAATTCAGTGCTTCTCGACTTCACATTCAGATTGGAAAGGATTTCATCCAAACCGGTTTCACCGTAAGTTACTTAATTTATTTATTTTGTCGTCTACAACTTGTACTCGACAAAAACATCTGACTACAAGGGGACTTTATTTGCTTAATTTATTTAGTAACTAACAAAATATGTAATATATTGTTGAATAAATCCTTTTAATAAACACAAATTATATTTATTAATTCAGGTAAATCCAGCATTGTACAAGGACAGCCAACCCCGGACTTTCGTCTATACAAATGTGAGTGAGTCACATCATGCTAGTAAATTTTCCATTTTAATTTTTTTATTTAGCATATATAATGTAATGTATATATTGATGGAACAGTCAGGTGGAAAATCATGTTACAATAGCAACTGCAACGTTGGGATGTTACTCGTTCGTCAAGATTTCCCACTTGGTACGGCGTTGTTGCCAGTGTCTATCCGCGGTGCTAAGATAAGTCACTATGGAATCTTCGGTCTAATCAAGGTTTGAATAATCATGAGTACGACTATGCATTCAAAAACTTTTCTGAAATACTTTGTGTTTCTTTATCTAATGTCAAAATTCACCTATTATTTCCGGGTAATAGGACGAAAAAAATGGAAACTGGTGGTTGCAATTTGGTGATAATGCGGAAGAAGTTGGATTTTGGCCGTCGAGTAGGTTTCATCAAAGCTCTGGAAATTACGTCGAGTGGGGCGGAGAAGTGTACAGTGCATACCTGCCGAGTCCTGAAATGGGATATGGACATTATCCTGTTGAGGATATGCGTTACGATGCATATATCAAACGTATAACCGTACTCGACGGTTTTAATTACATTGACCGCAGAGTGGCATATCTCGAAGAATTCGCGGACAACGATCGGGGCTACACAGTAATTGACGACTACAGCACTCACAAATACCCTAAGGCCGGTCATATAATCTTTTTTGGTGGTCCGGGAAATATCTGATATGATTAGTACTTTGCGGAATGAAAATTAAAACATTACATTGACTTGATTATACAATAAATATCGCTTTTATGGGTTTCTTCGAAACAAAGTCTTAATAAATTAAACAGAGAATTTGTCCGATAACTATACATATGCACAAGACATAGGAAATGGCATTGACATAGGCTAAACGAATCAAGTAGCCACTTGTGACGATATAGGCTAAACCTAAACGAATCAAGTAACAAAGTACAACCAGTCGGATCTTCTCTACTTTGGCTCAACTGTGGAATGGTAATCACTGGATGTAAGTTTGCTTTGAAGAATTTATTTATCCTTCAAAAAGACTTTAATTTGACACTTTTAGACAAGTCAAGACATTCTGAGATAAATTCATTGATCGATTGGTCTGGTAAAAGATCGTGATGACTAGATTTATTATCATTAAGATATATTTTGGTTGAAAAATACTCATATTTCATTAATACACGAATGACAAAAAACGAGTTCGAGTAGTTCTTAGAATATATTTACGAAACCCGTAGAAAAAAATAGTTGAAAACCTTTTCTCCACTTTACTTTATCTTTTCCTCTATCCCACTTTCATAATTTCATCATATCATACTTTTCCGAAAATCATTTCTTGTTTTAAAAATTCAATATAAACTTGTCTTAAATAATGTCAAAAATAGTTCAAAACCTTTTCTCCAACATAACTAAAAACGAATTTAGAAATATAAGAAAATAACAGTAAAGTAAAATATACCCGAGGTTCCCGAAATACACCATAAGCGAGACGGACTTGCGTTACTACTCACGATTTTCACCTTAACCTGGGAAAAATGGAGAAAAAGGGGTGAGTAAAGAATTACTCAGTGAGAGGATTCTTTCCGCCTACTGGAAATATGATACATGAAACTACTTATACACAACAATCAACAATCACATAGAAAAAGACACAACACTAATATAGTCTGCACCATTATGCAAACTATAACACAAAACTCATTCTCGCCCTTAGCGAGATCTCCACAGTAATTCCAGGTTCGATCATCTCCCATGAACTTTGAACCTATCTAGTTCCATTGGACTCGTCAGTCTATTATTCAGCTACAAAGAACCCATCAATTCAATGTAAACCATTTTCCACTTTTTCACTTTTCCACTGTTCATCATCTCAAAATATGGTAATTCCACTTTCTCATATAACACATATACTAACTTGTTATCACAATGACATTAACTCAGTCATCATATATCACTAGAACAATCATCATATCATCAATACTAACTAACAAGTCATTACTACTAAGCAAACAGATCTAATCTTATGCAAGTGAATCATGAAGCATAAAAATAGAAACTTGTAATCGCATATCCGCAGATCACACCCTCACCTTTGCCTTTTGATGACGAAGAACAGCTCACTTAAGTATCTAAACAAACGCACTAGTAACTTCAGAATGGACGGTTAACTTCTTAGTCCCACCGTTGAATTTCAAGCTTTCTATAACAAGGAACTCTCCCCAAAATTTCAGCTTGATCGGATTAGTTTTGAACCTCCAAACACTACCCCAAAGATGGTACCTCAGATATGTTATTTTAGGATTTCAGATTAACCAGTTTCTTGCACACAAAGTAAACGTTATGGCGGTTAGGTTTTATTTTGTTGGGCCTATAATGGGTTTATTGAGGAGTTGGGTCTCACATTATCGATCCAAAAATATCAAAAAAAAATTATCATATAATTAATAAATTGAAATTTTATAAAAATAAGTATGATTTTTTTTTTTTTTGGTAGGAAAAATAAGTATGATCTAATCCTATTATAAGATCTAGATTATTTAATTTTTGAAATAGGTCTTAAATATTTTTGAGTTTTGAAATTTGTATCTAATACTATTATAAGATCTTGATTATTTTATTTTTGGGGACATCTTATAAGATCTGGTCTTTGATCTGGTCTAGTAAAGAATCAAAGTAACTAAAATTTATTATGATTGTGTACATTTATGATTTATGGAGTTTGCTTCCATATACACTGTTATAAGTCATCAATCATAATGTACACAATCAAACCAGATTCAAATACATAATCTCCACACACACACAAAAACAAGCTTAAGGAAATATAATTAAAACCTAAAAAATAAATAAATCTCTACAACATAAATCATTGTTAAGATAATTTCTCTCTTACACACGTATATATATAAACCATGTACTAGCAACTTCACATATTAAGAATTCTTATCAACATTTCGATAATGGCTTCTCTTGGCTTGATGCTCTGTCTTTTCTCGGTCCTTCTCCTGAGTCTTTGTCAGATTCCAACAGCTATTGAAGATGAAAGAAAGGCAAGTCATTTCTGTTTCGTCTGGTAACCATAATAACTAATCTATATCTTAATTTGTATTGGCCTAATTCATTCTTTGTAACATCTTGACGCAGGTGTATATTGCTTACATGGGAGCTCTTCCTTCAAAAGATTCTTACTCTCCTATGTCTCACCATCAGAATATCCTTCAAGAAGTTATCGAATCAAGGTTTTAATAAGACTCTCTAATCTCACTAACCCAACTCTTGTTGCTTGTTGTTTACGTTATTATTTTTTCTCTTTTGATCTGCAGCTCCGTTGAACATTCTTTGGTCAGAAGCTATGGAAGAAGTTTCAATGGTTTTGCAGCAAAACTTACTGAATCTGAAAGAGATAAACTTATGGGTGAGTTTTTATGTTTATAAAAGATTATGAGATTCGTTATGATGGTTAATTTGGTAATGATGATGATGATGATGATGATGATGTTATGTGTGATTTGAAGGCATGGAAGGTGTGGTTTCGGTATTCCCAAACACCGTTTATAAGCTTCTTACAACAAGATCTTATGAGTTCATGGGACTTGGTGACAAGAGCAACCATGTCCCTAAAGTTGAGAGCAATATAATAGTTGGTGTAATCGACGGCGGAATCTGGCCTGAATCCAAGAGTTTTTCAGACGAAGGCATTGGCCCAATACCAAAGAAATGGAAAGGAACTTGTGCTGGAGGAACCAATTTCACCTGCAATAGGTAAGAAACATTTTCACTTTCTTTTTTCTTCTCCAATTTTCTTTGCTTGACACACAAGGATCCAAAGATAGAGATTAATCCAAAATTTTATAGGAAGGTGATTGGAGCACGACACTATGTTCAGAATTCCGCGAGAGATAAAGAACCTCACGGGTCACACACGGCTTCAACAGCCGCAGGAAACAAAGTAAAAGGAGTGAGTGTGAACGGTGTGGTAAAAGGAACCGCAAGAGGTGCTGTACCTTTAGGTAGAATTGCTATTTACAGAGTTTGCGAGCCAGCAGGTTGTAATGCCGACGGAATGTTGGCTGCGTTTGATGATGCTATAGCCGATGGAGTCGATGTTATAACCATTTCTATTGGTGGAGGTGTTACTAAAGTTGACATTGACCCTATCGCTATTGGATCGTTTCACGCAATGCTGAAAGGGATTGTTACTACTGCTGCTGTTGGAAACGACGGCTCTAAACCTGGAAAAGCATCTAACCTTGCACCGTGGATCATATCCGTGGCAGCAGGTTCAACTGATAGAAAGTTTGTTACTAATGTGGTTAATGGAGAAGGCAAAACCATACCGGTAAGAAACTTTTCTCTTGTTTCAGTTGATATATGAATATGATATTGTCATCAATCATGGTGACTAAGTATGAACATACAGGGAAGATCGATCAATGACTTTGACTTAAAAGGAAAGAAGTATCCTTTGGCTTATGGAAAAACTGCTTCAAGTAACTGTACAGAGGAGCTAGCAAGGTAACTTGTGACTCAAGGACTCCAAAAGTGATTTGACTTGTGACTCAAGAATTTTCACTTTATCGACAGATCTTCATTTCTTGGTATTTATTTTCTTGTAGGGGCTGCGCTAGCGGTTGCCTAAACACGGTGAAGGGAAAGATTGTTGTGTGCGATGTTCCAAATAATGTTATGGAACAGAAAGCAGGGGGTGCGGTTGGAACTATTCTTCATGTAACCGATGTTGATACTCCCGGTCTTGGTCCTATTGCGGTTGCAACCTTAGATGATTCCAATTATGAAGCATTCAGATCTTACGTTCTCTCCTCACCGTAAGACTTTTTCCTTAGAAATTCTTTGATTATATTATTTTTAAGGATGTTTAAGACAACTTTCGATGTGAAACAGAAACCCACAAGGAACTATATTGAAGAGTGGGACAGTTAAAGACAATGATGCTCCGATCGTTGCTAGTTTCTCTTCTCGTGGTCCAAACACTCTCTTTAGCGACATTTTGAAGGTAACAAACACTCAAAACAAATTTCACAGAACTTTAATTAGTGTTTCTATTTTGCATTTGTTGAATTTTAGATCAATGTCTTGACAACTAAAACATATATATTTGCAGCCGGATATTACAGCTCCAGGAGTGAATATATTAGCGGCATATACACCATTGGCTCAAACCGCGCTTCCTGGACAAAGTGTCGATTACTATTTCATGACTGGAACATCTATGGCTTGTCCTCATGTCGCAGGTGTAGCTGCTTATGTCAAGACACTACGTCCTGATTGGTCCGCTTCTGCCGTCAAATCTGCTATCATGACTACCGGTAATTATCAACATCAAACCGTTTTATTCACTGAAGAAATCACTTAACTGACATGTGACCTGAATCCTTTTTGTTTTGTTGCAGCTTGGGCAATGAACGTTTCGAAAAATGCAGATGCTGAGTTTGCGTATGGATCAGGATATGTTAACCCTTCAGTAGCAGTTGAGCCAGGACTTGTTTACGAAATCGCTAAAGAGGATTACTTGAACATGCTTTGCTCTTTGGACTACTCATCCAAAGGCATTAGTACTCTCGCGGGTGGTTCCTTTACTTGTTCTGAACAATCTAAGCTTACTATGAGAAACCTCAACTACCCAGCAATGACAGCCAAAGTTTCAGGCTCATCATCTTCAGATATCACTTTTTCAAGAACCGTCACAAACGTTGGGGAAAAGGGATCCACTTACAAGCAAAATTGTCTGGGAATCCAAAACTCAGCATCAAGGTTGAGCCAGAGACTCTCTATTTCAAGTCACCGGGGGAGAAGAAGTCTTTCACTGTTACAGTCTCTGGCAAGAGTCTTGCTGGTATTTCTAGTATTGTGTCGGCGTCTCTTGTTTGGTCGGATGGATTACGCAATGTGAGAAGTCCTATTGTTGTGTATACTTAGGCATCAACTCCAAACTCAAGACAATAAAAGTATTTGATGTTATTGTATGTGATATACTAGTATGTTCTTGATATTAAAATTCAGTTTCTTTAAATAAGAAGTGGTTCTGTTTGTCTTCATTTCATGGTTAAACTCGGTCTAGGACTAGGGCCTCCAACTTGGACTTAGCTCTTTTAACCTGACATTATGAATCACAACTCTATTCTCTCCCTAGTCCCTTCTGCGATTTATAATCCATATATGAACTATGATAAATCTACAAATCTACATCACAATACTCGGAGTTGTAAACTTTGTTTATTAAACAACAAAGATATAAGTATATAACTAAATTTAATGTCTCACTGAAAAGTTCTCGATCGATAATCATTTAGTCTGCTTGAGTTATCAAAACCTCAAAGTGGTTTACATAATTGTTTCTACTGTTTCATGTATATTTGCTCCCTAGAAAAATACATAGTAGTTAATTGTTCTTTGAGTGACTTTTCGTAATAGCATTCATGTAAATGTACTTCTCAATTAATTGTAGATAAAACGCTTTATATGCAAGCAAATTTTATTTTAGAAATTATATATGTTTTTTTGCAAAGCATTATATTTGTGTTTCGACGTAAGAAATCTCCAACATAAGATTTCCAAAAATCTTATTTGGAAGTAAATTTCATATATATGAACAATCATAAAATCTATAATGTTTCTTTTGATATGATATATTTTGAAATATATATACTACAAAATCTAAATATCATAATATATAATATCAAAATATATGTGGAAAAGGAAACAAAATTACTGAAATATCTATAATAAAATCATACTAATATGTAATGGCCTTATTAATGTAGTTTCTCTAGAGTTTTAAGGTCACTGTACTCCTCACTTTTTTCAAGCATGTACTTTTCAATTAATAATATAGAGATATGACAATGATATTATCCCATATTTACCAAAAAATCGAGAGAATGATTTAGTGAAAACTAAAGAATAAATCATATTATCATTTTTATTAATTATCAAATAAAGAAAATCATGTTGTTTATCGTATTCAATCCATTCTCAAACAAACAAAATCATGTTAACTATAGTATTAAACCCATTCTATGTACTTATTATAGTTTATATATTTAAAATAAATAAAAACAAAAAAAAATATTTTAAATGGATCCTAACAACAACAATCGATCACATTTGTGGAGTAAAGAAACTTTATGAAAACAGCAATCGATCAAATTTATTCACATTTTTTTAGATTTCTATTTTCTTTTAGATTAAAAATGTTAAATATTTATATAAAAATAATAAAATTATTATAAAATAGATAATCTAGTTCTTAAAACAAAATGAAATGGATAATGTATTTTTGATAAAATATAAGTTTAATGAAATACTTTACTATATATTTTTTGAATATCGAATTAGTACAAGTTCATATATGTATTTTTTGAATTTAAAATTCGTATTACCATAGAATGGAATGAAATATACTGTATATATTTAATTCCCATATTCATTGCATTGTCACGATCATTTCTCTTTATAAACACTACCCACATATTTACATATTTAGAACCATGTACTAGCAACTTCACATATTAAGAATTCTAATCAACAATTGAAAGTCTCGATAATGGCTTCCTTTGGCTTGATTCTCTGTCTTTCCTCGGTGCTTCTCATGAGCCTTTGTCAGATTCCAACAGCTATTGAAGATGAAAGAAAGGCAAGTCATTTATGTTTCGTCTCGTAACCAAATAACTAATCTACGTTCTTAATTTGTATTGGCCTATTTCAATCGTTGTGTCATTTTGACGCAGGTGTATATTGCTTACATGGGAGCTCTTCCTTCAAAAGCTTCTTACTCTCCTATGTCCCACCATCAAAATATCCTTCAAGAAGTTATTGAATCAAGGTTTAAAATATAAGACTCTCAAATCTCTCTCACCCAAATCTTGTTGCTTGTTGTGTACGTTATTCTTGTCACTTGTCTTTTTTGCTCTGCAGTAATTCCATAGAAGATTCTTTGGTTAGAAGCTATGGAAGAAGTTTCAATGGTTTTGCAGCCAAACTTACTGAATCTGAAAAAGATAAACTTATTGGTGAGTTTTATAATTATAAAAGATAATGAAATTCCTGATCATGTTGGTTGATGATGATGATGTCTTGTGTAATTTGAAGGCATGGAAGGTGTGGTTTCCGTATTCCCAAGCACCGTTTATAAGCTTTTGACAACAAGATCTTATGAGTTCATGGGACTTGGTGACAAGAGTAACCATGTCCCTGAGGTCGAGAGCAATATAATAGTTGGTGTAATCGACGGCGGAATCTGGCCTGAATCCAAGAGTTTTTCAGACCAAGGCATTGGCCCAATACCAAAGAAATGGAAAGGAACTTGCGCAGGAGGAACTAATTTCAGCTGCAATAGGTTAGTAACATTTTCATTTTCTTCTCAAAGTTTCTTGCGTGACAAGAAAGGATTGGTCTGCCAAGTTTCTATTTCAATTTATACTGCAGAAAGGTGATTGGAGCACGACACTATGTGCAGGACTCGGCAAGAGACAGTGACGCTCATGGATCACACACGGCTTCAACAGCCGCAGGAAACAAAGTAAAAGGAGTGAGTGTGAACGGTGTAGCAGAAGGAACTGCAAGAGGTGGTGTGCCTTTAGGTAGAATTGCTGTTTACAAAGTGTGCGAGCCAGCGGGTTGCAGTGGCGATAGACTGTTGGCTGCGTTTGACGATGCTATAGCGGATGGGGTCGATGTTATAACCATTTCTCTTGGAGGCGGTGTTACTAAAGTTGACAATGACCCTATTGCTATAGGATCATTTCACGCGATGACCAAAGGGATTGTTACCACGGTAGCGGTTGGAAACGCCGGCTCTGCACTTGGAAAAGCGGATAACCTTGCACCGTGGGTCATATCGGTGGCTGCTGGCTCTACTGATAGAAAATTTGTTACTAATGTGGTTAATGGAGATGACAAGATGATACCTGTAAGAAGTCTTTCCCTTGTTTCAGTTGGTATATGAATGTGCGTGTCGTCGTCATCATGGTGATTAAAGTATGTATATCCAGGGAAGATCGATCAATGACTTTGACTTAAAGGGAAAGAAGTATCCTTTGGCGTACGGAAAAACTGCTTCAAACAACTGTACAGAGGAGCTAGCAAGGTAACTTGTTACTCAAAGAATCTATAGTGACCTAACTCGCAACTCAAGAAGATATACTTTATAGATATACCTTTTGATACATTTGTATTCTATGTTAGGGGTTGCGCTAGCGGTTGCCTGAACACAGTGGAAGGAAAGATTGTTGTGTGCGATGTTCCAAATAATGTAATGGAACAGAAAGCAGGGGGTGCGGTTGGAACTATCCTTCATGTAACCGATGTTGATACTCCCGGTCTTGGTCCTATTGCGGTTGCAACCTTAGATGATACCAATTATGAAGCATTAAGATCTTACATTCTCTCCTCACCGTAAGAATGTTACATAAAAAAATCTTAGATTAGTTTCTGTTAAGATGTTAATGACATTTTTCTATATGAAACAGAAACCCGCAAGGAACTATATTGAAGAGTGCGACAGTTAAAGATAATGATGCTCCAATTGTTCCTACCTTCTCTTCTCGCGGTCCAAACACTCTCTTTAGTGACATTTTGAAGGTAACAGACACTCAACCAAAACTAACTGAACTCTGTGATTATACATTTGTTGGAATTTGGATTGATTGATGTCTTGAGATGTACATGCAGCCTGATATAACAGCTCCAGGAGTCAATATATTAGCAGCATATTCACCATTGGCTCAAACCGCGCTTCCTGGACAAAGCGTGGATTACTATTTCATGACCGGAACATCTATGGCTTGCCCTCATGTCGCAGGTGTAGCTGCTTATGTCAAGACACTACGTCCTGATTGGTCTGCTTCTGCCGTCAAATCTGCTATCATGACTACTGGTAATTATCAACATCAAATTGATCTATTCCCTGAAGGAAGAATTTAAATTAAATGAGATCCGAATCGATCCTTTTTGTTTTAATGCAGCTTGGGCAATGAACGCTTCGAAAAATGCAGAAGCTGAGTTTGCATATGGATCAGGATTTGTTAACCCTTCAGTGGCAGTTGATCCAGGACTTGTTTACAAAATAGCCAAAGAGGATTACTTGAACGTGCTTTGCTCTTTGGACTACTCATCTAATGGCATTAGTACTATTGCGGGTGGAACTTTTACTTGTTCTGAACAATCAAAGCTTACTATGAGAAATCTCAACTACCCTTCAATGGCAGCCAAAGTTTCAGCTTCATCTTCAGATATCACTTTTTCAAGAACAGTCACCAACGTTGGGAAAAAGGGATCCACTTACAAGGCAAAATTGTCTGGCGATCCCAAACTCAGTATCAAGGTCGAACCGAATACGCTCTCTTTCAAGTCACCAGGGGAGAAGAAGTCTTACACCGTTACAGTCTCTGGCAAGAGTCTTGCTGGTATTTCTAGTATTGTGTCGGCGTCTCTGATTTGGTCGGATGGATCACACAATGTGAGAAGTCCTATTGTTGTGTATACTTAGCTATCAACCCCAAACTCGAGATAATAAAAGTATTTGATGTTATGGTCTGTGTTCTAAAGACCTTCTCAATACTAAAATTCCGTTTCTTTCAGTAGATAAGGGTATAAGTGTTTACACTCAATCTAGGCTATGATATAAAAGATATCACTGTGATGTAGATGATCACCTTTTGAAACTCTAAAGTCCCAAAATTATCACCCCTTACCCGGGAACATCCCCTCCATGTATTCATCGAAGTTTTCATCATCCTTGCCTTCTCTATCACCACCTTCCAACTTGGACTTTCCTGTTTTCCCTGCAATATGAAACTTTCTATTAACTCCTTCCCAAAATTATAATAATCCATAACCTTTTCAATATAGAATAGATTAGACACAATATATTGAACTTCGCAAATATCATACCTTTTCTCCTATCCTCTTCGTCTGTGTCATCTTCACTGTGTGATTGACTCCTGAATTTCCAAATTAATGTGTTTAGTGTAATGTAATCCAACCAAAACTGTGACCCTTAGTTGTAAAATGACGTGAATCTCTCTATCCATACCGTTTTTGTTTCTGCTTTTTCTTTTCTTTACTCTCTGATCTTTCACCCTCCTTTCTTTTCTCCTCTTCGTCTGTGTCATCTTCACTGTGTGATTGACTCCTGAATTTTAAAATTAATGTTTTTAGCTTAATGTGTACCAAAACAAAACTGTGACCCTTAGTTATAAAATGACATCAATCTCTTTATCCAAACCGTTTTCGTTTCTGCTTTCTCTTTTCTTTACTCTCTGATCTTTCACCCTCCTTTCTTTTTTTATAGTAAAGCTTCTCTGCACATCTAATGCCAAAAACGTTTGATATTAGACCAAGAAAGTGTTAACCAAAAGCATAGAAACAAACCAGGATACAAGTATAGGGATAAGCAAGATGTACAATGAGTGCCTACCTCTTACAAGCTACGAGTTTTACAAGGGCTTGCTTATCTTCTCCAGCTTCATGATAAGAAAAATTCACCTGCAAAATCAACAATCTTAGTGAAATAATCCGAGTATCCGACACAAACATCAAAACAGTAATTGAGAGACTCTCTAAAGATGCATGCCTCATAGCTTGCTAACCCTTCCTTTTCATCACAATGTTTGCTCCCACACAAAAACTGCCCTGACAGAAAGCAGTTGCATTTACACTCAAAACTCTTATCACAGCTCCTTCAAAAGAAATCATAGACAAAAGAGTTTGAAGTAATACTAACCTTTCCCAGTCATTACTTCCTTTTCCGTTCTCCATCTTAAACCCATCTACAAAGATTCAAAAATAAGTCAACTCAACAAAAGATAACAGGAATCTACAATGAGATGTGGTATTCACACACTAGACTTTACCTTACCAGTCTTGTATCTTGACATGTCAGCTATACAGTATCTTCAATCAGTCAAGGAGATAGACATGTACTTATCCACACTCCACTAAATTAGTAACTAAAAGTAATCTACCAGGTGTTAATGTCTCCAAAGCAGCACAATGTTTTAAAGGATACTCTTTAAAAAGCTTATCATAGTATCGCTTCACCAATCTTTGCTCCCAAGAAGGATTAAAATCATCTTCCTCAGAACGTATAAACCTTGCAAGACAAACCCAAAATTAAGAGTAAACATACAAAGACAAAAAAAAAAAAAAAAAACATTTTCTATGATTCATAAACAAAGGCGATGTAGTAATAGATATATGCTAACATATGCCGGGCAAATACCAAGTAAGATTCAACAAGAAACTTACAAATTCATCAACAAAGCATGCATATTAAAACTTACAAAACATAAATCCAAAGTTGCAGCATACCGGTATCCTTCTCGTAGTGTGTCCTGATCGGTTTTAACCGGTAATTTGACTTCAGCTGGCTTATCCTTCCCATAAAAACGAACTGTAAAGTTGCAAGAAACAAAGATTACCAAACCTCCTCAAATAGCAGCTAACTCCAAGGCAAAAGGTATAATCTTTCTAATGGAGACCAAAAAAAAAGAAGACTTGTATGACTGACTGTAGCCTCCTTCCTAACTCAGAGGAGAAGACTGTTCATCAACCAGATTTTGATTTGGGACAACTTGGGTTTTGGATAAATAGAAAGCCACTTATTTACCCTTATTATTTGTCCATAATTAAAACCTAATTATCGAAGCTACAAATCGAAAGACAAGTGTAGTACCGTAGTCTTTCAAGAACTTCTTATGCCGCTCGTAAGCATTTAGGCCACGAATATGTGCTTGGTATTGCCTGCAGAGACGATTGAGCAATCAAGAGAAAATCTGACGGATTCGAACACAGTGAACAGGAGCAGGAAGAAGAAGAATAGATAGAAGGAAGATTAACTGCTTGCGTTCTTCTCTGTCGTAGATGTCAGATCTGATCGCCGCCGAAGAAGTCATGTCGCCGCCGATGTCCGATGGAGCTATCGTAGACCTTCTTTAGCTTTCTCCGTCTCTTTTTTTCTCCGATTGCTCCAATTGTTTCTTATTGGGCTGGGCCGTATTGCCAAACAATATGGGCCATTCAAATGTTAAAATGTCCAAAGTGTGACTTAAATATTGTTTGTTTTATATATTTTTAGTGTTGATCAAACCATAAATCAAAGTATCATCAAACCATTAAAAATTTTGAACATAATGGATTGGAGCCTATGGAGTTATCTTTAAAACATCTAGTTTTGATTACCATGGTCTTTGGTTCTCTTCCTATAAGCTTTGGATGATACCAACTTTCACTCTACGCTGGTTACTTATTTTTCGATAAGAATAGAAAACCAGTCAGACGCATACTAAAGTTGGTATCATCCTAGGTATAGCTGCTTTTGTAAAGAGGCTTCGTCCTAGTTTGTCACTTCCTGCTATCATGACTACCAGTAAATTGTCTCTGGTTTGGTTGAATGGATCACACATTGTGACAAGTCCTTCTGTTGTGTATGCTTAGATATTTGGTCAAAACTTGACAAGAACTAAGGAGTAATTATGCCATAGAGACTTTGTGATTCTCATGTTCTAACAAATCCATCAAATATATATGAAAGAAAATAGGCATTTGGATTTCATGACCACAGCAAATATATTTGTCAAACAACTTAAAATCTGGACAGAACCTGACAATAAAACCCAAACTCTATGGAAACCTAATAGGACAATGCATGATGGAGTACGAAGAATAAGAATACTGAAACGTCTTGTATAAGAGATAAATCTAAGGGGATGACTCTAAAATTACAAATCGAAACCTATGACTACAAATAGCTAGCTTCCTGAAAGATAGAAAGAGCTGACGAAGAGGCTTAAACCAACCATGATAAATCTTACGTGAATAACTTCTCCGATGTGTTTGTATAATAACCTTCATCTCTCACTTCTTTTTCTCCCTTGAATATCTCAATATCATCAAAACCTGTACACATTTATTTCATCTTTTTTTCAAATCTCAAATCTTCGAAAACAAAAAGTAAATATTGTCTGAGGATGCTGAATCTTTTTACCTGAGCCCAAGTCTTCAGTATCATCAATAATTGGTACTACTTGTGTCCTATGAATAGACTCTAGCGACTTCCAGTCTGCGCTTCCATTTCCTTCTACACAAGCTTGGTCTCCAGAAACCCAGTCTTTAAGAACATCTATCCTGTTGAGTGACAACGGGTCTAGTGTGTCATCCCCGCTTTCAGGACCCCTAGATGAGACATAGAACCATTATTTGTATCCTTACTTACTACCTGGAAACAAAGAAGTTGGCTGAGATGGGCAAAATCTATGACTTACAGTTGTCTGAGGCGCATGTTGTACTGAACAAATACAAGATCGCTGAGCCGTTTTTGCTCAATGGAGTTCTTCGATTGGAATATTTGTTCGACGGGTATCTGGTTTCTCCTGCAGCTAACTGATGAACTGCACGTCTGACTAAGAATGCGTATCGCAAAACGTGAGAGGTTCAAGCAGCTTTCTCCATATGTAGACCACCACTCAGCTAAGAACCAAGCATGCAAAGAGAGTCAAGTAAGAGAAGTACAAGAGAAGATTAGCACAAGAAAATCAATGAAAATTAACCATACCAGGAAGCATTGTGTCCCGAGCTCTGATTGCCAAGTTTCTTCCAAAAACTCCACCAGCAGTTTTGTAGGAGGTTAACTCCTTGATGATTTTATCTTGAATCTTGTCATCAGGAACCAATCTCTCAACGCAATCGAGCACCGATAGAATAAGCTCACTACGCATTTCTTCATTGGCGTTATAAAAGAATTTCGGGTTCAGAAAGAAACCAGCAGCAAGCAAAGGAATATGCTGTTGTTGTTCCCACCATCGATCTATAATTTTCCAGTATATTATGTAATCCTCCTTATTAACCAGATGTGTCTTGATTGCATCCTTTGCTCGGTACAGTGCTGCATAGACATACCCCATTGCAGGCCTCTTTTCAGAACAAACTATTCTCAAAGCCCGCAAAAGAGGACTCGTTAAATGGTTTACCAAAGCAACTGCCTTCCAAAAGGCTTCATCACTGATAGCATTCATCACCAATCCACTTTGTTCTTCCGAATATGAACATTCATTCCACTCTGCCGAAGTAACCATAGCCTGCAGATTGGATTTGAGCTCGGCAATTCTTCCCAATGTAGCAAAATTTGTGGCAGAAGAGCTAAATGCTGGTAGCAGGATATCATTGCCAGAAGTAAACTTCCACATCAGATTCAAAACACCACTACGGTTGTATATAAATCTTGTGATAGCTCGAGCCTGTTCAATAGTCTCACTTATCCAGCCAAGTTTCCCAAACTCCTCGAGCATCTGGTCTATGCAATGTGCAGCGCAAGGAACCCAATATAGAGAAGGATACACAAGCATCAACTTTTTCCCAGCATCAACGTAGTGATCTTCACATTTTGTAATCACTTGAACAACATTGGTACTGCCAATTTCTTCAACCAGTTCGCTAAGTAGCTCAAACAATGTATCAGCAGAAGATAATATCTCAGACGCGTCCACGGATTTTAGAAAGACTACCTTTTCAGGGCAGTAAACCAAAAAGTTAAGCACTTTAAGGCCATTGTCAGAGTTCAATTCCTCAACCAAAATGGAACAGCCTGTCCTCTTCCACATTGCTTTGCATTCATCAACTTCCTTCGCCATTTCCTCAACACAATTCTTCAGTATCCAACCTCGAAGGTCATCATGTGTGGGGGCAGATACCCCGAATCCTCCAGAGGCAATGGCATCGATCATCGGTTGGAAATTAACAGAATTCACTGCATCAAAATCAGCTCCAATACCAAACAAAAACCGTCCAATTGCCATATGAATTGTACTCTCCCTATCTCTAAAGGACGGGTGCACAATGTTCTTCACACTACTAATCGCCACCGGAATCAAATTATCCATGTCTCTACCAATCAAGTCAATATTATTACTCGCACTACCATTCTCAAAAGCATTCTTTCTACTCCTGTAAGTCCTTTGCTTCGTTCTCCCACCCGACACGCTCTCGTTCTGCACAACCACATCCGAACTACCCGGCGATTTAAAACCGTCATTCACATCAGGCTGAACCACCATCATATCTCCTTCAATAGGAGGTAAAGCAGCAACAGACAAAGGTTCTGAACTAGATTTATGTCTCTTCCTCTGACGTCTCACAGTTCCATCAATACACTGCTGTAAAAAAAGCCTCACATCTTCAGGAACTTGGTCACAGATAGTACCTTGACCCTTTTTACCAGCAAGATGTTCCTTAACCCTGGTGATACCACCACCTTTGAACATTTTCCGACAGTAGAGACAACGCATCTGAAGTCTATCACCGTATTTGTAAATTTCACAATGCTTCCATGCATTGTCTTGTTTCTGAGGTGTTAGAGCTACAGGTTCTAATTCTGAATCCATTAAGCCTGAGGAAGAAGACAAAGAAAAGGTAGAGACTTTGTTAATGGGTTATAACAAAATTAAGCATAGATCCTCCAATGAACATTAAAGATTTGAAATTTCGCAAACCTCATGCACCGATATTCTTTAGCCGAGTTAAACAATTTCGATAGAAACAAAACAAACCCGTGAATTTGGTGTACAAGGAGATGAAGAAAAAGAACCTGTTTTGGTTTGTGGCCGGTTACGAAGAATCGGTTTCGGAGAAAGTGATGAAATTCCGGTAGAATTGCTTCGGTTCTGGAGAAGAGGAAGCTGGAATCAACCGGAGATGGAGATTTCCGACGAACGGCGGAGGGAATCGGAGGAGGATGGAGGATTGCAATGACGGAGAAATCGACCCGGCCCGTCTTAGGGTTCGCAGAAATAGGTTTGGCAGCTTTTTCTGGTTTATGACCTATAAATCGGCAAATCTATATCGTGACGTCACCAACCCAATTTTGCTAAAATTTGTTTTCCGTTTTTTAACATTTTGTTATATCATCCCTTAATTACTGAAACGTCGTCGTTTGCGTTTAGGGCAATTTTGTTAATTTGAAAACGGCGTCGTCTTCTCTTCTCCGATTAGCGTCAGTCGTCTTCTTCGTCTTCTCAGGTCTCTCTGATCTGGGTTTTGCTTCAACGTGAAACAGCACTGAGTTTGAAGATGAAGTTTCTGTTTACTTAATATCCTGTGAGAGAAACGTATTTTTGACTGAAACAGCATCAGAGGTATGATTATACTTGAATTAATTGTTTATTTGTAGTTGATCAAATTTTCAAAAATATGATAAGAACTTGTTGATCTACTTCTAAAAACTCGTAATTTTGAAATTGTAACAAGAGTGAGTGACATTTTATGTGTGAATAATAATACTGTAGAGTTGCTGACAAAAACGTTATAGGTATATGTACATTTGTTTTCGCAGAGGCATTTCGTCGAACAGTTAGACGACGACTTGAGATGGATAAGCTTCTTGAGAATCATCAGTTTGCGACGCATGCCATCGCCGCCTCGGCATCTGTCTCGTTAGGAACTGCTCTCGCTTATCCTTTAGATACCATCAAAACTATAATCCAGGTTTCGTCCCTCTTCTTCACCATATTGTTCTTCTCTTCTTTCTATCACTTTGATTCTCTGGGGATTGATTTTAGCATTGAACTGTGCAGGTTGGTTCAGGACCCAATAAGAAATTAAGCTCCTTTCAAGTTGTGAATAGAGTTCTCCGATTCTCTGGCTATTCAGGTCTCTTTAGATTTCAATCATTTTCTATATCTGCATTAGGCAAAATGACATTTTGTTGAATGTTGGACACAAATGCAGGTCTGTACAGTGGTCTTGGATCGTTAACTTTAGGAAGAATTTCAGGTGTTGGTGGAAGGTTTGGTGTCTATGAGATTCTAACAGCTTTCTACAAAGGTATTTCATAAACCCATGTCTTCTGTTTTGTGTGTCTAATGTCGATGATTAGGTTTTGTGTCTAGCTCTTCTATCAATTAGCTCAAGAACATCAGTTCATTAGACAAGAAAGCAATCATTTGTTCATAGATGAATGTTAGAATATGTAGCAGTATTCAAATCCATTCATAGCTCTTACACTTAAAGTTGGTTCCTTTTTGGACACTACATGTTGGTAGAATGATCATAGCTAAACCTTTGTCTTGAAGAATCTAAAGAGTATTTCCTGTATGTATTTATTTTGTTCCAGATGGTCGACATGATAACTATGTGAGTGTCGGTGAGGCTTTTCTGGCTGGGATGGTGGGAGGTGCAGCAGAAACAGTGATGACTTCTCCATTTGAGCTAATCAAAGTCCGAAAACAAGTGACTGCTGCATCACGAGCTCCAAATGCTACCGCTGTTGCAGAAACCGCACCGGTTTCACCCATGCTCACAAAACTGCTAAGAAGATACACTCTTGATGTAAAGTCATTGACACAAACAGTCAGTCTCTTATCTGTCTTAAATCACAAACACCCAAACATGACAGCCGCTTTGCAAGAGTATCCATGGATGATGACTGGAACAGGAAACCCACCATCAGCCATGGATGTCAAAAGACCGCTCGATGTTGCATCACTTGAAGGATATAGAGCTTTATGGAGGAATCTACGTTCGGGTCTTGTAAGAGATTGTATTTACGGAGGAGTGTTCTTCTCAACATGGCAGTTTCTTCACGAGGCAATGGTCGGTTGGAAAGCCGTCGGGATGAATCCTCTGCCCAGGTACGCAAACTCTCAATTCACACTGAATTCTCAATCCACTTGAACTTGGATTTACTCGAAAGTGAAGTGATTGTTATGTGGAAACTTGTTAAATTCAGTTCTGAAGAAGAAATTGGACCTTTATCACCAGTAGCCATTAGCGTTGCCGCTGGGTTTTCTGGTGCCATTGCAGCTGCAGCATCACATAGCTTTGATACAGCAAGAACACGTGCACAGTGTGTAATATTGCCCAAGGTTGGTTTAAAGAAAATCCATCCATGGCTTTCTACTTTATCTTACAAAGAAATATGAAACTCATTTTCTTTTATGTTTGGTTTCTATTGATTTTTTAACAGTATACAGCAAAAGAGAGGAAGTTTCTAAGATGGAATAAACCAGGGAAGAGATTAGAGAGATGGACAGGAATCCATCCTACAGACAGAAATCTCCTGTTCCGAGGTATCTGGATAAGGATGGCTCGAAGCTCTGTTGCATCGACGGTGATCGTAGGAAGCTATTACTTAGCCGTCGATTTATTGGTTCCCAAGTGAAACAGACGATCACATAAACCTACGAATCTGTCTTGGATTAGATCAGATAATCAATACCGCAATAGTGTTTGTTTTTTGTAGCTTGCGTTTTGTTATACACAATTTACGAGAAAACATTTGTGAGGTCGTCCCAATTATACTCTTTTAAGGTTTATATCAGTGAAATAAGTAATTAACAGAATCATTGGTTGTATCTGTAAGCCTGATGATGACAATTTTCAATTTCCTAGACAATGAAACTCTAAAAATTTGTTGGGTCTTAACAACGAGATTATGAATAAGCTTCTTGCAATGGGATATTCAGAATCTTACAAGATCAACCAAAAAAAAAGTGACAGAAACGTTACAAGATTCAACATTTTGCAAATATTTTTGCTTATTCTATCAAAACTACTGTTGTAGAAACTTAAACAAGGGAGATATATTGGCCATTTTATACCTTGATAAAAGAACATTTAGGTATTGAAATTTTCCTGATTTAAATCCGTGATTGTGACAATTAAGTAAAACCAATTTTAGTTTCCAAGGTTATGAAACTAGAACATGTTTCATTTTCTAATCGAGATTATGAACAAGAATTCTTGCAATGAATCTCCAGAACCTAACATAATCGACTAAAGAAGTGACGAATTCTCAAAAACCTAAGCAGATAATTCCATGGAAACAAAAGTATAAATCAAAATGCAATAGAGAATCAAAATAAAAGGCAAAATCCATAATCCAAACTTCAACAAAACATCTTCCACAATCCAAAACAGGATCCACATTTTTCACCATAGGAAATGAACCCTAGAAACTAAAAATACGATAAATTTCGATAACAAAAAGCTCAAAATGTATTCCTCTCGAAATCCAAGATTTCTTCAGAACCTGAGCTTAGTAAAGAACCATCTGTTCTTACCAGTCTTGAACCTCTCCTCAAGCTTAGCCTTAGCTTCCTTAAGAGCAGCAACCTTCTTATCCTTACTCTGAAGAGCATCAAGAGTCGCAACTTCCTTGAGATCCACGTCTAGTGTGTAACGTGTAGGCATCAGATGCTGGTAATTAACAAGCTTGATGAAACACTTAACCCTAGATTTCTTAGCTGTCTTCTTCGCTGAGTCTTTGCGGATGACTTTGCTTGGATACTTCTTGAGTCCGGCGACGAGGCAGTGTCCGTATGCACGATCACGGGTACCGTCGTCGAAGGATTTGATGATGACGGCTTTCTTTCCGGCGTAACGACCTTGAAGAAGGATCACGGCCTTGTTCTGCTTCAAGAACTTCACCATTGTTGTTTCGTTTGGTAGATCCCTCTCTTCGTCTCTCTGTGGCTGCTATGAACCCTAAGTGGCGGATGCAATGAGAAATGCGGCTTTAATAGTGATGCACAAAATGGAGGAGGAGAGGTCATTAGAAAACCCTAGCAACTTTTATTGGGCCTTTAGGTTAGCCCATTTATAGTTCGGGCTTTATATTGTTATTATCCGGCCTGGTAAATGTGAACTTAGATTACTTATTCTAGTTTCTTTTTATTACAAAAAGACATATAAAAATTGTTGCAAATTCTCTCTCTCTATATAAGTATACTAGTATTAAGCCCGTACGAATGTACGGGCGAAATTTATTTGATGATAAATAACTGTAGTTTCCGTTTTCAAACGTAAGTGTGGGTTAGTCACATTAATACATATATGATCAAAATTTAACATTAAAGAGATTGAAGGAAATTATTCAACGTACAATTTCAATAACTAATAACTTCTCAACAATGATCAACCTCAATCGTACTGAACGCTAATTAAAAAATTATGTGATACCAAACATTCAATGGTCCTATCACAAGAATCAACAATGGCCTATAAGTTTTAAATCACCACAATGCTTTTCAGAATGCCGTAGATATGTATCGACGTTAGCTTTTTGTTGTAAGTGGTGAAACGCCACCCTTAGCGAGTTTCTAATTAGAGATGTGGTGGCGAAACAATTTGAGATCTTATGGTCAGTCGGGAGATTCAGTGGCTTGATACACATGTTTGAGAACCTTGTTTTCAACTATCATTTTCTCCGGGAGCTCTTATGTCTAACTTGTTGCTGCCCAAAAAAAACTGAAGTTCAGAAAACCAGAGAACCGATAGTGAGATATACAAATGAAAAGAGAGATATCCTTTTCCAACAGAGAACAGAGATATTTGGTCGAGTAATCTACAAAAGGGATGTATAAAACAAAGAGAAGTAAATCAGAAAAAATTGTGGTTCAGAGAATCTAACTACAGATCGAGTAATTATTGCTGCTTTTTACGTTCGTTATGAATAATGTTTTGAACATGGGGTCACTTATAACAAAAAAGCAGTAATCAACATATCTAGTAAAATCAAACTATTTATATATAAATAGATAAAAATCAAAACAGAGAGAAAAGCAATATGTTGATTACATGTTCGTCTAAAAAAAATTCAGATTTTATGGTGATTTGGATTATTGGGATCACCTTATGAGAGGAGGAGGAAGACGACCAGAGGTGGAAAGTTGGAATGAATGAACTGTGAGGATGAAATAGGAATTTGGTGTTAAGGGATCATGTTCGGCTGTCGAGCAGGAAAGACAGTTCTATAATAGTAACAATAATTTTTTTATGGTGATTTGGATAAAGTGAAGGGAGAAACAATTGTGATAATCGATTGTGTCATTGTGTGATATATATACATGGTGATTTGATGAAACTGATGAGAGTAGGAAGTTAAATTTGGGGATCGTGGAATGCAAAGAGGAGATCGTGGGATTTTGTTTCCCAATTTAAAAGAAAGAAATTGGTCTCGACAAAGGTAAGAAAACAATAGTGAAACAAATAAAGAGTGAGATCGTGCCTTTTTATTGACTTAGGAAAACTGAAAAAAAAAGAAAAATATTAATTAATTAATTAATTTTCTGTAGAGTTTTGATCTTAAAAGTGAAAGAATTGGGACTTATAACAGATGTCAGATGGAGAGAGTTGCAGTTACTTGTAAAATGACTTGTGAATTATTAGATAAGGATATATATATATATATATAGAAAAATACAGCATAGAATAATTTGACGATGCTTTTGTAAAGTAGTTTTACTCGTTAACCGATAAGAAAACTCGTTATTGTCCAACTTCATATTTGATTGCTAATTCTAAGTTACACATACATTATATGTTCCTTGGCTTATTCATAACATTGGACTAACTCTTACAAAATTACACAATCATACTATTTAGAAAATTATACATGTATACTATTATTATCTGAATTTCCCTGGAAACTGCAGACTATGTTGCATATTATTTTTTCGACCCAAAGTATAAAAAATAGGTTTCTCTCAAAATCCTATAATTTTTCTTGTCGATTAAATTGCATGATCAAAATTATTGATTTAATTGTCAGTTGTCACACGAAATTTTCGAAAACCTTCCTACCAGTATTTTAAGACTTCCAAAATGTGTCTACCCTTTCGTTTTCGATCACGAAAATTTACCTTTCATTACACGAACAAAGTTAGAAAATTCGTCTCGCATCAATTAATATATTTTTATGTACAATTCTGCTTAAATGTGTCAAAGATTTATAATTAAAAACTGCATGCTTGACTTTCTAGCCACTATTCTATAATTATGGACTGTTAACATCATACTAATTACAAATTGTTATATAATTTTAATCTTTGCTTGGCCGGTTATATCGTGTATGCGCAAGTAAGTATATAGATCAAACTGAACCGACCAGATGAAATACGTTCACATGGACCATATAGCTTGTCTCTCCAGTTACTTTATTTTATTTCGTCGATACGCATTTAATTTTGTTAATCTCTATGCAATTAATTTTTCATAACTAACTTATTTGGTTGAGTTTCAAACAAGAAAAAGCATAAAGTTAAAAGGAGAAAATTGGTGGAATCATATATAGAAGGATTGTGTTAGTAATTAGTATCAAATAGTTAGTGGATGTGGTATAAGTGTATAACCTATATGGCTATATCAATCAAATTGTTTTTTCGTAGTTATCCAAAATAAAACGAATAATGTTGTGGAATTTTTTTTAGTCTAGTGGTTGACGAAGAATTTATTTTAATGTTTTCATATAAATTCTAAAACTTGGGAATGCAAATTATGCTAGTATATATATATATATGTTTACATGTATAACTGTTTGTTGTAGTCTTATATGTTAAAAATAAAATTGTTAATCGTAAAAGTAGTGTAGTCGTTTCAAAATTGTTTGTGAAATCGTTTGATATTTTTTCTAATGTTGTATAAAATTAGATTTAAATGATATAAAAAAATATTTAGTAGATGACAAAAAAAAAATATAACAAATAATATTAAAATACCAAAAAAAAAGCAAAAACACTAAAAGAGGTTATTCTTTTGTAATCACTATCACTAATTTTAGTAAACATATAGTATAACATTAATTAATTAACGAGAAAGATACAAAAGAAAATCGGAAAGTAGAATATTTTACTTTTGAATTATGTCAACAGAAGAGAATTTTTCCTTGACGACAGAAGAAAATAATTTTAATTTTATTTCTCCTCCGAATATTTCTTTTGATTTTAACTTAACCAAAAAAAAAGATAGTGAAAATGCTTATTTCAGACAAAGAAGTGAGGAGGATTTGTTCGAGATGTGTCAATGTTACGCAGAGCACAGGGCAGAGATAATAAAAAGGCTCTCTCTCTTTCTTTCTCTCTCTTCTCTAATCTAATCAAAAAATCTCTTCTTTAGGAAGAGAAGTTTCCTCTTCCGACTTTCTTCTTTCTCATGAATCCCGGAAAATCGGGAACCCTTAGCGATTTCAGCTAATCTTTACTTAACTTTTCCTTTCTTTTCTTTAGTTCTAACAACAAGTAGCAATACCCTTTTGGAGATTCGATCGTATTAGCTGTTTTTTTTTTTTGTGTTTTAGCTGTCTTGTGTTGATCATGGAGAGATCTGATTCTAGAGATTTCTATACCTTTGCTCGGACTTCTTCTGGTCAGTTCTCTTTCTTGTTCCGTTCTTTATGTTTTCAAATCTAGTAAAGTGTTTTGTTTTGTGATTCATCAGTTTGCTAAAGCTTCTTTCTTTGATCTGAGATGTGATTGATTTGATTTGCTTCTGATTGGTGAAAACATACTTTTTTGTTTCATGCTTGTTATGTTTTGTTTGATTTTTGATTCATGATTGATTTATCTTCCTTGTTACAGTATCTGATTCGATTTTTCAAGTTTTGTAGTAACTTACAAGATTTACTAATTTGATTTTTGAAGTTCTATGAAATGATTGAAATGTCAAAGATTTGTTAATTTTAATTAAATTTCTGGTCAACGAATTGTCGCTTACCTCATGTGTTTGATGAAACCGGATCTTATTGTTTTTGTGCAGATAAGAATAGTGCACTCTTTGACGCATCTCAATATGAGTTCTTTGGTCAAAGTCTTGAAGAAGTGGAATTGGGTGGTCTTGATGATGATGTTACTGTTCGTGGACATGTCGATGATGAAGAGTATCATTTGTTTGATAAAAGAGAGGTAATTTGTTTTTGTTTTTTTTTTTTCATTTGGACTGAGTTCTTTCTAAATATATATATGAATGATAAATCAAACATCTACTTGTGGTTTCAGGGTGCTGGTTTAGGATCACTATCTGAGATGGATGATCTTGCCACAACTTTTGCAAAGGTTAGCTTATGGATGATCTTTTTGTTAACATTTTCATAGTCTCTCTTGAGACAAATTATCTATCTTTCTCAGATTCTTCTTGTTACTTGTTCTCTACTTTTAACTTATCTTAATTTTTGGTCTTATCTTGTGCAGCTGAACAGAAATGTTACCGGGCCCAAACACCTTGGAGTAATTGGTGACAGAGGATCAGGGTCCTTTTCAAGAGAAAGTGAGTTTGGTTTACTGTTTTTACTTTCAACATTTTATGTAGCTATCTTTGTTTCTTCTTCTTCTATGTAACTTTTTCTTCTTCTTGAACTATGCAACTGAAGGTAAAAACTGTGAGCTTGTACTTTTTTATATATATACACTTATGGAGGTGAATGATTGGAGTGTGAAGTTGTGGTAGTTGAAAATATGATTTCAAGTCAACAATTTTTTTTTTATTATCAGCTTCTTTCTAACAGTTCTTTTGTCTTCAGGTTCTACTGCTACAGATTGGACACAAGATAATGAGTTCACAAGCTGGTTGGATCAGAACACGCTTGAAGAACAAGTTCAGGAAGCTAGTTGGTCTTCACAGCCACAGTCGTCTGCTAATTCATCTTTATACAGGACATCCTCATATCCTCAGCAGCAAACACAGCTACAACATTACAGTAGCGAACCGATTATTGTACCAGAATCGACTTTTACGTCTTTTCCTTCACCTGGAAAAAGATCTCAACAGTCTTCACCGAGCCATATTCATCGTGCTCCTTCTCTTCCTGGTGGTAGTCAGTCGAACTTTTCAGCACCAAATGCCTCTCCGTTGTCGAATTCTACTTTCCATCTCTCAGGATTGTCACATGGACCACCGCATTATGGTAATAATTTGGCTAGATATGCCTCATGTGGTCCTACTCTTGGTAACATGGTGCAGCAACCTCCTCATTGGGTTACCGACCCCGGCCTTCTGCACGGTGATCATTCCGGGTTGTTGCACAGTCTAATGCAACAGCAGCATCTGCAACAATTGCCTCCTCGGAATGGTTTTACTTCACAACAGTTGATTTCCCTTCAGCAGAGACAATCTTTAGCTCATCTTGCTGCATTACAATCCCAGCTGTATAGTTCTTATCCTTCTCCATCACATAAAGTTCCTTTTGGGGCTGCTGAAGTAAGAGAACACAAACATAAGTCATCTCATAGAAGTCGAAAGAACAGAGGCATCTCTCAACAGACCTCAGATTTGGCTAGCCAGAAAAGCGAAAGCGGACTGCAATTTAGATCAAAGTACATGACTTCAGAAGAGATAGAGAGTATTCTCAAGATGCAGCATTCCAGTTCACACAGTAGTGACCCTTATGTCAATGATTATTACCACCAAGCTCGGCTTGCGAAAAAGTCATCCGGATCAAGAGTGAAGCCTCAGTTGTATCCTTCTCATTTGAAGGACCACCAATCTCGGTCCCGTAATAGTTCTGATCAACAACCACAAGTTCATGTGGATGCTCTTGGAAAGATTACGCTTCCTTCTATTTGCAGACCACGAGCGCTACTCGAGGTTGACTCTCCTCCTAGCTCTGGTGATGGAAGGTCTGGTCATAAGCATCTTGAAGATGAGCCTCTTGTCGCAGCTAGAGTCACAATTGAAGATGCTTTTGGAGTTCTTATCGATATAGTTGACATTGATAGGACTCTCCAATTCAACAGGCCACAAGACGGTGGTGCACAGCTCAGGAGAAAACGGCAGATACTTCTAGAAGGATTAGCAACATCACTTCAACTTGTTGATCCTTTTAGCAAAAGCGGCCAGAAAACCGCATTGACCGCCAAGGATGATCTCGTGTTTCTACGCATAGCTACTCTTCCTAAGGGTAGAAAATTGCTGACAAAGTATCTACAGCTTCTTGTTCCGGGTACTGAGATCGCTCGGGTTGTCTGTATGGCTGTATTTCGCCACCTCAGGTTTCTATTCGGTGGCCTACCGTCAGATAGCATTGCAGCAGAGACAATAGCTAATCTTGCTAAAGCAGTTACGGTTTGTGTTCACGCAATGGACCTCCGAGCATTGAGTGCTTGTCTTGCAGCTGTTGTTTGTTCTTCAGAACAGCCTCCTCTCCGTCCAATAGGAAGTCCTTCCGGGGATGGAGCTTCAGTTGTCTTGGTATCTCTTCTTGAGAGAGCTGCTGAAGTAGTAGCAGTGGCGGTGGTTCCACCGCGTGTCAGCAACTCGAATGATGGACTCTGGAGAGCATCGTTTGATGAATTCTTCTCTCTTCTTACTAAATATTGCAGGAGCAAGTATGAGACAATCCATGGTCAGAACCAGGATAATGCAGCTGATGTGTTGGAGCTAGCTATAAAGAGGGAAATGCCTGCCGAGCTTTTACGTGCGAGTCTTCGTCATACCAATGAAAACCAGCGGAATTTCTTACTTAACGTTGGTCGTAGTGCATCGCCAGTTAGCGAATCAACAACTACAACGACGCGTGCAAGTGGTGGTCAGGTCAATTCTGAATTTGTGAGGGGTTAAAGTTTAACCATATAGGAAACAAACTGTGAGATCATGGACGGTGCCACGGTTTGTCTGAGTAGCTGGTGTAGAAAATCATACACAGGGCTCAGGTGATTAATGTTGTTCTTTTAGATTTCTCTTTAAACTTCTTAGGTGCCTCGTTATGGTGGTTGAAAGATGGAGAAAGAGTAAAATTGAAAGTGGGAGTTTGGTAAAACCGGAAAAATAACTGAATTTTCCGGGGGAGCTGTATTTTTGGTTGCTCTGTGATGGAAACTCCTATTGGTAGGACTCATTTAGGGTTTTAGGAGTTTGGAAGGAGATTAGTGTTTGTGACTATGTATAGACTGATGGTGAATGGCGAATGGTGATTGGTATGGTAATGTGATGGTGATGACTGATGGGGATGCCGTGATGGTGAATGGTGCCGTAGCTAAGAGGTATTTTGGTGTCTTAGCTTCATGTGGGTTTGTTTGAAATGTGGGCATTGTAATGACAAGGAACGCAAAGTTTTTTAAAAGTTGTTTCTATTGGATCATGTCTCGAATGTATACTCTTCTGTTATTTTGTAAGAAGTTGAAAACTTGATATGTATTGGGCGGAAAAACGGTCTATTTCCCCCCGAGAACTATCGTATCTGGCCAGATAAAGTCCGATCTTTGATCTCTGTCTATATACCCATGAAACGGAAGTTAAATGTTTATTTTCCCACTAATTGAAAGTTCGAGAGCTTAATGTCCATGAATCCTAAGTTCGAAATTGTTATTGTCAAATTTTATAGCTTAGAAGGATTTGTTTTTGAAACACAATATTCATGCGTTTGGCTTCTTTGGTTTTTCCTTCTTCTATTTTGGAATTTGTGTTGGTAAAACAGAGCTTTTTATAGTTTTTGATGGGTAATGGAGCCAGTGATAATTTTGGAAATACAAAAAGGTTAGATACATGGTAGGAATTAAGACACGTGAAGCATGTCTTTTTCAAGTTTGGAACTGCTCACATGCCACGTGCACATTTAGCTGTCTCCTTTGCCTTTTATCTTCTTTTAATACAAGAAAATGACAGGACCACCCAAGCCGAAATAAGAGGCTCAATGTTTTGTCTGTATTTTTTTTTTCTGAATTTTGTTTTTTCCTTGATGTTTATTATCCTACATGTACTTAACAAATTCTATATTGTATTTTTTTGGGTGAACGACCTGTGTCTTCCCGTAAGTTTCATATAGTACCATAATAATACAGATTTCGGGTCTCGTCTTCAGTCCACACAAAACGAAAGTTAAACTCCAGTTTCCCTCTAAATCGAAAGTTCTAGACCTCAGTCTCCAAAATTTCAAATTTCGTGGTTTATCTTCGGTTTACTGTGCCGGTCACACCATTAACCGCTTAACATCGAAATTAAACCGAAATTACCCAGAAACCAACCCGATTATTAGACCCATTACACCCGATATTCCCCAAATCAAACCCTAGAACCCTAAAAACGAAAAATCCCCAAATTGAACCTTAGAACCCTAGAATCAAAAAATCCCCAAATTGATGGATTCGAATGAGCTTGATACGAATGCTCTCGTCGTTCATGCGGAGGCTACTAGAGTTGGTCCGCAAGAGGAAGGAGATCCAGGAGACAATGGACCTGATAATGTACCCGATGATGAAGACCCAAGGGAGCGAGATGCTTTTGAAATCGAGAAGGCTGTAATGGAGTTTAGAGACGAACCTTCGATTCTACATGATGAGTATCCAGATAGTGAGGAAGACGAAGAAGACGAAGCTGCTCGGGAGAGAAAACGAGACAAATTAGAGGCGGAGGTGGGAATTTGTACTATCACCAGACATTCTTCAGTGCCATTGCTTTTAAAGAAGCTGTTCTCGACCATGCTTTGAAGACAGGCTGCAACATCGCACAATACAGGTATGATAAAACGAAGCTTGGATTTAAATGTGATGGGGATGGATGTATATGGCGGATATACTGTGCAATCACGAAGAAATGTTCTAAGTGGAGAGTTAACGTGTACAAGGATGTCCACACATGTAATCCGAATGGAGATTGTGAGATGTTGAAGGTTCCTGTTATTGCTAGGTTGTTTCTAGATAGTATTAGAGATGAACCCGACTATTTTCTTCCTATGAAAATTGAAGAAACCATTAAAAGGAAATGGAAGATCACAGTTTCCAGGCCTCAATGTCAAGCTGCAAGGAGAAAAGCATTGAGATGGATAGAAGAGGAAAATGATAATCAGTTTGTTAGGCTTCAAGACTATGCTGAAGAGATAAGAGACTCTAACAAATATTCAACTGTTGAAGTGCAGACTGTGACAAATGATGCAGGACAAGAGGTATTTAATAGGTTCTATGTCTGTTTTAATGCGATTAAGAGAACATGGAAAGAGATTTGTAGGCCATTGATTGGAGTGGATGGAACTTTTATCAAAGGAAAGGTTAAAGGTCAGCTGCTGGTTGCTTTAGGTAGAGACGCTGATAATGCTATATACCCAATAGCATGGGGGTGTGTTCAAGTAGAAAACATAGAGAATTGGGTGTGGTTTGTGAGGAAGCTGAAAGATGATTTGGGACTAATGGATGGTGATGGTTACATCATAGTGTCTGATCGTCAAAAGGTAATAAGCTTCAGATTTCTTCACATTTAAGCATTTATTATTTCTGTTTCATGACATAATAAGCTTCTAATTTCTTTATTTTACAGGGTTTGATCCGAGCAGTTGGGCTAGAGCTACCAAAAGTAGAGCATATAATGTGTGTGAGACACATCTATGGTAATCTGAAGAAGAATCATGGAAAAGATAAAGAGATGAAGAAGTACATTTGGGATGTGGCATGGAGCTACAATGAGAGCAGCTTTGAAGCTCACATGACTGAGCTTTACAACTACAATGCGGCAGTTTGGCGTGATGTTGTCAAGTCAAAACCAAGAACTTGGTGCAGGGCATTCTACAAGCAAGGAAACTACTGTGAAGATGTAGAGAATAATTCAACCGAGTCCTTCAACAACTCCATTGTAAAGGCTAGAGACAAAGCATTTGTGCCAATGCTGGAGACCATTAGGAGACTTGCAATGGTCAAAATCTTCAAGAGATCTGTGGAATCTAGTGACCATAATGGGAGATGCACGCCATATGTTGGTAAGTTTCTTGCCAAGGAACACAAGAAAGCTTCAGAGATGAATATAAGAAGAAGCACCAATGACATGTATGAAGCTACCAGAGGATTAGATACTCATAGGATAAGCTTGACTGATAGGACTTGTACTTGTCAGAAATGGCAAGTCTGTGGCATTCCTTGTGAGCATGCTTATGGAGTCATCTTAGAGAAGAAACTTGAGGTTGAGGACTATGTGTGTCACTGGTTTCGGACAGCTATGTGGCAGAAGAACTACAAGGACGGCCTATTTCCACAGAGAGGACCTGCTTTTTGGCCATCAACAGCTCATCCTAATGTGCATGTACCACCACCACCACCTACACCTGGGAGGAAGAAAGGAAAAGAGAGTAAAAAGGACAAAAAGAGGAAGAAGGGAAAGAATGAGTCACCTACAAAGAAAGCACCTAAGCAGATGAAAAAGATAATGCACTGTGGTGTTTGTCATGTAGCTGGTCACAACTCCAGGTTTCATAAGAAGAAGAAGTCTTCTGCATTGGTAAGTATGATTATTTATTGGTTCAGTTGGTCACAATAGGTTACTGACATGTTTTTCTTCATGATTTGTCTTAGGCCTTTGAAGGAGTTGAGACTGCAACTCATGGCAGTCAAGTGGAACCGTCTCAAGGAGTGGTGATGTCTCAAGGCTGAAGGATTAGAGTGAAGGATTAAAGTAGTGTTAGATGGCAGTAGGTTTTTTGGTTTACCATCTGATTAGGATTAGAGTACAACGGCTTTGTATTTTTGGTTTCATTACCATGGCTTTAACTTTTTGGTTTCATTACAACGGCTTTGTGTTTTTGGTTGCATGACCATGTGTAATGGTACATTGTTGTCTCTGTCTTTTGGATGATTGGTACATTGGTAAAGTATTGAACCAATTTATGCTATTTCTGTCTCAATGTTTTACTATTTGTCTCTGTTTTAGGAAAATATAACATTACATAGGTCACAAGAAGTACACATAACAAGCACAAGAACCAAATTTCATGTTTCATTAGACATTACAACAACAAGAACAAAACAAAACAAGAAGCACAAACAAAGACCAACAACAACAAGCCAATACACTCGTTTCAGCCTATCACATTACTCAAACCAAGCATGATCATACACCCTACGATGACAGCAATCGACATTTTCTTCATGCTTGATTTGGATTCCAACAGTTCTGCTTCTACCCTCTCAAAAATCTCTTTCTCTAGCTTCATTTGCATCCTCTCAAAAATCATCTTCTGGTGATCCATAGTCTCTGATGTAATCTGGGACATGGTTTGTTCAAGTGCAGTCGTTCTTACACTCAATCTCTCTATCTCATCTAACAAAGCTTCGTCAACCCACTTGAAAGTGTGGTTATCATCGATAAGCTACAGAGACCAGAGAATTAAAGTCAAAATTCGTAAGAAACAACCCAAATATCAATCACATTACCTTATGTGATGCAGCATAAGCACAACGATAGTAACGGCGGTATGGATTGGCGGCGGATTTGGAGATGATCGCCGAGATACTTGCTCCACACCAACACATCTTCGGCACACCCACAACTCTTCTTCTCTGTCCCACATTTGATGCTCCACTCGTAGCTCCGGATGAATTGCTCATATTCAAGCTTAGACTTCAAATCTCTGATGTTGTTGAAATCTCTGATGTTGAAGAGAAAAATCAAAATTAGGGTTCTTCTCAATTTGGGGATTCTTGAAATAAGTATTTATTTCGGGTTGTGGTAACTCGAATCGGGTTCAAAATCGGTTTATTATTCTGGGTTTTGGTTTGGCATCGGGTTCGGCACAGTAAACCGAAGATAAACCAAGAAATTTGAAATTTTGGAGACTGAGGTCTAGAACTTTCGATTAAAGGGGAAACTGGAGTTTAACTTTCGTTTTGTGTGGACTGGAGACGAGACCCGAAATCTGTGTTTTTATGGTACTATATAAAACTTACTGGGGGGACACAGGTCGTTCACCCTATTTTTTTTTACCTAATCGACTACTTTTACTTTTTTGCATTCTTGTTTTTGACGGCGACGAACGACTCCTTTTACTAATTTGTCTGTCTCTTGTCTATTATTACCAAGTGACACGTGAACCATGTTTTTGGATCCTCATTGGTCAAAGACTAAACTACAAGTGGTATGGAAATTTTGTGGTGATCAATGTTATGCAAAAATTCAACAAATAAAACAGAACCAGTAGGGGATGTGCCTTTAGTCAAGTGGTTAAGTCCACTTGACTCCGCCTTCCCCACCGGAGTTCGACTCCACTAAGTCGCGTTACCCCGCGTAGTAGGGATTGACTATGGATCGGGCCTTGTCGATCCAAAGATGTCAAAAAAAAAAAAAAAAAAAAAACAGAACCAGTAGACTTTTAAAAAGAGCTAAACCTTTTTTTTCAAAAATTGAACCAATTAAATAACTATATTTATTTGATATTAATTACAAATTACGCTATGACTTATGAGAATATTAGAGTCCCAAATTTAGTTTCTCTAAGATTCAACCTCACCAAACTATAGAAAGGGTAAATGTAAGATGCTACGAAATTGAATAACGTAGAAAGTTATTAGAAGTCTAAGGTGTCAAGGGAATTTCATCCTCTTGCATGGGTTCTTCTTCTCCGGACATGGTTTCTTCAACCTCATCTGCTTCGTTATCTACATAAGCCTGAGAACTCACTATTTGCCCTCTCAAGTCCTTGTGTTTCAAGCTACCTGCAAATTCAATCAGTATTCAAAAGCTCAGTTTCCATAAACAAAGTGTTCTAATGCTACTCTATGGTAGATGATTCAAAGAAAAATAAGTGAGTTTCGAGCAAGAAAAGAAAGCAAAACTAAGTGGTTTTTGTGTAGTACCCATCCAGAAGTTGGAGCCGCGTGATGTTGTATGGAGAAGAGCCTTAACATGAAACAAAAAACGCTCTAAGGATCTCTTTGTTGCTGGTATTTTGCTGGTAATGGCTGTTTGTTTCATACCCTAACCTCCCAAAAACCAATATTCCATTGTCATAATTATTCGGACTTTGGTAAGAAATAACAAACTGGTATCTGAAACTAACCTTGGCTTCAGAACATAGAGTCTGTAATGTTCTTGTAGCCTTCTGGAGATCTTTGACCTAATTCACATTTTCAGTAGTGAAAATTTCAGTGGACGGAGTGAGAGAGACATAATAGTAAAGGAAAAGGCGTAGTACAATACAACTTACCAACTGGATGACTAGTTCTTTATGATCTTGAAAATGTGCTTCCAAGAAATCAAAAACTGCATATATTTTTTGTTTTCCAATATCAAGTTTTCAAATCAATAAGCCAGCTAATCAGGTAACTGAACGCTTGTATGATAAGAAGCTGGAAAATTTTATACCTTTTAGAAATGAGTCCACATACTTCCCACCATACTTGATAGCCATGCCATGGATTGTAACCTGTTTAAGTCATTATAACACCATCAAAATTACATTTATCTGACTGGTTGCACGCGCAATACTCATGATACATAGCAACAAAATTGGTAACCTTTTCATGAGATCGGCACAAGTTGACTAAAGAGACTACCACATTTACAGTTTTCTGAATGTTTTTCAAGTGTGCTTCAGTAGCTTCAGATTGACAGTTTTCCCGTTTCTCTGAGCTAACCGTTTTCACCTAATCAGGATACAGATGATAGAACACAAATGTAAGATCTTAAAATTGTATAGCAGAGACGATTTCAATAAGTAAAGATTCAGAGTAAACAAAGATAGGAAAACTGACCATTTTGTTGAGAATTGCAAGATTTTCTTCATGCTGCATAAAGTACCAGCGAAAGTGTGAATATCGATTACTGACTGGAATAAATATGAGACATCTTAGAGTTTGCCTTACCAATGTCTTGTACCATCCTCTGAAAGTAGCTGCGCATAGGGTAGGGAATTCATGATCACAGGCATCATCATCTTCTCCTGTTGACTTGGATAGAGACGCCTTATGCAAACAAAATTCCAGAGACGTGAAATGAGTTATAAATTCTATGATATAATTTTCTATATGAAATACGTCATCGGTTTTTAACCATTTGAAGTTGCAGATTTTCCATTTCAGGATGTAACACTTAAATCAACGCAACATGAGAAGATGGGTTTAGTTTCTATGAACCATAAGCCAAGTGGACGATTTGTGTCATCAAAGCGATCCTATTGCATCAAACTCTATGAAAGAAGAGCCCAGAGAAAGATTTTTCCATGTACCTGAGGTAAAATGTTACAAGCAAGCTCATCAAGCAAATCAGATGTGGATCCACTGGCTTCCAGGTATATTCGCAATATGGTCTGAACCATTTCACCCTGCGGAAACCCAAAGCTATACACATTCAGAAGATTGAGCACTACTGTAAATTGTGCTATCCGTCAAATTTGACACAAATGGACATACTTTGTTCTTTAAACCCTTATTATCAGTACTTTCATCGACCCATTTATGCCTGAGAAGTTTCTCAGCAGAAGTTCCCAGTTTGGCATGTAGGCTGGGTACAAGACCCTGAAAATGACCCGGGTTTCTCTTTTTGTTAGCCTCTTCAGATACCTTACCAATATATTTTTGTACAGAGGTCACCACCAACTGTAGAATGAGAAGACATTCAAAGGCCAGATCAAAGGAGAAGGAACATGCTGCAGCAACATTTTACAATTGCAATGGGAGTTAGAATAAGATAGCATACCATAGGGGGAATCATCAGTAAACCAAGCAAAATAATTACCTTTATTCAAAATATCTTCAAAGAAATAATAAACGCCAATATACAAGTACTCCTTTGTCCCAGGTGACGGGAAATGTTGAAAGTCCGGAAAGCTAGCTACTGGTATTTCAGTTGGCTGGAAGGCTTGAAGAAGATTCAGCAGCAGTGACTTGTCTGTTTCAAACTCAGGGAGGGTCAACATCTGTGACGCAGGAAAAAAGAAATTAAGAATTTGGGAATTGAGATTAGCATACTTGTACCTAAGTTAAGACTAAAAGGAGCTAAATCCAACCAATGTACAACTAGTCAAGTTAGGAACTGTGGTAACCAAATACATCACAAAATTGGCATTGGATAAGAATAAATTACCTTGCTGAAACAGTATAAAACTTCTTTGCACACCATTGTGTAAACCAGAGATTCAGAAACCACAATATTGGACATGTTCGGATTTCCGGCCATAGCAAACTCATCTCTCCAACTAGTTTGAGAAGTTTCATCACCTATTATTATGTAGGTCACATTAGAACAAGCTAAATCAATATCTTTAGCTCGCAACAGGTTGATCATCTCCAGTTATCTTACCTTTTATTAGCAAGGAAATAGCTATATTCAAATGTATCCTGAGGCTTGGAAAAAGTCCTTTAATTTGACTGAGAAGTTCAACCAATTTGAATCTCCCGAAATAACCTGTAGCACTTCCACGTTTAAAAGGTTGTTGTTTACCATGAGGAACAAGACAATCCAGCTTGTTGTGAAGATCATGTAAGAGATACAGATACACGGGTAGCTAGCACAGAAAACAACAAGACGTTAAGTTGCACTTCTCATATCTAAAAAAACAAGTTTGACAGAATATGTTGGTAATTGTCTTGGTACCTCAGCTTTATACTCAGGGTTGCCTATGTCTTGGCTTAGAACCTATATGTGAAAGCCAAAAATATTAATCAGTCCTATAAGCTTTGTGCTGACATTTAAGCTATGTTAGTCTGTTATACATGTAGTGCTGCCTTTGATGGCATTCCAAGAATAATGTAATAAAAACTCAGGCTAAAATTCAATGTGATTTCATGGGATATTTATATAGAGAGGTTTGACTAGGCAGACCTTTGGAAAATTTAAGATGGAAAGGCATTGAGGAAGAAGAGGCCTGAACTTGAATCTTTGAGCTTCAAGTGCCGAGGAAACTTGAGGAATCTTCACAATTAAAGATTCATTATCAGAACAGTTGTCGTCCACGGACCCTGCTGCTGTGCTGCCATTTAAAGATGGGAGGGAAGGGGTTCCATGTAGCTGTGTTTGACTTTGACTCATCGCTGCTCCTGCTTTCTTGAATGCGTCCATAATAGTTGGCTGTCGCAGCTTTTCATTCACATTTGAGTGCTTTGATTTTTTCAAGTTATTTTTCATGCTTCCCTTGCGTTGGGAGGCATCATCGTCTAGCTTCCTTTTCTCGTTCTTCTTCCCCGGATTTTCTACATGAGATTCAGAATAAGGGTGGAGCTCTGGTAGAGACTGAGGAGATAGTGTAATCAAATTGCTCAATAAGCTTTCCAGGAATCTGTTTTACCAAGTATTATTTTCATCAGAATTTCATCAAGAATAGGCTTTATGACGGCCAACAACATCTGAAACAAGAGCGTAAAACACAGTAAGAAGCTTAGATGGTATCAATGTAGAATGAACATACACTAAATTTCTGAGTCGCTTTAGAAGCTTTGTTGTAACATCCTTTTCTGTAGCCTGACTAATGCAACCAATTTTTTCATCAATTTGGGAACTAAAGGCGTTCAGCTGCAACAGAAAACAAAAACATATATAAAAGGAATTATAGTATAACAATATTGCAGATATACAAGGTCATGTTACTCACGAGTTCTCGTATCCAGTTTGCAGCATAATATAAAGAGAGAGAGAGGATTTCTTTCTGCTTCTTTGCCAGCGACTGCCAACTAGCTGCAGCAAAGTACTTAAACATAGGACAAGAAAATTCAAATATCAGCAAACAGTGACAGTACAAACAGATATAAATTTGGAAAATGTCTTTCTTAAAAGGGTTCATGTTTAGAATTTCAACTTTGCCAAAATATGCCTAACAATTTGTTCCACAATCGTGCAGAGACTGGAGTGCAGATCTAAACTTGTCATTTATTGGAAACGTAGCAATATGTTTCTTGACGAAAATTTAGTCCCTCACCTTTGAAGAGGGAAGGTGCAAAGGGCATCCGAGCAGAGCATCAATCCCGGCAAGGGATCCATCATTTGTCAACCTCTCAACCTGAATGTAAACAAAAAAACATTCAGGTTTGTTATGATATCTTGAAATAGCCTCCCAGTTGCAAGTGAAAGAAAATCTTACAGTTGATAGCAAAAGAAAATTTGAAGGAAGAATTTGCAGACAACAGGACCTGCGGGAAATATGATTCTTAATTCAGTCAACAGTTGTCAGAGAGCAATCTTCAACAGTAACTGAAGCAGGGATAATCTCATAAAACCAACTCTGAGGATGAAGATGCCAGGGCCAAAATATTCAAACAGATTGGTGATATACTACCATCCAAGTTCATCCAAAGATCCCCTAAGCGATGAGAAGAAAAGAAATGGAGATCAAATCCATGCAATGCTCAGAAGAGATTCAATTAATTTAAGTAGAACCAAGTTTATTATATTACTATATGTGTACCTTCTAGTCCAGAATATGAACCCTTATCAGCCATTTTTCCGTTTTCAAGATCGGCTAGAAATAGCGACTCAAATTCCCCCAGATGCTTCCCAATCCTGAAAAGCAGTATAAAATTTACTCTGGATGAAGCTTAAGATTACTGTGTAGCCTTGAAAACTACTAAACAAGCTAGCAGAAAAATGTAACTGAAATCTTCACCACTCCATAATTTCTGGTTGAAGTAATTTTTGGCTAAGAATGGTAGCAAATTCATCATAGAACATAATTAGGGCTAAGTTAGACTGTCTGCAAGAGTCAACAGATGTCTTTAAGAGCTCCAAAATCTCCCCACAATCTGAAACCTGCTAAATGAAAAATTCAATGGACATAAGAAAATTCCTCTTGGGAAATAAAATTCGAGGTACAAAGATAATTTTAGTCAACTACTATGGATCGCTGGATCTTACCTGCGATGATGAGAAGTCAGGAACACTATTTGCATCCCCAAGTGACGAAACAATTGTAAGACTTCCAACTAAGCCCATCTTTTTGTACTTGAGGTCTGGATGACTAACCTGCCATTATAAGACCAAACAACTGGGAGTGAGCTACCATCCCTTAAGAAACCAAATAAAATAGAAGGCAAGATAATTCCTATTACCTGCTTCCTTACTATCATCATAAGTTCATTTGAAATTGAAGATCGAAAAGAATCGCCACTTGCACGAGCTGATAGTGCGAGGAGACTGAAAACCTCATAGACCTGCGATTATGTCTACATTATATACACTATATTGCCATATCAAGCAGATTGTGAAGATAAATGCCCACCTTATGCAAATTTTCAATTGTAAATCCCTCTAAGTAGTCCAAAATACCTATACGACACAAAACAATCAGAATATTAGAAGAAGAAAAGCAAATCGATCAGCATTAGTGAGTATATACAAACAAGTTCCAGAGATACCATTTATGTGGGAAGAAAAGGGAAGGAGTTGCAGTGCATATTTTTTCACCAGAGCTGTCATCATCTCCAAGACAGAACTGACCTCAAATTTGTTATCAGATCCCACATGTGTCACAAGGGCACCTAGAATCTGCAACCAATTCGAATTAGAACAAAAGTGGACTAGTTATGCAAAGTTATTATACTAAGAGATGAAATGCTAACATGTTCTTACCTCTTGTCTTGAATAATTGTCAGAAAACCCTTCAAAAAGACGAGTATAGATATGAGAGCCAATTTCCCTTGCCCTTTCTTCTTTGCATGACAAGAGGTGTTCAGCCAAAGAAACAAATGACGCAAAATTATCCTAGAACAATGAGTGAGTCGGGTTAATTCTGCAAAAGAACATTCCCACATTTTTCATGTATCAGACTCTCAGAATTGTTATGAAGATCACCTGCACAAACTCTTTATTACCACCTATACATTGATCAAGCAAGGCTTCTTGTATGCATTCATCAACCACTTTCTTCTTAAATATCTTCTCGATGCTCTTCCGGATAGGATCCCCGTTCATGTACATGAGAATAAGCAGCCATACATCGATTACCTTGAAATCCCGAGGTTTCTCCAGACTATTCAGCTCCTTTATGATTTCTTGACAGAGTATCTATAAACAGAAATAAAGTGATGCTACAAAATGACAAACATTCTTAACCAACTGTAGTGAAACCAACTTACATTCTTAAATCGAAGGCTTGATCTTAAAGCATGGAGAATAGAACCTTCTGCATTACATGCAGGTACTTTTCCTTTGAGTTTATTTTGAGAAGCACAAGGTTGTGACATTCCGGTGAATTTCAACTGTTCGCGTATCTGGGAGATGATTCTTCTAACATTTGCTGGAGTAGCAGCAAGAAGCAAAAACCTAAGTAGATACGGCATGTGCTCTGCGTCTATTGTTCTAATACATGATATTGCTACTGTAATCGCCTTGAAGAAAGAAAAAAAAAATGGCATTCCATCAGTACCATGTATTATACAGAACCTTAAACCAATGATGAAGCAAAAAACCACACCTGTTCTTGCAATTGATCATCTAAATTGAGGTTGGAGAAAGAATCAAGCACTGGAACAACAACAGCAGAATCCTCCTGAAGCAACTTTTCTAAAGAATCAACCACAGCTTGACAGTTGTGATCCCCAATAATCTCTGGCAAGGATCCAATGATTTCTTTCTTTAAGTGCAGAGGACAAATTGATAGAACTTGCATCAGCTTATCGGTGAACAAATTGGGATTAACAATGAAGTCTAACCAACGGAAATGATTGATGATTAGGCGAGCAACATCCTCCTCCAAAGAACATCCTGTAACAACGTCAAAGTACTCCGGAAGTTTCTCGAGTAGCATTTCCTGAATATCAAGTTGGATCGGAGATACAAGCAAGAGATTTCGAGCTAAACTCTCGTCTCTATTAGTTGTTGAAGAAGAAGAAGAAAGCACTCTACAACGATATATGAACATAGCTGATTACGAATTGGTGAATCTCAATTTTAATTTGGAAACTCGAGTTGGAATTTACTTACCTACGAAGATTACTCGGAGATTGAATGTACGATGAAAATCCAGCTACGAAAACTGAGCGAAGAGCACCGACGTGATCTCTCTCACCGGGATTGGCGGAGCAAGACGATAAGCGAGTAGTGAGATTGCGGCGGAAAGCGTGTAAATCGGAAGGAAGGCACGGCGGACCGTACGGATTCATCAGTGTGCATCCGACTTCCGCTAGAATCGCAGTCATATTCTCCACCGCGTCGGGCTCGACGGATTCCTTTTGCGGCTGGGGAATTTTGAGAGACGGAGCAGCTGAGGACGACGACGGAGGCTGTGGCGGTGGAGGTTTTTTGCGAGAGAGAAACACCATTTTTCCGGAGATTGCGACGGAGATTACTCTCAATTTCGCCTATCGATTCTCCGATTAACAAATTTGCGGAAGAAATTCGATTTCAAAATTTAGTAACCCTGAAGAAGCTAGCGCCAAATTTTTCAACAAAGAAGCGCCCAGTGTTCCTTATCACACGACACGCATTCTATCGACGCAAAAGCAAAACGGCAAGATGTGTAACCCAAATGCACGTAGACTATCTGTCGTTTAGCTAAATTAATAATTACACATAATCTACAGGCAATCGTCGACGCAAAAGCAAAACGGCCCGGTGTGTGTAACCAAAACACCGTAGTATTTAGAACTATTTTCCGTTTAATGTACACATAAACTACACGCAATGCGTTCATACCAAAAAAGACTTCTGTGCTATATATTATACAAGGAGTACACGGCTCAAAGAAGGAACTAGCTATTGCAAACTTGTTAAGACAAGTCTCGTGAATCATATTCAAACCCTGCAAGTCTTGGCATGAGGTTCACAGTCTTTATAGATCTCCAAGCCAGACTGATCAAGTTGGTCTTCCTCAAAGCAAGCACAACGTTTGCTCATCGAACCCGTTATTGCTATCTCCAAAGGTCTTTGTACCAATCTCGGCACCCCAACATCACACCAGACCTGCATAAATAGCGTATCATTTAGTATCCTTATGCTTTTAGTCCCATCAAGTATTCACATATACGTTAGTTCAGTTCTCCCCCTTTAAACCGGATTGATAGAAGATAACAAGAGTTCATACCTCTCCACCTTCATCTTGACTCCATCGTGAGTTGCAACTCGGTTGCTTGGCTTCCTCAGTCTTCTGTTTCTCCATGAGTTGTGCACCTCTGGAGGCTTTTGCTTCAGCTCCTTTCAGGTGTTTAGTTGGATTCCCTTGGCTATCGTAGAACCGCCCAACAAGCTTCCCAACAGGACTGTCGATCACAAATTAAAAGCTGAGAACCAAACCAAGATCTTATTATATAGGGAATAAGGTGAGCCAAGCATTATCCATACACCACCTTCTCACGTTTACTATGCAACGGCTTTCAATTGTGTAAAATGAAACATATAAGTAATAACTTACGAGTAGGTCCTGGAGTAGAAACCTCGCCAATCAACAATGCTCTTCACCTGCGGACAAGAAATCTTTGTCAAACCATATCAAACATATAACTAATAAACTAAACATAATCGGAGTTATAGAATATCAAACAGTTAACAAACAGTAATAGTTATGAAGAATAAGCAGATCTGGCACAATGGTAAGATCACAAAATATTTTAGACGTTTCCATAATTTGGTTGATAAATTATAATATTTGGAGCTAAAAAAGCATTACCTCACTGCTAGATAACCCTTGTAACGAATCTGTAAGTCCATCTCCTGCACAAGGAAATAATCATAGCACGCAAATGAGAAGTTTCCACAGATTTCAGGGGCTTGGATGATTCTGACTTCTTCGCATGACTAATAGCTAACAAAGTTTAAAAAATAGCTAATCTTCTCCAAATAGCTAACAAAGTTTGGATATGGTTTATGAGAACCCATAGATGTGTAATAACATTAGCAAGAGAAGAGAATGAAATCTCATTTTTTTCGGGGATGTCATGTCAATGTCCATAAGTTACCAATACAAGCAAAGACCATAATATACTACAAATTTTCCACACAGTTTTTTGGATCAAAAAGACATGGTGATTATTTCCTAGAAAAGTGACTTAAAACTGAAGAATGCAGCAAACAATTCATACCTGTAAAGTTCCCAGAAACAAATGCACGAGAAGCGTCTCTGAGCGAAAGGATTACATGGAAAAACACTTCCCATCAGCGAGAAACATGCAAGATTAACAACAACAAGGTAAAAGAACATATGAGAAGAATCTCTCCACATAAGTGATCAAACAAAACAAACCTTCCAGCAAAATGATTGTAACCTCCTCCACTACCGTAATGAGATTTTCCTTTCGTCACATCAAACACAGATCTGTATACTCGTTTACAATTTGTTTATGAGTGCACATACATGTGTTACTTGACAGCAGAAGGAAGAAAAAAGAACTTACCCAAGAATCCCTAAGAGTATAGGTAATGTTGCATCAGTGCCATTGTACAAAGCCAATTCTTCAGCAGAGAACAACCTCTTTTGAATCGACAACAACAACAACAACAACAACAGAAACACAAACAAACGATCAAATCCAAGACGTGAGACATCATCATAACATTGGTTCTCTATTTCAATTCTAACTAAACTCAGACACACACATAACAAACACAGAGACAAACTTCATTGGTTTTATAAGACCTTGTCTAATTCAATCAAAAAGTAGCAGAAGCTAAATAGAGATTTTAAATTCCAGTTGTCTGTTTGGAATTATCAGAACAGGGAATAGTTAGAAAAAAGAGAAGCGAGTACTTGGTGTTGTGGAGACTTGAGGGAAGTTCTGAAGTAGAAAGCGACGAGAACGGCGATCAACGTGACGCCAACGAACGGAGATAACAGAAAACTCCTCGCCGGAATCATCGATTGGATCCGATTTGCTTTGTCTGTGGAAATTGCGAACTTTCGACACCACTTTTAGGATGTGATGACTTTTTATACTTAAAAACAAAGTTAAGGTACTAAGTTGCAATTGTTTAAATATTCAGGGTGCATTTCGTTAATTTTTGTAAGACCGCTGTCCTTTAAAGTTTAAAGTCTTTGCCGTTGAATTCATCGGAGTTTTAGAAGATTCATTATATACATTTTTTTTAATAATATATTAATATAATCAACCTAAATGGGCAATGGGCCTTGGCCTACACTCGAGAAAATAAGCCCAGTTACAAAACAGTACATCGGAAAGTTCACTGGAAAGGAAAAGAGACTCGACCCCTGTTGATCATCGTCCGCAGAGAGACCGAACCTTAAATCCGGCGAAATCAAGGCCGACAGCTTCGCGGCCGCATCGGGAGATTGAGATAACCGATGGAAGATCTCGGTTTCCAGCAGCTATCTCGTTCCTCCGACGGATCAACCCACCAAAAGCCTCCCAGAAAGTTAGTCACTCCGACGACACGGTTCGACGGTGACGGATCCTGACCTAGCAATCCGTCACGCTTGGAGTTATCCTCTCTCTTCCAACACCAGAGAAAAATCGGTCGTAGAGTCATCAGCTTCGATTCGGACAGTCGGCTCACCCAACACGGCAGATCTAAAGGGCGGTGGCTCACCCAGAACCTCTAAATCCGACCCCCGCATCAGCTATTAGGAATGTGGCCTAACTTAACCCAAAAGCTAGCTCAAGAGTTAAGGATTGCCACATCCTTTATATACTACCCAAAGACCTTAATCCCAAGCAATGTGGGACATTCTAATAGGCCTCCTCGAGATGTGGGTGGGAAACGGTCCAACGGGAAACAGCCCAAGCCCAACATCTCGGAAATACAACAAGACATGCCACTTATATGGGCCACATAGGTGGGAAACCATTTTTGTGAGAATTTGCTTGTTGGGCCAACCTGGCTCTGATACCATATTAGGAATGTGGCCTAACTTAACCCAAAAGCTAGCTCAAGAGTTAAGGATTGCCACATCCTTTATATACTACCCAAAGACCTTAATCCCAAGCAATGTGGGACATTCTAATATCAGCCATCGCAGATCCAAGATCCACCGCTAGCCACCTGTCAAAACAACAAAACCCCACCATATCCTCGCCAACTTCCGCTGTAGACGTAGCTACTAGGCCGACGGCTGAGCCTGAGGAGCATCAAAGCAACTCCCAGCGTCCTCAACCGGGAGACCACCGCTTCAAGGCTCCTCCTCCGCCATTCTAGAGCCACGACCACATCAGCGAGGAAACACCACATCTCTATTGACGGAGAAGCAACACGACTCACTCCTGGCCACCTTCAAGGGACCTCAGCCGCCAAATTAAACCAGATCTTACCCGCGAAACTAGATCTAAAAACTCGGAATCATCTTCAAATGAGAGAGAATGGCACGTCTATCGATGCAACGATTGTGCGTTTCAATCTCCTTAGAAGATTCATATTCTAGTGTCTTCACGTTCTTAACATCACTAAACTCAATTAATCTTGTAAAGTTATAGACAGAACCAAGAATATCGCATACAACTCATATATTACCATTAAAAATATATATATATATATATATATATCAGATATTGTGAACAAAGAGACAAAGTAATGTAGAACCTTCTAATATGCTTATAATGGGCATCCATGTAATAACCCATTTATTCATAACACATGAAACTTAGTTACAATTTTTGTTAAATGGTTATCCATCTATTGAAATTGTTTTGAGAATGTTTTTAAAATTAAAACTAAGAATAACATTATACTAAAAATATATGAAAAACTCAAATGCAAAATACATATATTGATATATACCATGTTTCATTGGTTTAATGATATAACCTCATATGATGTTAAAACTTAAATGTATGATATATACCATATTTCGTTGTTTAAATGCTTATATTCGGGTTAAAATCAGAATTGGAATCACAGACCGTCTACGCTTCTTTAGAAGAAGAGTAAGATTTGAAACTAGTGAGAGAGCGATGATTGGTTATGAGCACGAAAGGGTTGGAAGGATTTGCATTAACTGTGGTCGTATGAATCACCTCAGTACTCATGTTTCTTGCTTCATCTATCATACATGTGGCTCTACTTGAGTCTCCACGTTCATGTATGTGATGAAGGTCAAAATTCAAACTCTACTCATAAAAATCCTTCTTCAAGTTCTCATATATCATCTCAAGGTCCAATATCACAAGCCACACTTTCTACTTGTTAATTATCTGCTTAATCTACATGAGTTCGAGGCAACTCATTCCATTCACCCTAGACTAACCACAACACTGAATGTGCATGCGTCATATTCATCAATCAACTTTAACTCAGCTGACTCTACTTCCTCTTCAAGTGGTGCAATGGATACTAGATACAAAGCAAAAGGAAAACTGGAGATTAGTGAGTATTCTAAACGCGAAAAATCTAAAAATTTTAATATGGAGACATCAAGATACATTCGTCAATGTAGACAAGGGAATGGAGTGAAGTTCTATCTGATCACTCAACATCCACCGTAACCTATCATGACAAAAGTAAAAATTTCAGAGGATAACCGACACTTTATCTTTGTGATTTTATGTTGTCGGCTTCTAATTCTCTCCTTTATGAAGGAATAAAGATTTACTATTAATATGTGTACAATTGCAGTTTGTAGATCCTTCTGAAGGATACTTGCTCTCAGAGCAATTCTTCCTTGTGAGATTCGGTAAGCAAATGATGAAAGTTCTTGAAGCTTCAATTTGGATTAGTTATTTTTTAAAGTAATGAAGATGATGATTGGTTGTCAAGATACAGTCACAACAAAGACAAAAGTTTCATCTTATGCGTCATTCTACAAGCTTGTGAGCTCACTTAGTATGGTCTCCTTGATCTTTGTTTGTGTAGTGTTTCTTTTCTTAACTACCCAGTCTTGTCATTGTAAGTAGGTAGCGTACTAATGGTTTTCCTCTTGTAGTGATACTTAGCATCTCCAGAATGGTTCCTCCATTTTAGAATTTGCTTGCAACTTTTATCCTATATAAATACATCCTTTGAGGAAAAAAAAATCGTCATTTCAATATCAGAAAATAAAATATTTTCCTAGATATCCTAAATTAATATTTTTTTGTATATTTTTTTCGGCAAATCAGACTTTCATTAATTTCAAGGAGTAATTACAAAAACATTATACAGAATTATTGTAGCACAATTATTACATACGTAGATGTATGTTCGATATACTAGAAAAATACAGTAGAAGGGAGAATGACGATGCCTTCCGAAGAGTAGTCTTACTCGCTAAACGATCATAAGATCAGTTATAGTCCAACTTCATATTTGATTTCACTCTATTACGATTGACATGCACCATCTTGTAGCTGAACTTTCATAACAAAAATATTTCACATTAATAGCACAAGAAGATAGCTCATTTCTCCCAACTGCTATCAAAGATGAGTTGTAAATTTGGTTTTTATATAACAGCTTTTAGTGAACGCTAAGATAGAAAATCCCTAAGCAGAATCTAAAATCAATTATTCCATCTATAATAAGCCAAAATAATTCACTATACCGCCAACACTTAGATATATTTCCCCCTTTCACCCAAAAATCATCTCTTCATTTCAATTTTACGATTTGACTTTGATTTTGTGATTGAAGATTTGTATAATAATCTCTAAAAGATTGTCTAAATTGAGAATGTCTTTTTTGATTGTGAAGAAGGGTTATGACTCTCTCATGTATTCGAAGATCTCGCTTGTCTATCATCTATATTCATGATAACGATTCGTTGTTTTCTTCTTCTTCTTCTGATCTATGATCAATGAATTTTTCATGATTTTACGTACTTTTTCCAAAGGGGTTTGAAGAATCTGAATCTACTAGGTGAATCTCCACAAGTTCCACTCGATTTTACTCTTGTCTTTCTTTTAGTTATAAGTAGACAATGGTTAAAAAATTTCTTTTGTTTAGTTATAAATTCCAGTTTGCAGTAAAGACGCTGAGAGGAAAATAGAAAAAAGAATCATCATTGTCGTTTGTTTTTAAGTGGTTCTAGAGGCAGGGCCGGTCTTGAACTAAAGCTGGTAAAGCCCTTGATTTAGGCGCCAAAAGTTATATATAGTAGTAAAAGGCATCACTTTTAGAAAACATTACGTAGTGTAGTGGTTAACGCCTAGGTGCATGTCTTTTTGGTGCAAGGTTCGAGTACCAAATTTGTTGTTTTGTGATTTTTTTAAATGTATGGGCTTAAGCATAGTTTGGACAGTCAAATCTATTGGGCCGGCCCTGTCTAAAGGTAAGTTATGTCGTTCCCTAATTCTATTTCAGAATTACATACGTTACAAATTTTTGCATTTGATTATTCGTTGGATTATACAAAAAAATTTGAGGTGAAGGGGGAGCATAAGACAACATTTATGAAAACACTATTTATGAGATATAATAGCTCTTCTCTCTTGTTAATAATGTAGATAATTCTTGTAGTGTTTTTTTCGCAAACCGTAACTGTAAACCCGATGTGTCCAAACATAATTCTGAAATATAGATATAGTGGTACCAAAGCTTCCATACCAAAGTCTTTCTAAACTATCTAGACTTTGTAATTTTCTTCAAAATCATCACAAATAGGTTTAATATAGTAGTAATATGCACTGTAGCATCCTTTGAGAAGAGTTTCTTACTAGATTTTAACAAATCTCTATAACATACCGGGGAGGACCATAGGCCTTTGTTTGATCACATACTTCAACCAACAATAATACAATACCATCAACAACACCCAAGAAGCGATGGATTTGAATAACCACAGCCGGAAGTTTTTGACTTTGCGAATGTAAAATCACCCGCCACGAGAGAAAACCGAGTTATAGCCGTCTGTTGTACAACGTCGACCAGAAAAGTAACTTGAGCATCATCAGTTACATAATTAATTTATTGTAACCCGATCATGACAATAGATTCTCATCTAAACATTGTTTATGCATTTCTCAAACTCCAAGTCTGACCAATACCAATCATATATTGTCGCCTATATTTAACCAAACCCACATTTAATTTTGAAATGCCAATACAACAATAGTCAATTGATGCAGCCATAAATCCATCACACAATTAATAGAATTACCACCGTTCACTCTCGGATCCTATATCTTAATTTGATCTCTGTTTCCCATGTTGGAAAAATACAAATTAGATAAAAGATTCTAAGATGTTGAAAAAAACATATATCGGTAATGAAACAACAACCATCGATCGCAGAGGCAAAGAAAATGACACAATTACTCTAGGGCTAGGGCTTGAATAAGGTCAGAAATACAATCTCACAGAAGGAGAGAATGAAGACTCGAGCTTGAGTTGAACTCCAATCGCGACAAAGACGAAACTCAAAAACTCTTTCTAAACTCAAAAACAAATCTTCTGATTAAGTTTAGGGTCTATCATAACAGGGTCATAAGACAACATTTATGAAAACGCTATTTATGAGATATAATAGCTCTTCTCTCTTGCTAATAATGTAGATAATTCTTGTAGTGTTTTTTTTCGCAAACCGTAACTGTAAACCCGATGTGTCCAAACATAATTCTGAAATATAGATATAGTGGTACCAAAGCTTCCATACCAAAGTCTTTCTAAACTATCTAGACTTTGTAATTTTCTTCAAAATCATCACAAATAGGTTTAATATAGTAGTAATATGCACTATAGCATCCTTTGAGAAGAGTTTCTTACTAGATTTTAACAAATCTCTATAACATACCGGGGAGGACCATAGGCCTTTGTTTGATCACACACTTCAACCAACAATAATACAATACCATCAACAACACCCAAGAAGCGATGGATTTGAATAACCATAGCCGGAAGTTTTTTACTCTGCGAATGTAAAATCACCCGCCACGAGAGAAAACCGAGTTATAGCCGTCTGTTGTATAACGTCGACCAGAAAAGTAACTTGAGCATCATCAGTTACATAATTAATTTATTGTAACCCGATCATGACAATAGATTCTCATCTAAACATTGTTTATGCATTTCTCAAACTCAGACCAATACCAATCATATATTGTCGCCTATATTTAACCAAACCCACATTTAATTTTGAAATGCCAATACAACAATAGTCAATTGATGCAGCCATAAATCCATCACACAATTGATAGAGTTACCACCGTTCACTCTCGGATCCTATATCTTAATTTGATCTCTGTTTCTCATGTTGGAAAAATACAAATTAGATAAAAGATTCTAAGATGTTGAAAAAAACATATATCGGTGATGAAACAACAACCATCGATCGCAGAGGCAAAGAAAATGACACAATTACTCTTGGGCTAGGGCTTGAATAAGGTCAGAAATACACTCTCACAGAAGGAGAGAATGAAGACTCGAGCTTGAGTTGAACTCCAATCGCGACAAAGACGAAACTCAAAAGCTCTTTCTAAACTCAAAAACGAATCTTCTCATTAAGTTTAGGGTGTGATGACACACCACATAAGTCAGAGATGGTGCTAGTATTGAAACCGTATAACAAATTAAAGTTATCAGATTCAGATCTTTCAACACCATCGTTACGAAAGAGCAAATGATGGGGATTTGGAATTTTGGATTTGCCATAAGAATTACCTAAATCTATACATAAGGAAAAATTGAAAAACTAAAATATGAAAAAGGAGTCGACTAACGCTAGAGAAGCCGACGCCGGCCGGAAATTATGGAGACGGATAAGTTTATTGTTGAAAAGTTGTCTTGCAGATATCGCCTGAGAAAGAAAGAAAAATAAATCTCTTAAAAATTTAATATTTTTTATTATTATTAAACTTCTTTTTTTTCTGTCGCTCAAAAGAGATATTTATGGGGAATGTTGTTTACATATGTGATATGAAGCGATTATGTACGAACTTTTCGTGCCAGATTATCCGCTTTAACATTAGCCCTACGAGAAACTAAAGATAAAGAAAAGGATGAAAACTCTTCCTTGTCGCTCTGAAATTCCTCCATATACACTGAAAACGCCAGCCATTCGGTTGGAGAAGACACCATCTTCACCAGGTCGGAACAGTCAGTAAAGAACGCAACCTCTTGATAATCTGCACCAATCATACACTTTATCGCCCAGAGAATGGCCTTGACTTCAGCATACGTATTTAGCAATCTGCTGTGTATTTAGCAATCACAAATGTGGTAACAATCTCTAGGATCCTGAAGAACAATGGACTAGCAACATAGAAGAGTAAGTAAAATTTCCTTTCTTATCATCAACGTTTATTTTTTGTAAATCATAATTCAGTAATCTGTTTTCCCTTTGTTCCATGTTTGCCAACAGAGGTGTTAACGTTGTTGACTGTGGGAATGAAAGACAAGAACAAAGGAAGCATGGTCCAGAAGGCTAAGGCAAGAATAAGCTACAGTAGAAGCTGTTTAGGTCATTGGATTGTCTTTGAAGTCTGATGCTAAAAAGACCATCATGAATCTCAGGTTCCCTCTTTTTCTCACGGTTTTCTAGCCATTATCTTGTAGAAGTAATTGAGAAAGTCATTTGCTTTTACTCATACAAAGACATCCAACTTCAAAAAGAGAACTGAACTGCAAAGGATATAGAGAAGGCAGTGGAATGAGAATTGCTTGGAATGAGACATCATCCTAAGTCCTTGGAGGGAGGGAAAGAGCAAACCAATGGAGTTCTTTGTTTAGTCCATCTGAATTGCAGTACTTATGACGTTTTTTATGACCCTTTTTTTTATAACAAATGGTGTTAAATGCTGAACTATTTTGTAAAGTTACAATTATGTATTTTTTTATGATCTATGAAAAGAAACGTGCTTTCAACAAATTGGTTTTGTAGCATATAATTATTTGGATTTCAAATTTATATATTTAAAATAATTTTGCAATTCATCATTTTATAATGTAGCACATAAAAATTGCTACACAAAAATATAATATAGCAAAAATTATGAGTTATAAAAAATTATATTAAAGCATTCGATTAGTGCTATACTAGAAAGACTTATAATAGCACGACAAAAAATGCTATCGTATGGGTAAAACCTACCATAGCTGCCGATGTCATAGCATTTGTGAATTCGCTATGTTATATGTATGATAGCATATTTTTCGCGCTAACGATGAACATATTTCTTGTAGTGCATGTAGTGGAGATAGACTTCTACGGAAGTTCGCAGCTTCCATGGTTGGTGGCTCTCCATTTGACGATGTACAGAACCACCCTGTACCGCAGAACTTATCACTTCTTTTCCATGATCCATCCACAAAAAAATGGTATCCAGAATAATTCAACTCAAGTAAAGCATCCCTCACTCGAGTTCGATTTACCAAGTCCACAGAACCATGATTTCATTATGGAGCTCAATTTGAGCTGACTGCCACAATTGTGCCTCTTTTTCCACTAATCGTAATACCTCTATTGGGTCTTTATCTATGTTTTCAAAGATCTTTTCGTTCCTTGCTTTCCAAATATACCAAATAATCCATGGGAAGACTGATGCCCGAAGGTGTTCTCTAAAATAAATGATCCAAATTTGCAAAATTAGTTTCCGTGGGAAAATTCTCCATAGCCGTAGAAATCTGTGAAAGCGCCCAAATCTGTTGTGCCGAGTGGCACTGAAAGAGTGTATGATTGATTGTTTCCTCTGATGCGCCACATCTGACACCCCTTATTATTAAACTTCTATTACTATTTGAACTAGATTTTAGATTTATTATTAAACTTCTATTACTATTTGAACTAGATTTTAGATATTAATGATTTGAATCAAACATTATAGCTCGAATCCCTTATATATTAATAGAGAAACACTCTACAAAACAAACCTTACATTAACGTGTTATTAACAAGATTCTATACTGACGTGTCGCTCTCAGAATGATTTGTCACCTATTTAAATAATTGCCGAAATTTTATTAGACTATTTACAGAATTTGTCATTAGTATTATACATACATATATTTCATTAATCAAAACGAATTTCTAATAAAAAAAATTGCAAATAATTATGCAACAAATCTTTCCAAAATAAATATACCACAAACTTAAACAAATGATTACGTAACTAATATTAGTAAGAGAGGCTTCGAGACCACCTTTATCTCTATATTAGCAAGATCATTAAAATGTAGCAGAGGCTACAATACTTTGCTAATGTTGGTGAAAGCATCCAAAATTAATCTTGATTGATGCTTAAGTTAGTTTCTTTTAATCATTTAACGTTTTACTATTTCTTTTACTTAACTTATAATCATGCTATAATACATTTAATAATATGTAGTAGTGTAAAATCTATAATACGTTCAATAATATGTAGTAGTGTAAAATCTATAATACGTACTCCATTTGCTTAATCTTTCTCCATTAATCATCTATAATCATGCAATTTATTTTATATATTTGTATCAGTGTTTTTAAATCCGATCCAAACAGTGAACCAGACTTCTTTCTGAGTCACAAGGTTAACCATATTCAAATACGGGTCAATTGATTATTATTTAAAATTTATAGAGATTATATAGTTTTATAAATATAAAAATTAAATTAAAATAATCATATCATGTTTTACAAAATATGAAATCTAACAATAATAGTAACATGATAAATATTTTTAATCCAACTAAAACCATAAAATATACTAAGATAGTATGATAGTAAATATGAAAACTGAAAAAGTTCTAAAAATAACTAAATAGTGGATACACAAATAATCTAAAATCTTATCTTTTAACGGACATTAGCACTAAACCTAAACAGAGAAATGTACGAGTCGCAGGTTAACCAAACATACCGTACAGTTCGGGTAGGACGTAAAAACACTGATTTATACGTATATAAAGAAATTTATTGAAAGACACAAAATATTCAACCTTTTTAAAGATAGAACAATTTCTTTATATACAGAAAATTTTTACCATCAACCTCCTCCAAAAGGGAAGGAATCCATCCTGAATCTAGTATGACTATGATATTTTTGAAATTTGTGACTATTTCTTTTGATTTGGGTGTTGTCTTCTGTATAATTTAAGTTTTTCATCACATTTTTCATCTTTGCGTTTTGATTAATTTTAAGATTATTTTTAGGATTTTTGAAAGAAGAATTTATAGTGATTTGAATTATGAAGAGTTTTGAGATAATTTCAGTAAATTCTGGTGATTCAATTTTTTTTTTTTTGTTATTAAAATTCTATCAAATCTTGTTGAAACAATTAAATTTAGATTTTTGTATATACAAATTAATTATATTTTTGTCATGTGTTTGATTATTGTGTGAGGTTCAAGTTTTATTATAGGCACTAGATCATCACCCGTACTACAGTACGGGTTGAATTTTATTTATTACAAAATTTATAAATTTAATGTTTTAGAATAAAGTTGTGATATATTATAATAATAAGTGAAAAAAATAAAAAAATTTTGTCCGTCCTTATATATAATATTAGAATGAATATATTTTTTTTCCTATAGTATTCAATTATAATTATTTTATTTTAAGATATGAAAACGGAAAATAAGATTATTTAAAAAAAAAAATAATATTGTTTGAACAATGATTTAATTTATGTTAACAACCACAAAATGAGAGTGCATATAATTTAGTTAGAGCAAAAATCAAAATATCATAAATGAATCACATCTAAAACGTAAATTATTTTGAATTACTTAAGAAAATTAGCTATTATTTTGAATTAATTTAGGAAATTATTTTTTCAAATTCTGATTCATTGGTTGTTGAAATAGAGATTTGTTTGAGCTAATTACGGAATTTACCAATTATTCACATAATCAAATATGTTATGAACATATATTTGGTATATAATAATACTAATTTCAATCCGTGTGTGAAGTCTATATTTTCATTTTACAATCCTTATGAAAATATTGTTGCACAATCTATTATTTATTATTTTCAAAATTGCTTGCAGAATCAAATTTTCAAATATTTAGAAGTGTCAAACATTATTTAATTCATCTCATCATAAAATTTTAAAATGTCGTCTGTTATAAGGATCATAACTTTCCACCATATAATACATTACATTTAACCCGGCGCCTACTATAAATATTTTAAACATATCTTTTTAGAAAATCAAATTAATGTATTTATAATTTTTTTAATCTTTTTAAAGTATTAAATATTTATGATATTATTTAATATATTAAATTAATCATTTTAAAATGTTCCAAATTAAAATCCTTAAAATTTTTATTGTAATATGTATAAGAATTTTTTTAAAAAAATGATATGAAATTAAATATAAATATTCAAATAGTTATAAGGATCATAACTCATTTTATCATATAATATATTATATTCAACATGCCGCCTATTATAAATATTTGTTTCAAAAAATCAAATTAGAGTATTTATACTTCATAAATTTTTGATCTATTAAGTATTGATGATATAAAAAAAAGGAATATATTACTCAAATATGAATTTTTGACCCGTTAAATTTGTTCTTTGATCCATTGAATAATTTATATTCGTTTCTAAAAATTCAAATCTTGGTATATGCAGAAAAAAATTTACTTTTTTTATTATATAGGTGATATACTGATTTATTTATTTATAGAAATAGAATCATATAAAGATGAGAAGTGAAAAACTAAGATTTGACATCTAACATCTAACGTAAGTTAAAATGAACTAATACGGTAAGTTAGATGTTAAATCTTATATGTTCATTTTGATTGGTCATTCTTTTTAAAGAAATTAATAATAGATTTTCGTTTTTAAAATTAAATTAAATTAATTAAATTGCATAAAATAGTATTTGACTTATTTATCCTTAATGAGTTGAATTAATTTACTTTATAAAATTTACACATAATAATGGAATGAAAGTCCCCCCACCTATTAGCCAAGGATCAGATATCAATATACTATACATTTTTGCAACACTTTTTGGGGTCCCTAATCGGGTCGGTTTTTTTCAATTTTTTGACCCGGAAATCTTTGATTCGGATCCTCCCATATTTGATGTTTTGACCCGAAATCTTTTGAATCGGATAATTCCTTATTAGATAATATCCCTACATTAAATCCCCAAATATCTCTATCTGATTTTGACCCGAAAATTCAATTCGAAAATATTTGATTTCCTAATATTCCCTAATAAAGATATTCAATCAACAAATCTTTCATACCATATAATGCGATTTCAAACAACTAACCATATATAAAATTGTTTAAATGTCAATCATTAAGTTAAGATTTCGAATCTTAAAGAATATTACCTAAATTGCAATCAACATTTATTAATTATTCAATTCTACAACAATTTACTCAAACCAATTTCAATTTTTACAAAATGTATTTATTATTATTACTTTAATCGCATATATTTATTATTTAAAATTTTAGAAATCTCCTATATAGTTACTAATATAATATTCAAATCATCAGAAATTTAGGAACTTACACAATCTTTTTGGAACTAAAGTATATGCGATCATTTGCATTTATAACAAAAAAAAAAAAAGCATCAATCTATATATAATTCGAATATTGTACAGCTAACCCTAAATAAATGAATCATTTTCCCCACTATAAATAATGGCCGCATTCATTTTTATCATTTAGCCATCACGATTGCATATTTGTTTATGTTAGAGTCATTGGGTCACGATTGCATATTTGTCTTCCTTATCGCATTACTAACTTTTTAGTAGTATTAAGAAATTACTTTCGTTTTTTATATTACTTTACCTAATTC